TATATAGGGAGATAATACACTGAGATCGAGTTAGCGGTCGAAAACAAAAATCGGATAGGTTGTATAGCCTACTGAAGATCATTTGTTGAGATCCAACGCAAAAACTAGAGATCATACCGGCTATGATACTCCGTTGCTTTATGATCCTGGGCGGTAGGGTGGCAGTTCTAGGTAAAAAGACCTGAACCAAGCCAAAGCTCAAAAACAACACACCTGCCATGACGAGGAGGGCAATCATCCGACTATTATTCCACTATGGGATAGTTAGCAATGGCTAGGGTTATGTGTTTATCATCAAAACTCACAGGATATGTGACGCCGCCCCATTGCAAAGCAAGAACTAGGCAGACACAGGCCGCAATAACCAGTGCAGACCCGTATACATCTAGCTGAAGCAACTTTTCTTTGGTAGGAATCTTTGTTGAATCTCGATCGGGGATCTTCATGAGGAAAAACACGACAACCATCGCCACACCACCGACAGGGAGATTGATGTAGAAACACCATCTCCAAGTCACGTTTGACGTGAATGCGCCGCCAAGAAGAGGGCCGAGAATAGAAGATATACCGAAAACGGCTCCGAAGAGGCCTTGATACATTGGTCGTTTCGGTAACGGCACGGTGTTTACAATCGTCATGAGCTGCGTGGAAGAATTTCGGTCAGATGACTGATTCCTCAGGAAGATAACAAGAAGGTGATGGGATAACATACGACGCCGGTCATAATGCCAGCCGAGCCAAGGCCTGCAATGGCCCGGCCGATGATGAAGGCAATAGAGTTGGGTGCCGATCCGCAAATAGCGGACCCTACTTCGAAAAGGAAGATGGTGCTAAGAAGCGTAGCCTTGGCATCGAAAAAGGCGTACACTTTGCCGAAGAGAAGCTGAAAGGCGCAAGTTGTCAAGAGATAGGCGGACGAGTACCATCCAATGTCGTTTATTGAATGGAACTGGTTTGTGATTTCGGGGATTGCGGTTGTTATGATCAAGCGATCCTTATGGTGGTTTTAGCAATAGAACAAACGGATAGAGACGAAAAAGACCCACCAGAGAAACAAGAAACATGCAAACGTAGACGGAGGTGAGGATCAGGGCGAACCGCAAACCCGTAGGATATTGGGGCTCTTGGTCGGGAGATTCCTTGGCAGCCTCAACATCCTGACTTTTTCTTTCAATGTCGAAAGGAGAATCGGAATTGAATTCGCTCGGGGTACTCGAACTTGCCCCTTGTTTTTCTGGTTTGGAATCATCGAGAGCCATAATGCTGGCAAGTTCAATTATTGGGTAGCTGTATAGGTCGCAAGTTGTATGTGAGATGTGAAGGAAAGAAGTTAGTTAGAGAAAGAGACTCCTCGAGGAGTTAAATACCAAGCATCATAGGTCATGAAAAGATTGGAAATACCAACAGAACAAAAGGTTTGCCGCGATCAAATTGTTTGACCGTCCGCCGGGCCCGAAGGCCCGAGCAATGTTTGGTGCCCTAGACACTACGCGTTGTCTATCAGGGATATGGATCTGCCTAATTAGGGAGGATGCTTACGAGCAGTAAGGTAATTTCGGATACCGGCAGTCTACTAGGTTCGTCTTGAAGAGTAATGCTGGCATTCTGTTGGCCAAAGAGTCTCGAAGGTGACTGCCGAGTCGGGGCCGACGGTGAGACGCTAAACCGTTTCCAGACCCGAAGGCCCCGAAAGCTCCCTCCTCTTTTCCCACCGCATCATCATTCATAATCCCCCTGTCACATCACATGTCTTCCAAAACGCCTTTACATTGTCTTGCCTTATTTTTGTCATAAATGCTTTTATTAGTGCATTGCACATCATGGGACCCCCGCAAACCAGAGAACAGATCCTCTCCGTTCATCATAAGTTTGCTTGTTCTCTATGCGCGCGGCGCAAGGTAAAATGTGACAAGCTGGATCCGTGTTCGAATTGCATCAAGGTAGAGACGCAGTGCCTCTACGAGGTTCATCCACCTCCAAGGCCTCGTAAACGGGCCGCTGATGATGAACTTGTCGCCCGGCTGGCGGCATATGAAACCTTGATGCGGAAGCATAGCATCGATTTCTCACATTGTGCAAACACCTGGGTTCCATCAGGCCAGGAAGTCGAATTAGGAGAAGCTGAGCCATCGCCGGATGCGAACCTCTCATTGCCCTCGAACAATTTGCACGCTGCACCGAGATCTATAGATGGGGCTTCTTCAATGGTTCTCGAGAAGTAAGTGGAAGTGTACTCCAAGTTATAATTGCGGTGATCGGAGACTCAATGATTGATTTATGCCAGGTCCTTGTGGTCGAACCTGATCCCAGAGGTATGCATCTTGGTCACTTCAACAGTTAAGAACATAGTATAACCTTTGATCTCAGCTCAAAAACCCACCAATAGTTAACCTTCGTCACAAATACGACCCATTCCTGCACCCGACCCCTCCTCTCGACTCCTTTCTGAGCACTCCCAACTTCAACCTGCACGATATGCATCCGGAGCCAAAACATATTTACCGATTCTGGCAGATCTTTGTTGAGCGTGTCAACCCGCTTATAAAAATCATCCATGTCCCAACCCTTCAGCAGCGCGTCTTAGACGCAAGCTGGGACCTAGCAGGCGTATCAAAACCCTTCGCTGCTATGCTTTTTGCCATATACACCTTGGCTGTCACCTCGATATCAGACGAAGAATGTGAGGCCTCTTTTCAAGAAAAAAGACTCGACTTATTGATGCGATACCGCACTGCTTCGATTCGCGCCCTCGTAGCTGCGGAGTTTCTCACCACGAGAGACCTTGAAGTCCTCCAAGCACTTGTACTATTCCTCTTCTCTGACCCAGAGTCAGAGCTTACCTCGACCTTTACGGGTGCTGCCCTGAGGATCGGTCAAAAGATGGGACTGCACCGCCCCCACAGTCCAAAAATCTCATTTTTCGAAAATGAAATGCGCATTCGGCTCTGGTGGAATCTTTCTGGCCTCGACGCTCGCAGTCGTGGAGTTCACGTCCGAGGGATGGCGCCGCCTCCGCATCGTGAGTTCGGTGATGTACGCCTCCCGCTGAATGTGAATGATGCAGATCTACATCCAGACATGACGGAGGCACCTGCACAGCACGACAATCCGACAGAGATGATTTGTGCTCTTGTCAAGTTCCAAGTCTTTGAATGGGGCCGGACTGGGTCGAATGGGTCAAAGGTATTCGAGAGTATGACCCATCCGAGTCCCACGAAAAAGGCGAATATGTCGATCGAACTCAAGGAAGGGGCCGTCAGCGAACTTGAACAAGCCTACCGGAGGATTCTGCAGAGATCGGATAAGCGTATTCCCCTCCACCATCTGGCACAAATATGGGCGACGATTATCCCAGCTCGTTTACGTTTTAAGATCTACCATCCTCGGTTACGGCCGGCAGCGGAAGATGGGACAGTATACGTTACGCGGAGAGACAGCGACGAGACTTTTGAGGCCGTCCTGCTCGCTTTGGAAATGAGCGAATTGAGCCTGGAATCAGCTTTTGCAACGTATCTCGTCACCCACTTGACATTTTGGTTCAAAATGGAAGCATACGTGTACGTCATAAGCGAGCTGCGGCAACGATGCTCCGGGCCTCGGATAGACTTGGCTTGGAGAATCATAGGAAAACTGTTCGACAACCTTCCCGCAGTGATTCCGGAGGAAGATGAGACGTTTTTCAATGGGTTAATTAATTTAGCGCTGGAAGCTTGGGAGGCGCGACGAAAGGAATTACTCACGATGTCGACTTCCCTTGAAGCCGATATTACTCCCCCTTTTATCAGATCTCTTTTTGATAGGAGGAGGGAGAGGAATGAGGATGGTATGTCCATGTCGGCTGTTCTAGACCCGCATAGCCTTGATGGGCTGGGATTCATGGAGGGGGACGCTGTAGATTGGCAGACTTGGAGTGATGTTTTCAGATTCTAATGAACAGAGCAATGTGAACCATCCATACCCGATGGCAGGGCCATTCACCTCACGCTATTGTGTGTCTCGTGTCTGACCTATTTTAGGATCTAAATAAATACAGCGGCTACCTAGAGAGGCTACAGTATGTATAGTAGCACCCAGGTGACATTGTATTTAAGATGTTCAAATATATGCTTAGTACCTGTATTTCATCATCACACTCTGGTCGATCCACGATGGCGAAATCTTTCTCAAGCTTCGTGAGATTGCTCCACATATGGGGCTTCTTTACAGACATACTTAGGAAGCAGGCATTTTATCAATGGTAGGAAGAGAGCAAGTCATCAATCTTCAATATGGAAAAGGGCATGGATCCATTTGTTGCCCCGATCGTTTCTAAGAGCGCTACTCCACGAAGCTCTAACAGCTTCCCGATGGGATCTTTCTTAGAACATTCGGATTTCTCTCACAAGACGAGGTACCTGTTTTCATTCTCCGCCAAATCTGCGGACGCTCCCGCCTTCTTCAATCTAGTTTTCATCGTTTCAGGCCATCCGCAAATTACGAGCTCCTCAACATGCAAAATAGGACGAATTATTTCTCCATTTCTCAAGCCCTGTAGAAAAACCCTTGCGAAACTGAAAAAGATGCGGCTCTACGAGCCGAGATATCAATTTCCCTCCGCATAGATCTATACTGCATCTAATGTCTCAAGCTCGAAAGACTAGAGCGGAGAGCAATCCCAAGAAGGGGCCTAAGCTTTGGAAAACTCTTCAAGCTCCCAGGGTGCAACGACGCTCTGGGATATGTTTGTGCGAACACGAGGCGATATCTTGAATGGAAATCACATCATTCCTGACTCAAAATGGCGCAAGTTTACCACCAAATGCTGAACTAGGTTTCGAGTTCGAAATAGATATCAGAACTTGTCACTAGACTGATCATCACCATGGGAGATGTATTGCGAATGGACCAAATGTGCGCCTCTTCTATAAGACGATGGGCAAGTGGCGATTGCAACCCATCTGGAAGTCACGCTTGGTAAGGAGCCTTTTAATTTTATTGACCCAACAAGTAAGTTTAACGCAATGGAAATGCGCAACATGCTTCGTCGATACCGGCACAGCACAGCACAACACATGGTCCCAGAGATCGTTCCCAGCGTTCTTCCCGAAATGACTTGCTCTCGCGTCGGAGAGTGCGATTGCCTGAGCTACAGTTACGGCGATGAGGATAAGGTCCATGACCTGTTATATGGTATGTTTCCAAGTCACAGACTGGAGATCATCTCAAGATTGCTCAAGAGAACGATGCAATCATCAGCAACTATACTAGGCCTCCCAGCACGTCCACGTTCGCGTCGATCTTTGTCAATCCGCAAGTGGACAAGATTTGGTTTAGTCTCCTTGTATAGTAACCTTTAATAGGAGGGCCATGGAGGGATATTGTTACGAAGAAGCATTCAGAGCGGTTCCAAGCCACGACTGGCTACACACCCAGGATCCTTCTTCGTACAGTTAATACAGAAGGCCGGCCAAGGAGAATTGCGCGGATCCTTCCTGTAGGAACAATTCTCCTCTTAGTATTTACGGATATCATTAAAGAGAGCTATCCGAGACTTGTATATAGCGGCTAGAGTGTATCCTGTGATTACTATCCACCGCCCGGCCGGCCGAAGCTCTGCCTCGATGCATGACAAAGGTCGTGAGGATGGTGTGAACATATTTCTCTTTCCCCGGACAATGTATCAACATACATAAACCTTACACCTTGATCGCGGAAGCTAGGCGCGTAGTTCAGAATTGCACAAGTTCACTATTATTATAAATGATGGTCCAAATGAATTTGAGCCTGGCGGTCAGCTTTACTCTTTCGGTTGTATGAGCCCATCGACATCGGAGTGAGTGAGACTGAGCAGGATTTGATAAAGAGGGCACCTGCTGCATCTGGAGTCTTGAGCAGAGCAGTTTCTGTAATGTCCAGGATAATACAAGCAATAAAAAAGATCTTATTTGACAATTGAAGTATTTCGTCTCTCTCATATATGTTATTAGCTCTCAGTATGCTATGGTAATATCAGCCACAGGATACCAAATACAGTAGATTCATGCTTGGGCCTATCAATTTCAATGTCACCCGGTTGCCATGCTGTCATATTGATCGGATCTTGTAAGTTGCGACCACGTGTCTGCGCAATATGTAAGTGAAAATTGTGAGCATGGTTTTAATTTTGGGAAGACTGGAACTGCATTAGGTATTGAACAGAAGCCAAGCAGGCCGCAGTCTTTGTGAGCTACGACTCCATCCGGTCTGTACATGTGCAGTCACCTCATGAACCAACGTTCTCATCTAATACTTGTACAAATTGTGCTGATTAAGAAGAGATCAGAGCCTCTATTTGTCAGCAATCCGCAAGTGACACCATTGTGATGTGTCAAGAATGTCGAGCTGGCGAAGAAAAGGGCGAGCGATTGTCGGAGCTCTGGCATGAGCGGTTCATCGGCGACAAGCCGCATTCTCCACCTTTAGGAAATTAGTCTGACACCAAGACGTTTTTAGTGCGTCTGCGGTTTATCGGCGGCAGGCCGCAGCTCCACTGAGCGGCTCAACATTGACTGTAGGCCAGTTCATCGACCATCCCATCTTGCCCATCTAAGGTAAGCATAACTCGGAGTATGTCCAGATGAACATCTGCGAACAGTTTTTAAAGTATAGTTTAGTTTATTCTAAAAACCATGAATCAGAGGCGTTCTCTCTCAGGATCACCAATCACGATGGCCCCAATGCAACAAGCCCGGCTATGACGAATTCCATTATGATTGGCTGCTGTTTATTCTGTATTGTAGCCTGTTTATAATTTATCTAATATCTCTCTGTTTCATTCTAATATGAGATTGCGAGTGTATATATTCCAACCTTAACATGTAACGATTATTCTGAAACCGTCTCTTCAACTTCGTATTTGCGTAGACCTTTAGACCTTTTCATTCACGCTAGTGTTGCCAGTCTCTACATCAGTAGAGCTGGATTCTTCATCCTCTCCCGCATAAGCATACTTACTTCGTGATCTGATCCTGGCACCATATCTCCAGAATAAGAAAGGAATTGCGCAGCAAGCCAGGCTGAGAAAAGCCAGCAGACTCGATGCCCATTGATCGCCCAGCCGTTCATACATCTGCTCGGTAAATAGGACGACGGCAGCACCCCAGAAACTTCGGATAAACGTTTTGGCTGCAAGAGCTGAAGCTGCTTGGTGCTGATATGAATCAACCAGGTAGTTATTGGCCGAGTTATAAAGGAAAATGAATCCAAATCCAACAGGTAGACCGCCCATGGCCGGGCCGGCCCAAGAGAGATTGGTGTACGATGTCCAAGCAAAGATGAAGAGACCGATGGGGATCAGCCAACATGAGAGCATCATGGGAATAAGTCGTACCTCGGCTGGGGGCTTTCCGTTATGTTTCTTGACTAAGTGAAGATAATGCTTGTTGACAGAGGGAGACAAGCAAGAAGAAAGCAGAACACCAACTGCAACTGGGAGAAACATGAGCCCAGTGGTTCCAGCCGAGTATCCTTTGCCTTTCTGGAACACGATAGGATAGGCCACGAAGAACATATAGAGTAGTCCGTACAGGATACTCATATAGATCGAGATGAGAAAGACAATAAGTTCGCCGAAAAGGAGCTGCAACGGGCGAATAAGGAACACGCGTAATCTCTCTCCGAGGGTCCGTATATCGAGATCTTGTTCGCTAACGTGCGAATCAATGCCAGTGGACTCTCGCAGCTTACGTGCCCGACGAGACAGAATCGTAGGGGCATATGTCTCGGGGACAGTAAAGGTGACAAGAAACCAGGCCACGCCGGCAAAGATGAGCTGAATCCAATACAGCCAGCGCCAGCCCTTTGCATCTGATAGATAACCCCCAATCAAGGGACCGACTGAACCACCCATAAGTATTTGTTTCTCCTAGAGCGAATGATTGACTTACTGGCTGGGCCGAGGAAAGGGGCAGCAGAAAAAGCAGCCATGGGGACACCCCTCTCTTCATTCTTCCACATGTCGGCCAATGTGCCACCAACAAGGGTCATTGGCGCGGAGAAGGCGATACCATCCAGCGCTCGGCAAACAAGTAATGTCTCGATGTTCTTTGCCACTGCGCAAGGGATGACAAGAACGGTAGCGATCAACAGAGTAGAGCCGCTTCCAAATAGTTAGCAATGCAAATCAAAATTGTATGCATGGATTCTAACATACTAAATGATTCTCCTTCCGAAAATTTCAGAAAGGGGCGAGAATACCATGGGGCCGATACCGAAGCCAACGACGAAGATACTTATACTAACAAGGACTACCTCTTCGCTGACGGCAAACTCTTCAACGACACCTTTGACATCGGCTGTGATAACGGCGGAGCTAAAGGCCACGACAAAACAAGTGAGGGCGATGACCATAGTATAGTACCACTTGCGGGCCTTGGACCAGTTCTTGGGATTCTCGGGGTCATCTTGTGAGAAGACGACATGCTGGTGCCGCACCCCATCGATATTGACGGACTCTATATTGATAGACTCGATATTGACAGACTCGATGTTTTCGCTCACCGATGGCTGAGGTCGTTTGTCTTCATTTTGGGGTGTGAGTGTTTGTGAATCCACAAACGATGAGGATGGTGTGGCCATGGTTCCAAGTCGGATAGTTAAGGAATGAACTTGAGGAGCCCCTGCGAGGTCAGAGGATGAGACCAGGACACATGGAGGCTATTTATCCTCCTACCTAAAAATAATGAGACACCGAATTCTCTCCCTACTTTCACCCAGGTCCGATCCGGCCAGCCCACCATGTCGACGCAGATCCACAATGAAGCGGGTGAGCGGGTTCGGAGTGGTGCGCTATAATCTTAGCCCAGGATCGGCCCTGCAATATGGAGAAAGTGATTCGGGTCAGACTCAAATAATCCAGCCCTGTACCTCACGTACCTCGATTTTCAGGAAGAATTTCATTTCAGGGGTTAACAAAGAGCGGATGTTGTCGAGATTACCTGCTTGGAATGTTGGCCCGCTCTCTCCCGTAGTGACATCGCCGCCCTGGGCATCTGGACGGGTCATCTTGAGATCTTGCACAATCTGGCATCTAGCATAACCACGGATAGATCACATGTAGATACTAGATGGGGGGAACCCCGGTCCTTTGCGAAATGCAGTGTTTTGAGGAGCTGGTAGCTGTGGGACCCAACGTCACATTTGAAGCCAGGGCATCGGCTCCACGGCACATGCAGTGCTGCTTTCATCAGGCATGACCATGTGTGAGTAAAAATTGGTTACTCTTTCCTTCAATTCTGGGGTGAGATTGGGGTAGGAGAGTGGGCTCTGGATTCTCAAGCACTGATGTTCAGCCCTCCCAAGATACTCTGTCCACCAACATAGTAAGTTGGTTATGTATCCTTATTTATCAACCCCCAGTCGTTGGAGCACAGAAGCAAAAGGGTTGAGATTTGAAGCGCGGCACTGCTTGGCCAGCCCTCCTATATTTTGCACGACGCGCTCATCAACCTCCCCCCTCAGGTACATTCTTGTTAATACCATCATCTCCTTGAATCCTGGACTCTGAGTGATGATGCCAGCTCCCATCTGATGCAGATGTGTTTCCCAGTCGTTCCCATGAAGTTGAACCCCGGCATTGCCGCCGCATCTTTCTCCATCTGCATCGGCAACCATATCGAAGAACCAGGTGAAGATGGTGGATTCCTCCGGTCCGGAACTGGGGGCAAATGTCATGAGATCAGGGCACGGCCTACTAGTGGCCCGACCCTCGGCATTTCTGAGCGAATCCCACCGACTAGCCAAGACACAGGACCAGAAGAGGAAGAGCCTTGGGTTGTGCGGTTTGTGGAGCCCCAGGAGTAGGGCCATGCGGCCGGCGGCGCTGATCAGCATCGACACCTGTTCGATTCTGGGACAGGTTATCAGTAATAGGAAGGACTGAAGACTCCAGAGAGCAGGCATGGTGGCGACCTCGAACGAATCGAAGCATTGCTGGACAGAGGCAAGAATGTCGTCAACAGCCTGGTCATGGAAAGGGTCTTTGCTCAAGTATGTTGCGGCGACCAGACAAATCGACCGAGTCGAGAGGCGGTGCGAACGGCTCTACGGCCAGATCGGAACGGTCAACGAGCGGCCAAAAAGGAGAAATCTCATCGAAATATCTACCGTGTTTGAGTTAGATATTGTTCTCTGGAGCCCTATCCGGAAACCCGTGATACACCTACCTATTGATAAGAAAAGTTGCGGACGAGACTGCCCCCGGAGGTAGGTCAAGGCGCAATGGCAAAGGCTCGCCATTCTGGATTGATTCATTCAAGTACCGTAACTCGAGCTGGGGAGAGGACCCGTCGTCATCCAGGGCGCAAGAGAGATTCTTGGACACGCAGCGGGCACACGGGACTTCACCCTCGCATCTAAACAGTATGATGGATTAGCTACGAGAAAGGAAGCGAGGGGATCATTCTTTTTCACTACCTTCGCTTTGCTGCCCGACATGGAAGGCAAGCTTTGTTCACCCGTAGCCGCTTGGCTGTGCGTGACTCCATCCGCAGATTGAAAATCAGCGATAGATTTATTTGCTGATTGTCGGGGAAATGATGTGGACGGTTGTAGAGAGGCGACTAGGAACAGGTTGACGTTTTCAATGGGTCAAGATTTGAGGGAGCGGAGAACCGGCAATTGTGGAGAGTCCAGTTGATAATGAATTCGGTAGGGCGCGTATTAATAATTAGCGCTAGTTAGTTGTTGGGCTTTCTCTATTTCTTTCTCGAGGGCACTTTAACTTAGGCTTGTGATTGAATCTCACTCCATCACCAACGAGACATGAGGAGATGCTCAACGCTGTCAAATCATGCACTGAGGACGCATCTACTCTTCTGCGTAACTCGCCATCGACTCATTGAAGAAAATTTGAGCTGCGGAATCAATAATGTCATTGAAGTCTTGGATGTGCGATCCCTGCAAAAAGTACTCCTTCAGCTCTATCCTTTCTCCGTTGGGTGAGAATACATGTGTGGCTGCCGGCTGACAATCCGTCCAGACTGAAACTTCGCTGCGACTGGTCGTCCTCGACATCATTTACTCCTCAATGCAGTCGTTGTGAAAAATACGATCTAAAATGTGCAATCGATAACCAGCCCTGGGCGGCCAATGCCCAGCAACTGTACAGAACCACGGTGTTGGAGGCATCCTCGAGAACGACCTTTTGGGGGCCCACGTCCAATTCCGGCGGCAATCCGAGCGATCTCCATAGCGGAGAGAGGCTGCCTGGATCTAATGGGTCTAAACCTACGTCGTTGAATCAAGCGGCCGTTCAGCGTCGGAATGGGCTGGACAGAAACGTGCTGGACCTCGACCCCAACGTCAAGAGTCACTTGTTCGACATATACCTAAAGCACATCCAGCCCTTCTTTCCCGTTGTTTCTTCCTACTCCATCCAGGCCTATCCACCCACGCCCTTACTGGAAGCCGTGATATGCGCGGTTGCAGCTAAACATCGGCTGGCCATTGCGTCATGGAGAGATTTGGAATACACTAGAGGTTTCATTCAGGAACAACTCGCCCAGATGTTCAGCTTACGAGCCAAATACGAGCCCAAAGTCCAGACTGTACAGGCTTTGGTCATCGCATGTGCTAGATTTGAGATCTTAAATAAAGACTACGCCGACTTTCTTAACGTGGCTATCACCATGGCACTCATGTGCAAGATGGCACAAGACCTTATGCTTGATGAATCTCTCAAAGTCAACGATGATACAGATGATACCAAGTTTCGGAGACAGCTCTGGAAATCCTGCATGTTCATGGACGTGTTCAAGGCTGCGATATATGGACAGACCCCCAACCTGCACCAAGACTACTGGATTGGCCTGGACCGCTCTCTTCTCCTCAGACGGGAGACTGGACCTTTATCTCCCTCTGACATTGCATTCGACGACTTTGTAGCCTTGGCATGCCACCTCGAAAGAATCATTAGAAGCTTGTATATCACACAACGCTCCGAACCGAGCAAGCTTCTAGGGCAGATCACGTCAATTTTCCATCTCCTCGATCGCTGCCAGAAGCTTGTCAGCTCACATCTTCACCTATACGACCATGATACTTCACGTGCGCTGCAAATGTATGTACATAATAACCGGCTGCTCATTGTGCTTGGAGTAAAGCTCTCTGAGCTTGGAGAAGGCCCGGCTATATCTGAGCTGAAGGGAATCGTGGAACAGCAGCGCGAGCTTGTAGTTCATGAAGCTATCCAGACGTTATCCTGGTTGGACGGGGAGCTGACACACTCGCCGTTCACGGAGATGGGCTTTATCCTCTACTTCGTCTCGAGGGCCTTGCTTGTAGTCGTGAGCCAGCTCAACACGCTCGGCACGACATCAGCCCAGTCCAACCCGCTGGTTTCGAGACTACTCGAAGCAACCGAGTCGGCGAGGAGCTTTTCCGATAGACTTCTAGAGTTGAATCGGTGGGGTGTGGAGTGGTACCAGGCACACACGATTCGTGGTATTCTTGGCCGCATCAACGTGGAAAGTCGAGCGCCCGTGGAGTATGAGAGCCAACCAGTGCCTCAGGAGGTGGAACCAAGCTTTGATGAGTTATCAATGGACAGCATGTGGGCGACGGAGGACTGGGAAGCTCTTGTGGAATCTTGTGGGTTTGATTCTTGGATATTTCCAAATTTCGAAAGTACTCTATGACGCTGGTGTATTCTACCATTTTAATTGTAATTGAAAACGATTCAAACATGTCGGTAGATACATAAGAGAATCCCTTTATTCCCCCTATGGTATATTTTCATCTCGACCAGATAGACAGGAAGAATAAAAAACAAGTATTAAACTGAACGAAAACAAAAACACAGTAAAGAAAACAAGTACTAGAAAATCTAGCTTTCAAGGATCCAAGGATCTGGTGGTTGGACTTCTCTATCAACAGATAAAACATGCTTCTCCTGCAAGCGGCGGCGTTGCATAGGAGCACGCTCAAACGTACTCCGCACAAATGAGATCGCCGCCCAAGTTCATAACCTCTCTGATCGTTGCATTGGCAACGATGCCGACCATCCAAAGGTTATGGTTGAGTGTAGTCACGTTGCCATCGTCACCGTCATAGTCCAAAAAGGCAGCACTCGGCTCCTCCATGCCATTTTGCTCAAGGTAGCTGGTCAGAGGAACGTTGCGTCCGCCCATATCAGTCAAGCGGTAGGTGAGATTGGCTTGCTGCCACTCCCACCAGAGGCGATCCAAGTTGGCATGATGGAGGTAAAAGATTGGTTCACCAGGACTTCCAACCACGTCAAGCAGCTAGCGGTGGTCAACATTTGTCTTAAAACTACTTGGACCGGTACCGAGGTGTCACTTACCACTCCTCCGACGGCGGAATGCCCTGCAGTGTGTGGGTTCACTTGGTAGCATTCAAACGCTTCCTCGTACGTATCGGTGTTGTAGCATTCGTCGATGTACTCCTGTGCGCCCGTCTGAAAGCCATTTGAGTTGAGTGACCGCGACAGGCAATAGCTGTCTGACGTTGAGCTTGAGCTCATGTGCAAGGTCAAGTTGACGAACGGGCCGTCAGTCACACAATCGCCTCCCTCGCCGCCGAATCCAGTGTCGGGGTCGAAAATTGCAGAGCCTGCAAGGTCATCCATGTCGAGCGTTTCGTTCCAGTAGGGTTGGCCGCCCTCATAACCGCATTCGGACTGCAAGAGATACTCGTGAGCCCGGACAAAGTACCTGTGCCAGGGTAAAAAGGCCCCCTTGAGACCCTTGTCAGTTAATCAAGAAAGCCTACCCGCTAGGGCTGTATACTTACGACGTTGTGGATGACATTGGACTGGGTTATATGGGCCCAATCAAGCTCATCCCAACGGTTCAAGGCGCCGTCAATGCCAGCTTTGGCTGTGCTATTCATCAAACAAAGCTCAGCTTCGATGTAAGCTGCCTTTTCCGTATCTGTCATAGCATTCCTGTAACAATGTAAGGTTCCTGTTGAAGATGCACGCTATGAGACTTGTGATGTAGGTTCTTACCATGCCTTTCGTTCCGTTGGGGTGCTGCAAGTAGTATTCCAGGATGCAGAAGAGACGCCAGACGCAGTCAAGAGGAGGAGTCCTAAAATAGAGGAAATCATTTTCGCTGAACGCCAGTGTTCAGATATGTTTGAGAGTATGAACAGAGGATCAATTGCGCAGTTTGATGAGTTCTATAGATCTGAAGAGTGATCAATAGCCACGACAAGACCAATTATATATCTTTCCTTGGCATCTTATTTCGTACAATTGTTCTACTTGATGTTCCAAATGGCTTCTTTCCCAATGCTGTCGACGCGCGTTCGTTCCAGGGGTAATTCCTCGTGGGACTATAGCCCCTTCTCTCGTCTAGATTCCTCCACTGCACAGAAACCAGCACCATCACGGACGCACTTGGGTGGCTGAGTGGCATCCATAGCTGCTACCATGATATCTGAGGCGTGGTATTGTTGAGAGAGAAGTTGTTGCCCTGTCAAACAGTGGATGATTGTCGTATTGGATCGGCGGTCAACCCCACAACATCTCGCGTACGCAATCTCTACTAGGCCCCGGCACTTCGAGGGCCGCGTGGTCTAACGCGTCCCTCGCTCAACTTGTTCAACTGAACTTTTACGCACGGATAGCAAGCATCGTTGGCACCAAGGGGCCCGGCACTCGCGAAGCTAAGCCATCATAGCTAAGGTACTAATGTTTATGATCGCAATGGGGTGGAGGGGTGGAGCTCACCGGATCTAGGTGTTCTTACAATTGAGTTCAACTAAAAATAAACTGCCTTGAATATAATTTCAAAATGTGTTAAAATTCTCCAGTGACTGTGGTTGCAACCTTTCGTCGAGGTATGTAAACTAGCTGCGTTACTTCCTGTGACAGGTTGAGACCGGCGTTTCGGTGCGCCATGGTTTATTTCGGTTACTTGCCAGGGTTGAGACAGTTAATTGGATGGAGGAAAAATAAGGGTACATAACACCGCTGAGCCTCTGCAGATCCTTATCAGATCCTGAAGAACGCATGGCTTGACATTGTCCACTTGTGTTATTACGTGGACGAACCTCACAAAAGTTACGTCACCTCCTATCCCCTTAACGCCTCGTATCCCTCAAACCATACCGCATGTGGCCTTTTCCTCCGTTAGACATGCATGAACGCCTCCGCACTTGGTTTAGAAGAATCCAAGAACTAGATGCCATGTTTTCTCGTTGGAGAAACGCCTCAATTGTAGCCAGCTACGTAATACGCAAACGTCTAGGTGCCACACCTGATCAGATTTCGACTCTAGCTTGACTTATACCTCTGTATTGTTCCCCATCTTGATATCATCTGACTCTGGGCTTAGCAGATAGTTATTTCCAACGTTGATTTATCGCTACAATACCTGTCTCTATGCAAACACACTGGGCGAGGAGACAAATTACTGTAATTGGTCGCCATAGACTTCAACAGCTTGTCAGGTTGCTAAATGGCGTTCACGAATACCAGTACCGACTCATGCTTAGAGCCTGCTTTTTGGTGGGAGGCGGAAAACAAATATTTACCAACAGGAGAGAATGTCTATTCACCATTTATAGAAAAACCTTTCCCTGGGCTGTAGGGTACCCGGTCCAGACTTCTCGAAGCTTGTGGCCTCACCCAGAAACTCCGATAACAAGGAAATATGTTCTATGCCATATGAAGTACCAGCCATCACGCTCAAAATCCAGCAAGGTGTCCCTTACCTTAGCTCTTAGTTGTATTCGGAAGCCCTTTTCGCTGCAAGAGACACGCCGATATAAAACGAACTCATCAACGTCATTATTGTCATCATTACCTGGAAGAATAACACGTGTTGGAGAGTTGGAGGAGTTCGGGAGTACTTAAATCGGACCGTTTTAAGCTTACATCTTTATTTCGGATATTTTTCATATTGAGGAAGGACCACGGAGATGATTCTTCAAATAAATATACACAATTTGATATCCCACTCGTGGTGAAAATGTTTTTATGTACTCATTTCCCGGTTCAATAATTCTAACCCCGATAGGAACTAGATTTGCCACTAGATGGGGTGTTTGATCTAAGCTAACCAGTCCACAGAGTCGGCCCGGGGATCACATAATTGGTGATCGTGGTGTAAGGGTTGAAGAGAATTCCAGGGTGGTCAGCAGTGTAGAGCTGGTTGTAAGCAACGCCTGTGGGATTGGCGGTTCCAGAACCAGTGACCTCGATATTCAGGCACTGCGGGTAGTTCTGAGCGCCATTTGCCGAACCAGAGCCATGGACACCGATAGTCTCATGGCGGAAGACGTATTTGCCAGGGGCGAGGGATGAGGGTACCTTGGTTGTCCATTTGTTGCCATTCTTCTGCATCTTGGTGGCAGCCCATTCCTGAGTGGCGTAGTCAATTCCGGCCTCATCGATCTTCACCCACTTCAGAGTCGTCTTGTCAACTGTGGTACAGTCATTGTTGGAGCATTTGGCCACATAGGTAAACATAGGTCCAGGGTGTGGCCAGTCACTCCATTGGAATTCAACGGTGCCGCCAGCCGCCACCTTTGCAGAAGTCTCTCCGGGCTTGGCCGCCTTGTGGCAAATGATATCGGCGCTCTGATAAGCATCAGGAGCGACAAAGCCGTTGTCGAGGTTCTCGGCATACCAGCCAGCAACCTTGGGCGGGGTCTGGCCGTTCTTGATCATGTAATAATAATCGAGAAGCCATCCACCGTTGCTGACGCCGTCTGTCTTGAAGCTCTGAACAGTGCCATGAGCGACTGCCGTCCCGACGAATGCGCCGACAACAAGCCCGATGGCCCTCATTTTCAGCTAAATGCTTTCTTGTGGTCGTTGAAAACAAGCGTCTTAGAATTGATATCGAGGTTGGATCTTGGAAGTCGGTTTTGTCCTAATGAAAGGGAAATCTAAATAAGAGTGGAACTTCATAATACTCCAGAAAGCCACACTTATATACTTGAAAAGTCTCTACTTAAGCTAGCCATGTGTGGGGATTTGTCGCGGGTAGTATAAGTTGAAACTCGAATAGGTCTTGCTTGGCTTTGAATACACCCGGCCTCATTTGATACCAATGCGGCGACTACTGGTTGTGTTGGATATGTTTAACATCCTAAATGGCAATGATCATCTCATATCCCCGTTTGAAAATTGCCCGGAGGTGACTTAAGGTAACACTCGGGGCTTGGATCTCCGTACTGACTATGCTTATGCTAGGCCTCTACCAAGTGAATAAGAGACTTTTTAGTGGTCAAAGCCGGACCTCAGGCTCTTGAAACACTGCGTTGTTTCCATACCGCGATTTTCGGGCCGTGTCCCATCTTGGATTCCTGTTGGGTCAAGTTTAGCCCTACGGAGATGAGTCTTGGCACCCCTGTTGGGCAGGTGGCACGGGGTTGTCACATATCTGAAATGAAACAACTGAATTTACAAGTGCATGGCGGTCTTGTTCGAGAAATGCGGATCAGAGGTACCGAGTGGCTTCATTCTACCAAGATCAACAGCATCTTTCTCCTGACTCGACAACCCCTTACTAGTTTCGGAGGTTGATACCCGAGTTACAAAACAATACGGGGGCCATTCAATGTACATGAGCTGAATGACACGGAAGAATCTTCAATTTTTACCTTGAATCTCTTTGTGTGCGTTGCTGCCAAATTACCAAGCATCATGCCACCAAGTTTTCCGAGGTCTGCATCCAGTTGTAGTTGAAAAAGATTGTCCGTGAAGATTTACAGGAAAGAATGAGGAATTGCACCAATGGCAGGATCTGAACTAAGTGGTAGGAATATCTTTAACTTGTTCAAAAAGTACTTTTTACAGCAAGTTATGGCTTGCGCTTCGCATAATGAGGTATATCTACCCTGGCAAGGTCTTCGTGACATTAGATGCACATAGCATTGTAATTTGCTTTCAAGTGCGTCTGGACTCAAAATTGACGAAGCAGACGTAAAGAGAATATCCGGGATTTTAAGCAGACCATGCTGCTGAAATATCACATCAGAGCTCATACACTTGTGGTGTTCTAATTAGTGGCTGAAAAGTCCCTAGACAGTAGAGAATGGGTAATGAGTTCATTCTCTTATGTTTGATTGGGAATGAGATTCTAATTCCTCGTTGAAAGAGGACTCAGCAGAGGAAAGTAGCTCTGGCAAGTGGGTGTCAGAATAACATAGACTGCAAAGGTGTTTCTATCCCAGCTTTCCAATATAGGCCACAATATTGATAGAAATAGTTGATGATAATAATAATAACAATAAATTATTGAGTAATTATTAGGCAATATGATCTACCTATTATTAGACAACAGGAATCATTGTAATATGACTGACGGCCACAATAATTCTGTCGAGATGACTTTGCAGTCCCTGTTTTTTGACGGCCACTTGTCTAGCTACTATTTTTAAACTACCTGGGTGAGTTGTTATTTTGAACCCAGAGTTCGATCTGAACGTAGCTGATCAATTGGACGGCAGATACGGCATGTCTGTGATGACCCATGTCCGAATCCTGAGATGATTGTGTAATTGCGGAGGAGCCTGGCAATCCTCGTCATCCTTCTTCCAATGGCAACATCTAAAGCGATGCGCCCGTCGTCAAGTTCGGCATCTAATGGGCAACCATGATCAATGAGATAACAAACGAAGTCCAACGTGCTATCCCTTTGGCAAAACGTGTTCTGACACAAGATATGAAGCAATGTAGCCCCATTCTTTTGGAGGTCTTCCAAATTGACCTCGGGGCGTTCCAGCAAGAGCCACGCGCAGTGAAGATTACCTTCAGAAATGGCGAGGGACAATGGCGTTTCGCCGTCGATCGACTTCCCTGCGGCAATAATCCCAGGCTGTGCTAAGAGCAGCCTTACGATAGAATAGTTGCCTCTAGATGCTGCAGTGTGCAGTGGCGTCCGACCGCGGTTGTCGAGAGCGGAAACATTGACTTCCGGCCTTGTGAGCATAAGTTCGACGAGCCGCAGGCTATCGTGCCGTATGGCAAAATGAAGCAGGGTTTCGCCACCAGCACCCCACCGCGTGGAAACATCCGCTAGAGGGTTTTGAAGTCCCCAAGTGGCGATATCGTCGTTTCCCATGCTTATTCCACATCGTATGCCTTGATTCAAGAGGGATGCATCATCACAAGCTTCCAACAGCGCCTGGGCGACCTTAATTTTGCGATCGGCCAGTTCCCGGAATCCTACGTCCCATTTGAGTGAGAGCAAACGGTGCCCCGTGCGGACGAGGGCGAGCGCAATCTTGTCGGAAAGGTAGTAGTATGTAGTAATGTCGAGTGCAGTCATGTCATCCCAATCACGTATTGGGCGTGGATCGCTGTCTACGCCCATATCTAAAAGATAATACACAATATTCTCATGACGCTTGCGTAGTGCGCGAATAAGGGGGCTTTGAAAGCACTTCGTTTTCCTGTCCCGGATGTAGTCACTCTCGTCCCTGGCGCCATCTGCATTGAGATCCGCGCCAAAACTGACCGCCATTTTGATGGTGTCCAGGCGGCCGTTCTCAGCAGCCCAGAGGACGCACGAATCGAGTGGCTCGCCTTGTTTGAGATTCTTTCGATATAGAGTTGCGTTGAGTAAATTGTACAACCACCGGCCTGTACGGATGAGCGCAGCTAGGTGCTTCGAAGGGGGTGGTTCTTCAGATGAGGCTGGCCAGGCACACATCTCGCCTATTGCAATGACGATCTCTTGTGGGAGAGCTTCGAATGTCGCCATACTGGTATCGCTCGTATCTGCTTAAAATTGTGTTTTTGACAGGTGGAGGTTTAAGCAAGATTTTTCTAGGCATCAACGACCAACAAGCCAAAGTTGAAATGCAGCCACAGAGACGTTGTTGGTGGCTTGGTGGTTGGACTTTGGTTTGCCCGGATTGGGCGACATTGAAATTGTGAATCCAAAGATTATCCTGCGGCATTCTCAAGTCTATCACTGGTATTATTATATTACTGAGAGCCTATGATGATTTATTCATAGACGATATAGTATCATATGCCAATTTATATCGATATGTATTATTTTATTGCTATAAAAAGTGCTCCGCTCAAGACGATTATTCACGTTGTTGTCTTAGTTCTTTTGTCACCCATTTGCCTGCAGGGGCTCCATAGCACAGCCACAATCATAGACCAAACCACCTCCTACAGTGATAGTAAATCTAGAAACCGGCTTGCAATAGTAGTGAGCTGTCGAGTGCAGAGGAGCAAGATATTTACTTGGCGAGACAAATGATACTCATGGCCCTAATCTCTGTGAAACCGGTTCCGTCGTGTTAATCGCATCATCGGCGATGAGTCATACCAGAGATGGAGATGTAACTTATTAGCGGCGACAGGGCGACGTGGAAATTTCTACCTTGCGTCTTTTGTACATAAAATGACGTTAACTGTAGGCCTACCAATTTGTTGAAAGAAGCAATCCGAATCAGAGAAATGGCGCTGATATTGCGAAAACCCACCCTTGACGATGCAATCCATATGCTGGCGGTCCAAAACTCGGCATTCAAAGATTCTGCCTTGAACATTCGTTGCTTTCCCCCTTCTGATCCGAAGGCTGAACTCAGCCATATCGAATGGATCAAAGACAAGATTAAGCTGCAAGAGCTGACTCTTGCATGCGACGAAGAAGGACAAATACTCGGCTGGTCACGATGGGTGCGTCGGCCAGTCCAAGACCCCAGGCCGCCGAAACCCATCTTCACGCCAGACATGTATCCGCAGACAGGAGATCCCGAGCTTGCGGTGAGATTCTTTCAAACAAATGTCGAGAAGATGGAAGACATTGTGGGCTCCGAGAATGTCATGTTTTTGAGCATGTTGGTAGTCCGACAGGAGGCGCAGCGGAAAGGAGTGGGCAGTGCGTTGATAAAACCCGGTGTTCAAACAGCAGATGAGGAGGGGTGGATCTGCTATGTCAATGGAACCGAAGGCGGGAAAGGTCTCTACGAGAAATTTGGATTCCGAACAGTCGAGACGAGCTGGTTCGCCGATGGAATTTTGACACACCACATGACGAGGCAAGCAAAAGGCACAGCCAATGGTCACTACTAGGCTTTCTTTTCACGCTGAAGATGCTGCCAATTATGCTAAAGCTAGTTGTGAGTTGGTGACCTCATGGTTGGCAGAGGTGGGAAGCTGGTTGACACGGCTGTCTCTGATGGATAGATTTGCTCTTACTAGTCGTATTCAAGGTCTTATGCATAGCGATTTGCCCCAGGTAACTGACCATACGATGAACATTCCCTCTTTTTCAGCTCGCTAGGTTGCTTCGGAAGCGCGTCAGTCGTCATCAATAGCCTCGAGACATGCGGCGAGGTCTTCAGCTGTTATATCTGCGAGGTATTGGAGTCTGGGATCACGTTCCAGGGATGCATCGCTTGCCTCGCCCCAGTCCCAGTAAAAATCCTCGTTCTCGAGGATGATCTGCGTAATTCGATCAAACGCCAACTCTTTGAGCAGAAGATGCTGATAGATGAAGGTTCCACCGGAGTTGAAAATTTCGTCCCGCGTCTCCGAAAAGGGGACTACACTATACTCGACGGCTGAGTGCGTGTGCTTCTGGGCCACCTCGTTCCACTTGGTGATGATCCGCGGTTGGATAGACGTGATATTTTCGGAACTCCTCCACACGATACTGGCTCCGCCGGGTCTATTGACATATCGGAAGATGTATGCATCGCAGTCTTTCTCTTTGTCAAGGCGAGTACCCCAAAGCTCAATGACTTCCAGTTGGGGAAGCGATAGAGCTGCTTCAGCTGCGAGGATTACCACTGACTCGAAATCTTGCCTGCTTGTTTCTGACTTGGTGGGCACAAAGCGCAGGATCAAGCGCTTTAGAGAGCTGTCAACTCTCCTAGGTGACGCTTCAAGTTCAATCATAGACTTCAGGAAGGCGGCTGTATCCATTTGCCATGGCGGGCAGAACTGTTCCAGTCGTTGAGACAGCTTTGCCATCTCCCGAGGTAAGTAGCCTAGAGAATACGGAGATACTATTGTCCCTACTGTCCGTAGAACGTCACGACGCTCACGTGGGGGGATCTTCCATTGGACAAAGGAGAATTGACGCAATGTTTTCGGCAGAGAAGGCAGCAAGTGTGTTTGGAAGCCTATAGAATTGGGGTTAGTCTCAAGAGATATTTACCGTGGAGATGGTCGATGTTTCATACCTAGTTCAAAAGAAACTTGCTCAGTTATGTCGGGGTGAACGGTTCTTTCGAGGCGGAACCACTCCAACGACACAAGACTTCGGCTGAGTAGACAAGACAGCGACCTCATGTCAATCTCCCTCCGATTCTGCCTGCGCATAACCAGACCTTTAATCATAGGCACGGCAGGGAGGTTCTTGTATTCGCCGTTGGCGCCGTCGGTCTCATTCATGAGGGGCTCAAAACGGAGCGGAGTCCCCTGCATCCTTTTGATATGCCCGCCAAGCTCCGAGACGAGGTCACCATAATGGCAATAAAAGGTGAATGAACGGGTATGGTAAGATCGGTGGACATCAGTGATACCGGGCGGAACATCTCGATCTTCAGCGGGGTGGAATGGATACCTCTTTCGCATGTCCCCTATGATAAATCGATGCGTGGTATCACTGGGTGACGAAGCGGACACCATCAGTGCCAGTCCCTCCGCGCCATGCCTATCGGGATCCCAGAGTTTGAGAGTGTTCAGCAGGCACTGGATGCTATCTGTGAACACCACATTGTTACTGGGCGGCTGGTTAGCGCAGAACCAGACAAATATCAGAGGAGACATGGATGCCCAGCGTACCACTGCTGCGTGAACTTATCCTCTGGTACCTCGCAATTGGGACACGTATATTCGGGGAGCCGGATGCGCAGCCAAATATTCCTCATGTATCTCAAACGAGTAGAATCTCGTTTGATGATCTTATTGAAATATCTGAGAGAGCCGGTATTAAGAACAAGACGTCGAAACGTGCAAGCCTCGAAGAAAACCTGCCATTGCCGGCATACAGAAGCAAAACGGGCCACCTTTGGAGGGCGCTGGTCGCTATTTCGCTTCCAAAGGATAGGCAAGCCTACCTGGCTCAGTATCGCCTCGCGTATTTCAGCTGGAAGTGAGGCCCACGAAGTGGTACTGCTCATTGTTGATGATGGTCGATTGTCCGTTGGGAGAGATGTGGTACAGAGTGAGTGTTTCTGCAGTATGGAAAAGAGATAAATCTGGCTTTTTGTTCTTAGAAGGAATGAAAATATAAGATGGGAGAATTTTCTCTCCAACGACGAGCCGGGCAATTATGATGTTGAACTTAGTTAGGCATAAGGCTCGCCAATACAATGCGTAAAGTACCAATTGTGCGAAGCTTACTAGGTAGTTCCAGAGCAAAATCTTGAGTTCTGAACCAAAATCTAGCGTTATTTGCCTCCTTTCCTTTCTATGAACGTTGGCATGACACAGCCACTGTTCGAGCAGTAGCGAGAATCCACGTCTGGGCCATCATGGTCACTTCACGGCTTCTTTAGAGGGTGCTAGTTCTACCATCTTAAGAAATTTACATGGGAAACTCTCGTCGATCTAGGCAGGCATCTTGAGGGTCGGTGATGGCTAATTAGAGGAGCGATAGAGCTGGCTTGGCCCGGAGAGCTACGTATGACTCGAAGTTGTGTAGGATGCTATGCTGTTCAAATTTTACAAAAGTTAGTACAAAACTACACGGTTTAGAGTTTTGACCCTCCACTTCAGGTGACTCCCATAGTTCAATTTGGGTGATACCTTTTTCTTCCGTTCCTTGTAGAGACATGGGACTAAAAGGAGTGAATCTTGATGAAGTTGCCCAAGTATAGGAAGAGAGGGACCTCGGATATAGACAAAACATCTAAGTCGGTTGAGGCAAATCTAAGTTCACATCAATGGGAAGCAGTTCAAAATTCTCTCCGATCCGGGTAGGTGCTTGTAAGATGAGACTGAACGAAGGTGCCATAGAGGGTACGCTAGCGACATCTATTTTGATTCATATGATCATCTGATGGCCAAGGTTCCACAAGGCCGTTTTGACTTTTATCCCAGGAAATGGGATGCCCCCTTCAGCCCGTAGGTAAATAAAGTGCTGTGTGCTCATACTTTCGGATTGACTCTCCCCGAGTTCGTGCCCCAAAGCCCCAGCGCACTCTCTTTGTTTCCTCTTAGATGTGTCAGGATGAAATTCGTTGTCACTCTCTTAATCTATGCTGTCGGTATGAATGCCGCCGCTCGAACCTTAAAACTCGGTAGTCAATTGATCTAAACAACCTATGCGGTAGTAATTCCTATATTAAGAGAAAAAGAACTTTGAAGAATATCGTCCTTTTTCGTCAACCAGGCTAAAACCTGGTCCCCAACTTGTTCTGTCGACTTCCTCAAACTCTTCGGGGATGAGTGAGAGTTCAACTTCTAACTCCTAGGTCCTTATTGTCAGTTCCCCCTCGCTTACGATAGTGATTCTGGTTGGGTTGATGGTATGCGCTGATGCAGAGAGGCCACCCGATGCTCGTCTACAACAGAACCGTATCCATATCTGCGTTAATGCGGAGATATAGGATGTCTAGGGCCTGATCGTGTTATTGATACCGGCGCCATGTGCACTTCAAAATGCAACCACCGGGGCTCCAAAGATTTTGAATCCTCTGCCGGGCCATCCCAAGACCATATCGAAAATGATATTCTTATCATCAGGCAGATTTTCTTATGCGTGGCGAGATGATATTCGTCTCTGCCTAAATATTAGCCCGACGCTTAACATTCAACCCCATCGGATTTCTGTCACTGAATTCCGGTGCGTAGGACGTTCTCGTGTCCCTTCGAAGGTCCTCTAGTACGACGCCTCTGTGGCGTATCGATCTTCGTGAAGTTTCGACCTTCGTGAAGTTTCGATAGTGGATTCGTGCGTATGCGTTTGCGAAGTTCGGTGGTTCGGGCGGGTCGAGCAAGAATCGCAGGAATCGACGGTCGAAAAACAACATTGAAGGCGAAAGACGGAGAATTTCTACCATGCAATAAGATATGTAATAGCGAAAGGAGAGTGTGAGTAGTGAATGGGTGAAAAAAGCCATCGTTTGTGAAGTGCAGCTCTATTGTACCTCAAGTAGGTACCTGTAATTTATGTAATTATAGAAGAAAGCTCCATGTATAGAGGGCTACATAAGTTTAGCTACAGGGGCCTTTCGGCGCACGCCGCCCTGTCACGTGACGAATTCGGTACTGAGGAACAGCACTGTACATTGCGCCATAACGAATTCAATATGAGTAAAAGTACTCCATCCAAGAACAATACCAGTCACTATAGGCACAGCTCAGTAATTTAGTGCCCCTGGAGTGGATGTGTGTGGCTGAGTTCAGTATGGTACTGGCACATAGGTAAGCAACACTACCCATCTCACCCGTCTATGCGTTTGGTGATTCGCAGGCAGCAACATTACGGATGACGAAGCCCTCGGATCTTCACCTGGCAGCCTGATCTCAAATAATTCCTTCATCCTACACCGGCAAGGAGTATCTTCCAAGAAATAACATGTCTCCCACCACGATCCAACTGCTCCCGAATGAGGTGATTCTCTGCATCGCTGCCGAAGTAGACTCGCCACGCGACTTGAGTGCTCTATCAAGGGTAAATCGTCGCTTCCACCACGCTCTCGACGACTTTCTCTATCTCCAGAGTGCGCGGCGATGGGGTAACAAGGCACTACTTTGGGCCGCGGAACTGGGGAAAATCGCCACAGCCGACAGAGCCCTGGGCGCTGGAGGGGACATAAACGCCACGGCCGACAAAGCCCTGGGCGCTAGAGAGGATATGAACGCCAAGGAGGCTTCTCTTCACCAGAGCCTCATACCCAGACGCCTCAGATGTCACAGGGATAAACACAGGACCGATCCATGTAATCATGGCTGCAACACGCCACTGATGCTGGCCTTGGATGCTGGCCATTACGAAATGGTCAAGTATCTCCTAGCCATCGAGGGCAGGGATATAACATCCAAAAATGAATGCGACTTCCATCCTCTCCAAGCAGCTGTCTTCCTTAGGGACATAGCGATGGTCAAGCTTCTACTTCAACTGGAGGATGTGAATCCAGAGCTTGCCGGGTGGGAATTGATGACCCCCCTCATGACAGCAGCAGCGAAAGGACATGTGGATGTTGTAAAGCTTTTGCTAGACCGTCCTGATGTAGATCCTTCCAAGGGGAATGGGTACTCCAAGACGCCTATGTTCTGGGTTGCTTGGTACGGGTACGGCGAAATTGCCAAACTGCTTCTGGACGCAGGGGCAAGCCCGAACAGATTCTTCGATGTGTACCCCCTCGAGATGGCCGTAAACAGAGGCTACACTGACGTCGTACGTCACCTCCTCGACGCAGGGGCAGTCCCGGAGTCCACTTCACCGGCAGGTATATTACTAGATGCTGCTAGATGCAATCATCCCGGTGTCTTCAAAGTCATCCTCGAACGGTTCCCGGGAATCGACATAAATTTCTCAAATAACGCTGGACAGACTGCCTTGTGGTATACAGCGAGGCACGGCCAAGAGGAAATGGTTTCTCTCCTTTTGTCTCGCAATGGAATCGAGGTGAATGGCGTGTATGCAATCGGAACTCCGGTAGAGACGGTAGAGACGATCAGACGGCTTACAACGGACCAGTTGCTCGACCATCCTGAGGTGAGCGAGCCAACAGTGTTAATCGTTGCTGCTATGCAGGGATACTCGAATATAGTGAAAATGCTCGTGGATACAGAAGGGATTGAGTTAGATGCGGTGAATGTACTGGGAGAGACAGCAATCGAGGTCGCGTATGCAAACGGCCACAATGAGACCGCAGAGATTATCCGAGCAGCAATGAGGGCGAAATCCACACAGGGAAGGAAGTCCCATAGCTGCATCATTTAATCTAAATCAGGTTCAATATATTCATCTATTATGAATGTTATATTATGATCTTTTAGATGGTGACATCTATGGTTATAACCTTTGAGATCACTTGTTTGCCATAGAAGAGTTGCAGGTCTTGATGTGATTTGCTTTCTGGGTGGTTCCAGCCACCTTTATTTATCCAATTTTGAACGCAGACGAAACTAACCCAGCTTGATACCTATCCTTCATGCCTTCTTCCACTGGTGAGTAAGTTCATGACGCTATATGTTAAAGAGCATACAACAACGCCAGCAAAGCCAACGCCTGTTTTTCTCTTCATTGGCAGAGTTCATCGGCCTCCTATTGCTAGTATTTATCTTCGGCCATCGTGGGATTGGTACGCTGTCGTGCTGCCATTGCTTGATAACTGGTGCGTTCGAAGTCGATGGTGGGATGTTGCAGGTTATTTTCCCCGGGATAACGGGACTAATACAGCGCAGGTTTAAACAGGTTGGTCGGGTGTGAGATCGGTTGGATGTATGAACTTGGTGGGACTCGTAACACATGCTTGGTGGGAAGAGTGATGCTGTAATCAGATAGGGTATGAGCTTTCTGGCTCTTTTCTAATTCTCATCTCGCATAAAGTGGGCGATTTAGAGGAAGGCTATGAGCCTTCCAATGAAATATTCATATCTCCATTAACGGTGATCATTTTGATAGACATCCCACTAACTATAATACCGGGCATAAGCCTTTGTTGGTGCTGGACACTGATTCAGGCGCTATCGAGTTTGATGTGTTGATCGTGCTGTGATGTCTAGCATCGACTTGTTGATTTCTTCGTATTCGGACGATTTGTTGCTTTTTAACAGCTAGCTGGTCAGTTAATATTTCTAGGGGGAAAGACGTGAAATGATTTATGAGAAGAAGAAAAATAGAAGCTTAGCTCTACACGTATACTAAAACTAGGGATTTCATGTTGGGTTGTATGAGACCACGAGTGGGTTACCGTGTGTAAGGTTTGACTGGAGCGTCGGCATAAGATCATCTTCGGTTCTTGGCAGGCAATGGAGGTCTGCGTTCTTGTGAGCGGCTTCGTTGCCCCGAAGGGGTCCTTCCCTATTGTACGGAGACGTGTGTTTTTGATGATGATTAAGGAGGTAGTAAAGCGATGTCATTGCCAGTGATCAAGAACATCAACCATTCATTATGATGCTTCTTGACCACTCCTGCTGTGTTATCATTTTATTCCTCCTCTTCTAGAAACCATGAATGTTGAGAATGTGGCTGCTGATGTTGAGAAATGCAGCTAGTTGTGTGTAATCGAAGTCTGGAAGCTTTCCTTCATCTTCCCCATGCTTATTGATTAACCTACTACCTTGGCAGGGCCTATTAGCTTTCTATTGCTAGTATTGATCTTAGGAAGTCGCGAGAATAAGAAGCTGGTCAGCTTGCCATTCCTAATAACTCGCAGCGGTGGGCTGTTGGTCATCTTGAAGTCTCTTGCTCTTTGAATGAGACGTTGCTATGTTTTGTTGTTGATTGAGTCGATCGGGCGAGACGTAAGCTTGGTCAAATGTACGATTTTGACAAGAACTTGGCCTATTTGTGATGATGAAGGCAACGATGTGCTATCATAAGGATAAGCGGGATGTGAGATATTTCGTAAGTACGCCGGTGGTTATAGGTTTTCTTGTCCACCTTCCTTAAACCTACGGTCCGTGATTCCTCGCTTCTCTTCGCTTCGTCAACCAAGATAATATTTTCTCGGTAGCATGGCGGCTCTTGATAGGACATGCATCAATTCCGAAACGCCAGTTGATGTCGCTAGCCGTGTTGTCATTCAAGTCGCTTTCGGTGTGTTTGAGAACATCTTGTAGGCTCCTGCTCTCAGGGCGAGACGTGGGTGTGTTTGGCTTTTGATTGTCCATGGTCGATCGTATGTGACACAGGAGATTATCTGAAATGAGATCAGATGTGCTTGTAGTGGAATGATGAAAGTAGCAACGTGTGAGATAGGCTGCTGAATGAAGAATGTAGACCTAAGCGGTGCGTTTTATAAGCCAGGGATGGTGACCTCTACGTAGGAAGAAAGGTAGGTCTTTGCTCTTCTTGTTGAGGGCATACTTCCGTAGTGACCTGGCCTTGGGTACGAGGAACACCCACCCCTCTAATCCACCGACCTTCAATGCCGAGACGGCATTGGCATCGATCTCATCTTTAGGCACACGCCTGAGAATATCCCTGTTGAAGTTAAACAGAGCTGAAATCTGTGAAGTGGATAGATCCTTAAATCAAAGCTGTTGGTTTTGCTCAAGGTGTTCAAAATCCTTAGCCATATCAAGCTCCTTGGCTGGGGTTACCTTAGCGTAACCAACACGTTTTGGATCACTTGTGTTTATCTTAATCTGATTTTCTTCGGGAGAAGGCGCCGGAATCTGGCTTGGTATAATGTGACAAACCGCGAAGGCTGCACACGTGTCAGTGCAAGTGCTATGGCCAAGGGGCCACTACTCACTGAGTTGCTTTTAGCTTGTGCTGGATTTGGATCGAGGATGAGTGTGAAGCTCTGTGTGTGATGGGAAACTCCAGCTAGGTAGATGAAAGAGGGGAGGGTAGATAGGGATCTGATGAGCTGCTCGTCCTGACGGCAAGCGGGTTATGAGTATGAAGGTTTGTAGAGTTTTCCTTCTGTTTAGCTATTGTCGTTCTAAACCTTGTTGCTGTCGGGTAGCCTCCCTGCTGCGTCATCATGCAAGTCTTCCTCTTCAAGAAGATTGTGGATGTCGAGAGCGCGGCTGCCGAAGTTGAGTAGCGCAGCCAGTTGTGTTGTACCGACCTTCGAAGGCTCGAGAGTCTCGATTGAGCCCAGTGCCTCAGCAGCGCCTACTAGCTTACGATCGCTAGTATCGATCTTGGGCAGCCGTGGATTGGCAAGCTAGTCAGCTCGCGATTCCTGAGAACGGGCACATCATCATGGGTTTTCGGCATCTTTTCTTGCTCTTTGAACGAGACGTCGATGAGTTGTGTTGTTGATTCAATACTAAGGTCGACCGGGCCAGATCGAGGCAGATGCTAGAGGCTTGGCTTATGTGTGATGGAGTGACGAGGGTTCGATGTGTGATAGATTGGAGGTGGGATAAGGGTGGCTTTGATCAGTGCAGTTCAGTCAGGTATGTTCGCGGCGGCCGGGGATGGCGGTCTTCAAATAGGAGGAAAGCAGAAGTTAAGGTTCACGAAGGGAGTCATGCCGGGAATAAAGTATTGTTGGAGTTGAACCTTCAATTTAGATACGGCCGGGAGCAAGCCTTATTGTTGCTGTACGCTTCAATTTTGTGTTGACTGTGTTGTGATGCTGGGTGAAGCATTAATTTATCGATCTCTTAGTGTTCAGGCAATCCCTTCCACCCTCTTTTTTCAGTAGCTACTACATGCATAGTAATCTGGATAGCTCTCGCTCTCTCACTTCTTACCATTAGCAAGATGTTGGATCGATCGCTATCATCGTCGCCCCTTTTGATATTGAGTTCTCACTTGATGGCCAGGTAAGCTCCCCGAAGAAAAGCTTGTAACTAGCCATCCTTCAACCAGCTGCGATTTAGCTTCGCGGTATCAGAAGATCCACCCAGTAGCAGTTCGCAGCATTGGGTACTATCACAAGAAAGATCGTGCGACAACTCTTCAAGATGATTGGGCTTGACCATGTCCAATCCAGACAAGCCTTCGAAATACAGGTGACAAAATGGTACTCAACAAACGTCCTATCGCACGCAAAGTACGGGGACCTTAGAGCGACAAAAGATATCTTCGGTAAAGTCGAAGCAATGGAACGCGCAATAAGGAGGACCAACAAAGACGCCATGATCGCATGGCCATACATCGGTATGATGATGGTGGCAAAAATCTTCAGACTCATCGACGGCGGATTGACGGACAAACTCACACGGCGTATCAAAGCGTACCACCTTGGAACGACCGATATCGAGACAATCGCGGTCGTGACAAGCATCTCATCGATCTCCCAATGTTCCTCTTCGCCGTCCACCTTGACAGGTCAAATTGGTTCATCCTCCCGGTTTGTCTGGGTCTTTATCTTTGGATGCTGCTATCAAGTAACTCACCGAGATGACGGGATTTATTTTGAACGAGTCTGGTAGCTCCCACTCATAGGCTAAGGGCCCTTGTCTTTTATGACCTCGAAGGGTCCTGCACGCTGCTGTTACCACTTGCGAGAACGGAGATGTCAAGTGAGATGAAGGAAAGATTCTGTCGAAAACCAGCCAACGTGACTTACGGTCTAACCACCTCATCCATATCATCAGTCTCAGAATCATCGGACAGGTTTATCTGGAGCTTTCTGATCTTCGCCTTCAGCTTTTGGATCACAGCAGCTTCCTCCGTGATAGTCTCAGCTTGCCTTGTGACCATTTCCATGTATTCTTGGAGGTCTTTGCAGTAGGATGCGTTCTCCTTCTCCAGCAGTCCATATTTAGTCGCGAAATGTTCCTGCTGGGCTCGGTTGGCATTATGCAGTCTGTCGTTCTCGACTTTTCCGTCGGACACTTCCTGCTGAAGTTGTTGCACCAACGCGACACCGAACTCATTACGAGTGCCAACCTTTAGCAGTCGTAGGATTTTGATGGTCAGGTTGCCCTCCCTGAAAAGGGGCATTTGTAACTTCCTCAATGATGTCTCGAAGGGTCTCGTTCTTAGTAGAAGTTAGCGAGTTTGTAATTTCTAGTTATTTAGAATTTGTCGGATGTGGGACAGAGCTGGCTTAATGTTTAACGTATGAGAGAGTTCGAGTACAATGTAAAAAGAAAAGCAATGAAGATGCCAGGCCTGACATCTCAACACAATGAATACATGGCTGAATATTTAACACAGGGTCAGTTGGGCGTGCGAGGGGTGAAACGGACTGCAAAGCACACATAGTGACGATAAGCTGCTGCGTTCCATGCCACGCAATGGCTTGAGTCGCTTGAGAGCAACGTCAACGGTAGAGGTCATTTCTTTCAAGCTGACGTTAGACAATAGGTAGTTAATAAGAATAGCACTAGATTATTGAGTGATTATTAGGCAATATGATATACCTATTATTACACAATGAGAAGCATTCATTGATGTCGGGTCTAGCATCTTCTATTGCTGTTTTTAACTTTATACTCAAACTCTCACCAGGACACAATACTTATTATGTAAGGACGAGCCAAGAAAGAAAAGGAAAAATTCAAACGCTTGATTGATCTCCCTCAAGGGATGACGATGTTAATGATGATATAATACAGGCCCTCGCTTTTTCATTCCTCCTTTTCATTCCTGCACCCCCTCCCCCCTTTTTTCTTCCCGTTTGGCCCTCCCCTACTTCTCTAGTGGCAAATAGTGTCTGAATTGCCCGTTTGAGTCACTTAGCCCGTAGTATCGAGAGCGCACTGGGCGCATTTGGTGTGGGATCGGTGGCCTGACTGGCTTGCACCTGGGTAGTTGCGCTGACTGCGGACTGTGTTCCGCCATAGGGCGAGTAGACATCTTCGCCAAGGGGTCAGGAACGACAGGGTTGTAGTATCTGGTCTGGCAGATCTTGGGCTCCGTTGTCTCCCCGAAGTGAGGGGCAGGGGGTCGGAAGTTGGTCTCGACGACCTTGGGCTTGGAATGAAAGCAACCCATCTTGAAATTTTGGAGGGAGCTTTGTTTTTCCAGAGTGAGTGAGTGTGTGGTAGTATGTAGTGAGAGACCACTAACTCAAGTCTCTGAGGAAGATGATGTCGATGTGGGCAGAGAGACGACCAAGTCAAGTCTCTTAAGAAGATGATGACGATGTGCTGAGCTTGGCTCAGAGGTCGAGATCTGAGTGATGTGACCAAGGATTGATATGTGAATGGAAACAAGATAAGATAGTATCTTGAGGTGGGTGGATAAAGGATGAGATAGTGCCTTGGTGTGATAGAGTAGCTGAGCAGTGGTCAATAAAGTTGCTGGAAAGCTGTGAGTTGGATGGTGTGAAGGGAAGAATCTGAGAAGTGTCGAAGAGGGAAGGCCGGAAGAAAGCCGCATTTAAATAGATAATCGACGCCTAGAAGGACCACTCCAAACCTTCTCGAAATGTGAAGAAAATCTCTGATGGTCATTTGTCAAAGCCACAGGAAGAAGAGTTCCGCCACAAGGATGAGTCGAATGTCAGCCATACCATATGTACATGTATGTAAAGCCCTCCTAGTTTGCCTAGATATCAAACCTAGAGCTCATATAAGTGCCTAAAGTAAATGACAGACCCGTAATATTGAGTAGTTTTGCCCAGGGATGGGTCGAATTTCAGCCACGGGGATGAAAAGTTATCACAATTTGCCCAGGCATTAAAGCTAGAGCCCATACGAATGCCTGAAGTCAATGGCAGACCCATACTATTGAGTAATTTCGCCTCAAGATGAGCAGATTGTCAGTCACATGTGTGAAATATCCTCCTAGTTTTCCCAGGCATCAATTCCAGAACTCATACAAATTCCCCAACAAAACGAAGGCCCCTATTAGTAGGTTCATTCTGCTATGAGAAAAATATTCACTATTTCATCTGAAAAGTTAGGGAAAAGCCAAAAAGAAGATGTGGCTTCCATGGAAGTGGAAAGACGTTCACCGTCTTCCATTCAACAGGAAAAAACCTTAACAATATAGGTCCCTCTTTCGCACTCATAACCCCTGGACGTGGTTTAGATCGGTCGTTCGTCTAGCTACTCTCTTGAGTTCTTGAGATCAAGATGCAAGTCTCGCATTGGAAATGGGATGAAGCTTTTTCTCGAATCTCGTCACCATGCTGGGTGTTGCCGTTGCCCTTTACCCCACGGGGATCGAATTTATGCTTCTCTTAGGTACGCCTCTGCCAGACGCTAAAGTTTTAGAATGTCATATGAGAGATGGATCAAAGTGGCTTGCTGTGAATCAGAACGGGCTTCAACTGAGGAGGCCATTGAACAAAGTTCATCAGAATTTTTCTTGAGAAAAAAAAAATGAAACTTTAGGCAGACGCCCCGATCTTAAGATCAAGATTTTTTACAAAACCTTGGCTAGGTCTGTGGCTGGAATAGCAGGCATAGTGTCCTCAAGGTGAAGAGAGTAATGGAACAGCATGGAAGTATCCTCGACATAGATGGGCAGATCATACGAGAAGTCCCTAGGAGTAGTCTTACCGTAAGTCTCGTTGATGAGGTTTAATTGCCTGAGTCACTGAACATGAATATAGATAAGTTTGTTAATGGTGGGTTTTCAGCCAGGCAGATGCTCGCCTTGAAAGAAGACGCGGGTGGTGATGGGAGTCATAGGATTAGAACTTTATAGCAAATTCTAATTAATCAGGTCTGTTCGCAACAGATCACACAATGTGTGGTAAAACGTAAGGCGAAGAAGCCCATGGAACGGCAAGAAAATATGCTCAATGTAGGCGGCCAGACAACCTTACTCAGAGGCTTTATAGAAGACCAGCCAAGTCCCCATCACTCTGGTTTAGGCTGTGCCGGCCTTCAGCTCCCAAACAACCTGTGCTGAGCCCCCGAATTTGTCCATGCTGAAGATGCAACCCATTACAGTAATCTTGCCTTTTCTCCCTTCTTGTGGCTCTTTTCGGGTCTGATTCCGGACAGAAAGTAGCCAATAAATGACCGGAAGAGGAACTATCTCCCTATACTCCTCTATTCATGACTACAGAGCATATATCTTCTGAGAAAGGGGGCTCAAAAATAGACTGGAGCTGCAGGATCGCCACTCTTCTAGACTATTGACGCCTTTTGAGAAATTGGTTTCTCAAAAAGAATGACGATCGTAAACTATTTAAAGGGCAAACTTCTTCGCTCACCGAAACCTGTTCCGACAATTATATAGCTGGATATTTATCTGACGAGATCGTCAACTTTGGACCGATAACTTGGACTCCTTACGGAATCCTGGAATCAGAAGAAAACAGGGAGCAAACCGCCAAATGGCAATGTGGGAGATATCAGCGGATTTACAGGAAATTAGTGCTCGCGTATCGGTCTAATGATCACCTGGTCACAAAAATGTCAGTCCCAGGGCAGTAGAAATCAGAAGTGAGGTTGAGAAATCATGGTACGTCCTTAATATTGATCAATGAGGATGCTAATGAGTACGTCAAACACGTGAAAAGTTAACAACTATGAGTAAATCCCTGGACCATGTTAATTCTTCCGGGTTGTATTCCGGTTTCTGATAGCAGAGATGCTGTCGCACAGCGAAGATCTGCGAGTGATAATGAGATGCTGTGTCGCTTGGTGATGGTCGGGCCATTTCGCAGACCCCTGTCGCCGTACACGGAGAAGAAAGTGAGGGCTAGAGATCGAGCTTATTCCCGATCGTCGTTGCCATCTTCGATCGACACGTCGAGCTCCAATGCTACATGTACTACATGTTCAGAAAGCGAGTATTTCGAGTCTGACTCTGGAGATATGGCAAGTGAGTTCGATGTGCAAATTGCCAGTGCCGAAGCAGGTGGAATGTTCCCGAACTGACTGTACATATGGCCATGATGTGGCTGATGCCCTGAGCTGTGGCTGTCCGCCCACAGCGTGTGGCTGGAGAGAATGCAGAGGCTGGTGCATGTGAAGACGAGACAGTGGGCGGGTCATCTTTGTCGTCAGCAAGCGGCCTGCCTCATGGCCACCACATCAGCAATACGAGGGCAAAATCCACCGCATGGCCCAATCGGGTGCGCGGGAGCCGTTTCACGAGCTGCAGGAGATGCCGGCGCACAGAGGGAGGTCCAAAGCCAAGGTAAGACTGATTGATTTCCAGCCGTTGGTCTTGCTAAGAGGTCTTGGACGTTGATCCAGTCAATTTCCAGCACCGAAAAGCGTGGGGCTGGGGACAGGATCAGCGACACGTAAGAAGTGGGTGCCGGGGGAATTGGGCAGCAACCCTGGAGGACCTACAGCGGGTGCGAGGCCCTAAAAAAAGGGCTTGGGGCCCTCAGCAGGCCGTTCCAGCGGGAGCTCAGGGCTGTGTGGGCCCAGACGGGAGCCCGCTGTCCGTGCCGGCGCTAACTCAAATGATCCCCAGCCACAGCACTTTCCTTTGCAGCTTCCCAGCCTGCACCTTTTTTCGAGTCGGTGTCCAACAGTAAAAACGGCGAGCCCCATTCACCATCAATTCATTCCGATCATCTGTCTTTCCATCTCTCCATTGCTCTACTTTGCATTGCATTCCAGCTCAGCCCATTGTCCCATTGTGCTGGCCAGTCCCTCCGCCCTCTACGTCCTGCCAGCTTCTGTCTCCCTTCCCTCCCTTCCCCCTCCAATTCCACGCAGCTCAATTGCATTCCGCCGCTTACCGCCTTGTCCATGCCCGGAGTCATCCTTCAGAAGATCTCGCCCGACAGCATCACCATCAGCATGGCAGCGTCAGCTTCCCAGCAGCCGTATGACAGCCCCGACGAGGTGGGCATGCGCGGTTCCCGCGAAGCCCGTGAAGCTCGCAAGGCAGCTCGCGCCAAGAACCGCCAGCAAAACGCCAGCCAGAACCAGTTCAACGGCAACGGCCACTCGCAGTCTCCCAGCCGTGATGACTACCGATACCAGGACGGTGATGAACCATACAGCCCCACCGAGGACTCTGTCCTGCAAGACTCAATGCTCTCGTCGCAGCAGGTAAGCATCTCATTTCCCATTGCATGGTCAATTTCAATTTGTCCGACACCCGATCCCATCCCTCAATTGCATTGCGTTGCGTTGCGTTGTCGGCCCACACACTCTGGAAATATGCCCCGCGTCCACGCCCCTCCAATAGCGATGCGAAAGCCTCCCTTTCGGAAGGGAAGCGATTGTCCTGCTCTTCCCACCCTCTCCCTTTGACCAGTATTGCCGCCACCATTCTCGGTTTTGACACATGTCGGCTAACACCAACGACCAGGGCGGCGCCGTCCAGCAGCGAGGTCCAGAGGGTCGTCGTGGCGAGCAAGGTGCCATGCCTCCAGGATACCCGGGTCCTCCGGGAGGTGCTTATGGCGATAGCCCTCAGAGCCCAACCAAGAACGGCCACTACAGGTCGCAGGGCCAGGGCAACACCAACCTTCCCTCCAGCCGCCGCCACTCCGGCAATCCAGGCGCTCCCCCAGGATCCGGCCCCTACGGCCAGTCCCGTGGCCCTGCCGCTGATCAACCGCACCGCCGGTCCCAGGCAATGTCCAACCAGGACGCCCAGCTCCGCCCTCCTCCCTCCCTCGACGATAACCGTCAGGGCGCGGTGAATCGCCGTGTCAGCCGCCTCGAGAGCCCCAGCGTGCTCAAGAGCGTCCTCCAGCCGCTTGAGAAGAAGATCAACGAGTATGACCGCCTCATGACCGAGGCCCGCAGCGAGATGTCCCAACTCGACGATGAGCTCCGCGCCCTCCAGGAGCGCAGACAGCAGGCCGAGGACCGGTTCCTCAGCGCCAAGTCCAAGCACGACGACTACAGCCGCCAGCACGACGACGTCGGCCGCGCAATGAGAGGCGAGCTGGACAGGGGCCTGACCTCGGGGACCATGTCCGGTCCGCCGCAGCACGAGCCCATCCACCCCCAGCCTGTCCAGAGGGCCGTGAGCTTCGATGACAGACCGCTCAGCCCTATGAGCGAGCGGTCGCTCAAGCCCAAGAGCGGCAAGCTCCGATTCAGCCTCTTCGGCAAGCACTGATCAGATCGATCCCTGCCGTGCTTATGTGCTTTTGTCTGAATGAGATACATGACGTTTGGTTGGGGTTGATCTACACCAAGGGGGGAAGATAATGATTAATGACCGCGCCCTCTTGGGGGGTGCTTGCTTTCTCTTCCTTTTTTTTTCCGTTCCATCTTGTCTTTTTTCACGTATTTTTTAGGATATTTGTTCGTTTTCTTGGTTAGGTTCTTTCATCAGCTGATCAGAAGGGTCCGGTGGGCATTTATATGGTGGCATATAATCATCTATTTTGGGAACACGACGGGCCAGGTCTAGAAAATTACTCGGAGGGAATCTGTATCTATGCTTTATTTTTGTGTAGAGCTTGAAAAAACTAAACGGGATCACACTGCTTACTACAACACACATATTATTACGCCGATTACACGATTATGTCCTCCACATCCCGCTGCTTCTCATCCACGAAGATGGTGACTAACCAGGGCCGCTCAGCCTCCTCTTGCTCCTCCTCATCCTCCTCGGCCTCCATGACCATGCCCGAGCACGAGAACATGTTGATCGTGCCGATGACGCACCACGCGGGGAGCAGCATGGAGACGAGCGACGCGTACTGGTTCACGCGCAGCATGGTGCCCGTCAGGGGTCCCACGGCGAGGACGCAGATGCAGATAAAGTCCAAGACATAGCGGATCGTGGCAGTCACGTCGCCAATCAGCGCATAGCCAGATGCCTAAAGAATGATGACCCGCGTCAACGGTCGTCCCTAGCGCAAAACGGGTTTGAGAGGTAGGTGTGGGGAGGGGGGGGGCAACTTACATCGAAAAGGGAGACTGTCTTGGTCCGGAAGGCCTGGACGAGGGCGTGAACGGCCTGCACGATGATCCCGAGGGAGAGCAGGGCGTCGATGGCGAACCCGATGCTCTGGCCCCAGAACAGCCCGTCCACGATGGACTGGTCGTGGATGGCGCCCCACCCGGCGAGGATGAGCTTGAACTCCATGTACATGAACCGGAACGAGTTCCAGCAGGCGACCACCTCGCGGACCAGGTACGCCGAGAGGTTGGACCTGCGGGCTGTGGTGGTGGGCTGCTGCTGCCCGATCGGCTCTCCCAGCTTCTCGCCCAGCTTCAGCTCCCCGTCGGCGGGCGCGGCGACCGGTGGCCTGCAGAGGAGGACGGCGACGAGGAAGAAGGTGCCGATGGCGGCGTCGATGGCGATGAGGTGGGCGTGGCCGGCGTGGAGGGTCGCGGGGGTGCTGAAGCGGGTGCAGAGCATGGTCAGGCCGGCCCAGGCGAAGCCGGCGGCGTAGAGGGCCACGGGGAGGTTCTCGAGGTCGCCGCACAGGCAGCCGTAGAGCAGGCGGAGGATGGAGGGGGTGGAGGAGAGCTGGATCCAGCTGAGGACCGAGGCATCGTCGCCGGCGGGCTCGAGGGAGCGGTCGTTGTGGTAGGCGGCGTAGTTGATGGCGATGAGGTAGGTGGTGAAGGCGAGGATGGCGATCTCGGACGCGATGACGAAGGAAGGGAACATGTACCTCGGCGACGGGGACATGATGGATTTGTTTGAATTGCTAGGTAGGTAGTAGTGTTTTTATTATTTATTACAGGGATGCGCAGCACCCGATTGAAGAGGAGGACAAGGAGAGGAAGAGAAGGACGAAAGATGGGACGAATAGAGAAGGAAGGAAGTGACGAGCAGGAGGAGGCAGGAGCGAGCGCCAACCACGGACGAGGGCGCGGCATGAATTAATACGAAGCTCATGACGATGCGCTGCACCTCTTCGTCTCCGTCCGTGTCGCATCATCCCAAGGCCCCATACCAGAACCCACCCTCCACGCGCAAGGTTTTGGGTTTCGTCCGCCCGTTGGCAGCGTGAGGGAGCAGGGGTCTGTCTCAGGCCAAGCAGCCGAACGCTACGCTTGGGAATCCAATGCCACCCTCTCTCACCCTCTCCTAGAATTCAGTATTTGCCGTGGAATTTGGGGGGAGCTGGGGGCCTCAGTCTAGCCCAAGCCACCATATCAACACTTGCCCAACGCAGCATCGCCCGGCATGGATCAGAGACCAAAGGGGGCAAGGTGCCTGACAATCGATCCCACACTAGGGGTTTTGGATACAGGAACGCAATGCCGTGATCTATTCAAACAGGGGAGAGGGGGAATGGAACACGGCCCAGACAATAATCCCAACGTTCGTGTCATGTCCAAGCCGCCTGTCTGTCTACGATGCACCATCCCATCCCATCACCTCCTCCCACTCCTCGGGAAGCGCGTGCCCCGCCCGTCTACCAGCGCCGGGGCCACTCCATCTCCTGCGCAAGCTCCAATTGGGCGCGGTACAGCCGACCCTCCTCCGAGTCGTCATCCTCAGCAACAAGCAGGATCTGCTCGTCTGGCGGCAGGAAGTACGGCGCGTCGACCTCGCATTGCGCACCTAGAGGCGGCAGGACTCCCTCGTAGAGGAAGCTGCGCACGTGCTGGGCCAGGCACCCGGACACCACCGAGATGCTGCAGTGACCGTACCCGAGCACCTCGACCAGCCGGGAGTCCTTGAAGGCCTCGTTGGCGACCCGAGCCGACTTGAGCGGGCACACAGGATCGTACGTGGTGGAGAGGATGAGCAGTGGTCCGACGGTTTCAATGGCATGCCCGGGCTGGAAATGGTGCCCGGGAGGCAGGTTCCACTTTTGCTTCTGGTAAAGCATCGGTGCCTCAGTGATGCCGAAAATAGAGCTCTTTGCCAGTAGGACGGTCTCGTTCATGATGGCTTCGCGATCCTGTGGCCAGTGCTCCGGTCCCGTCTGCGCGTCGTTCAGCAGGACGAATTGCTGGCCCTCGCCCGAGATCCCGAACCCATCGCCGTCGCCGTATTGGAGGAACAGGTCAGTCGCGTTGCCCTTCATCAGCGACGCGATCAGCTTGGCCACCTCGTTCCAGTTGGCTGGCTTGTAGAGGGCAGTAAAGATGGCATTGTTGAACAGCATCTCGTAGTCGACCAGGCCGTAGTAGGACGCATTGATGTACACATTGACAGGCTGCTCCTGGAGGGCCTTGCCGAAGGCCAATACCTGGTTCCTGATCTCCTCCTTGGTGTCGGCGAATCCTGCAAGGGCGCAATTGTCCCCCGCCTCGATACACTTGTCAAAGAACCCATCAAAGACGTTGTCAGTGTCGGTCCACATCTCTTGGTCGATGGATGTGCCGAACCAGTCAAAGTTGTTGGCCACACCGTCGATGATGACTCGTTCAGATCGTTCAGGGAACAGCGAAGCGTAGGTCTGGCCTAGAATAGTACCGTAGCTGAATCCCCAGTATGCCATCTGCTCCTGGCCCAGGGCGTCAAGGATGCTGTTCATGTCGGCAGCCGTCTGCGGGGTGTTGATGTACCACCCGTGCTCACCCATGGTGTCAGCGCAAGCCTGGACAAAGTTGCTGGTCCAGCTGAAGACCTCGGGGCTGTCGGCGACGAGGTCCTTGGACCTCACCCTCGACAACCTCTGGCGCACATCGCTGTCGGGGTAGCAGGAAGCCGTGGGCGTGGATGCAGCGATACCGCGAGGGTCGAAGGAAACAAGGTGGTACCCTTCGCCGACAATGGTGCTCAGCTGCTTGCCTCTCCTGTGAACGAGACCGATGCCACTGCCACCAGGGCCACCGGGGTTCAGCAGGAGATTCTTGCCCTGGGTGGCGTTGAACGCGCGCAGGCGGATGAGTGGGATGTTGAAGGTCTTGTCGCCAGAGTTCGAGGCGTTGAATTGATCCATGGGTACGTCAATGGAGCCGCATTCAAGCGGGTGCTCGTTGATTTCACCGCATGGTTGCCACTGAATGGTCTCGCCGTCGTAGGTCACAAATGGAGGAGCTTCGTCGCACACTGCCAGACCGGCGGGTTCACCAGCATAGTCGGGGCGGCCGAAGATGCCAAAGAGCCCGAGCGAATGGTAGAAGATGGAGCAGAGGATATAGGACACGCAGAGGAAGTAGAAGGCGAGTCCCAGCCGCTGGCCCAGTGAAGCCTGCTTGCGCTTCTGGGGGGCTTGGCCCAGGTGAGACGGGCCCATTAGCAGCCCGGAGTCGTGTTTCTCATCCATCATGAGCAGTGACGGTCATTGGTAGGCCCACTGTCTGTCTTGGTGGATGAAAGCTGGTTGCACAAAGATGCAGGTCAATGGGTCGATCGGATGGCTTCGGCTGGGGCTGTGCATCAGCAGCTGGTTGCGTGATTAGTAAGCCTCCCTGCCCTTACCAGCCAACTTACCCTACACTGGCATGGTTGGTTCATCAAGCGTAACGTCTCCCGTAATAAAATATTTCACAGTGAGTGGACTGCTCGATAAAATCGTGTACAGGTGATTGCATTAATTCAGAGCGATCGCTAGTATTTTCTGGTACAAAACGCTATCGCCAATGAAAGTGTATCAAGAAAAGCTGAAATCATTGCTTATCTGCCCTACAAAACCATTACAGCAACTTGCTCCGTCTCCTCCAAAACTTCTTGCACAGAACGACCATTCATGCTCAATTTATAAAAACAGTTCCAACACGTCTTTTCAGACTTCAGGATGACACGATGGCCTTTCGCTATGCAGATAGCGGCCGCGACCAACCGAGCTTGCCAGTTTCCTCTGGCTCGGACAATACCCGGACCCTTTGGCGGGACAACCATTTCAGCATAGTTGTCAATGGAGATTATCCTTGCCCCGAGTGGCTGGGATGGGCTACATTGGCACGGGTTGGAGTGTAGATATTCTCGCAAGATCCGGCGGCTGCGCAAAGATGCGAGAATATCAAGCTCAGAGACCCATTTGCCGCGATCATACACGGAGACAAGCGCCTCAATAAAATAGGCCTCAACATCCCTGTTACCGGAAAACTGGACATTGAGCGGCTGGCACGCCTCCGAAAACGAAAGGTGCAAGCTTGTACCCTGAAAGCAGTCGTCTACAACCCCATCGAAGTCCTTGTGGTCAAGGCAGTACCATTCATCAATTGTATCATATGATTTTGTTTCGGGGTTCTGAGGAGGGACAAGAAAGGCAATTCCTGCTCGGCCGATGTTTCCTGTTAGCCTCTGGATTGGGGCGTTAGTTGTGTCTATTGCCGGATCATGAAGAAGGGTCGATGAGATGTAGAGTGAATCGGTTGAGCATAACGCAAACACATTATTCAAGTCTCCTGGGTGCAAATTATATGAGCCGGTTTCCATCATGGCGATGCAAGCAAAGCATTCGGAATCAGTGAGATCTTGCGGATTATACGCAGGCAGTCGGTGATGGCTGGCTTGACGGACAGCTCGGGGTGATCGTGGTGAAAGCATCGAAGTAATCCAGTGAGCTTCTTCAAAGCCCTCCTGGATCACTCGAACATCTACTGTGGCTTTTGGTAAGGACCTGTAAAGGCTATTGACTAATGTCATGCCTAAAATCACGTCGTGCTTTGGGGTATTCAGGTCGAGCATTCTGGCACAATCTTCGAACCTGACATTTTCGGGCCGGAAAAGCTTCATGATTTTGGATATCTTGAGTACGAATTTGTACTCACCGGATCCTGGTTCCTTGAGCGAGTCGGATGGCTGAAGGATTTTGGGTCGGTCTTCCTGCATCCAACCCATGCGCAAAAGCGCAATCTCGTCTATATCTCCGTACACTACTTTATACCATCGAGTTTGGTTGGATCTACTGGGACCGAAATGAGCAGTGAGCATATCGCGCGTCGAGGGATTAGCCCGATATTTAATCCCGTCCCCTGAGGCATCTCTTGGCCGGGATAACTTAGGACTGCGCAGAAAGACGGGGTAAGAAGAGGACCCAGCAACCACCGCCTTCTCTCCGTAGGAATTGACCTGTTCTAGGCGGTGCTTTAAGATCTCCCTTGAAAGGTGGGATGAAACCCATCGCCTATGTTGTCGCTGAGTATTGGCATCCCACCCAGTCCTAGTTATCTGATAATCTGGAACAGCAGTGGCGAACTCAGACTCGTAACAAAGTTGTCTTGTGGCCGAATCAAAATATTTCTTCATGTAGACAATCAAAAACTCATACGGTGATGATTGGGTGGCCATGGATGATGCTGCCAATCTAAGCAGCTCAATCATATCCTCAGTGCGTCGTGCTGACCGGAGAAATGTCTCGACCCCAAAGATGCCCTGAAAGGGAGCAAAGGATGCAGGATAATATCTCTGACCCATGTTCCGAAGCTTTCTTATTCTCTGGTCTTCCAAACGGTCCTTGAAGAGGAGTGAAATCCGTGAAAACATTGTCAGCCACGAATCCTTTTTGTGGACTTCTCTGCCTGACTTCCATTTCCTCTGCGTCTCGTCATCACGGTGCCCTTTATCTTTAGGCGAGGATTCATACCCCATGTTCCAATGAAGCTGAATAGCAACGTCGCTAATATACTGAAGTATTTCGGCCGTTGGGACACTGCCGTCATCCCATTGAATGATGTAGGCTGATAAAAAGGCCCAGAGCATTTCATCAACCGTCAATCGATCTTTATCGGACAGTCGGATGGTTGCCATGCGTGTCACTGGTAACCCGTAATATCGTAAATGAGCCAGAGGTAGTGCCCAGTAAACGGACTGGCAATCTTTTGCTCTCCTCGGAGACGGCTCCAGACCCAAAGTCAATATCCCTCGTCCTTTGATCAAGGGATCATCTTGATGGATCTTCTGATCTTTACTGGAAAGATAGAGCATGTCCGGGTAAATATGCCAAGATAGTAAGCCAATAAGGATATCACCACTGTAGACCTGCAGAGGAACCCCCATCAGCAAGCTCTCCATCTGAGTCATTGAAGAAGCCCAGGCCTCGATAACGCTATCATAGGTGTCTGGCTTCACATTGACCGGCATGTCTAGATTATCGACGATGAGCCGTAGTTGGATCTGTTGCTTGCTCATAACGCCATCTGCAGCACGAAGCCAAGCTCGAGCACTGGCGTCCCAGTCATGGATATCGGACCGCACATAATCGCTGGTTGCCGCTAACAAGACTTCATTATCCAGTTCACCATCTGCTTCAAGTTGCTCTTGGAGCTCTCTTCTTCTCCTGGCTATTATCTCGACCCATATTGACGTTGCCTCTGTGGACTCCCACATTCTAGCCAGAAAACATGCCAATAGATGACACTGCAACGATCGTCTGCCGGACGTAGCGGCTGCCCATAAAGTAGTGGCATCGGCTCCAATTACTTCAGAAAATGGCCCATGAGAAGGCTGGCCGCGGGGATTGGCAGTGGAACTCTTCGCGATTTCCGAAGCTCTCTCTCCGTATGCTTTGATGAGGTTCGGTGTAGGAGGTAGCGCAGCATGATTCTTGAAGAGCAGTCCAAGTTTCCTTGCAAGAATATGCCGAGCGCCGTTTTGTGCTTCATCCCTCCGGGAGCGAGCGAGATTTTGACCTATAGCATCATACTCAGGCGGAGGTTTCACGAACTTGGAAAAATTGATCTCTAGATTGATGTTGACCAAAGCATTGGTGGCTTCTGCCCGAAAGCTGCTGAGGGCGGCGTTGAAGTTGCCAAAAGAAGCCATCAGGCATGCTGTCTACTTAGTCAAGCCTTAATAGTGTAGAAAAACACAATTGAGTGTGTAGGTACTCAAAAACAACTTGTTCCTTAGTTTTCAAAGGAAAAAAATGCCTCGTACCAAATGCAGTGGTGCCCAATCCGACCATACGCTGACCACCACGAAGTAAGGCTGGCTCAGCCTCTGCAGGAATTAGGAGTCCAAGGCGAACCTGTAGGCTTTTTGATCTTACTAGGTAAGGATTTACTAAGATAGAAACTGTAACTTTGCCCCTCATTCTGGAATATTTACTCGGTTGATTGAATTGAATCGTCTTGATAGCGCCCTCATCAGGCCTTGATATCAGAGTGTTTTGGCGGTAAACTGATGGCTTCATTTTGAAATGGCCAATTCACATTATGCACCCGTGACCAAACAAAGAAACTGATTTCGATTCGTTGGTTATCTAGTGACCAGGTTCTACAATGTATAGTCGGATGGCAGTCCTTCCTTTACTATCACAGTCTTGCCGTCCTCCTGGACATAACCCGTACTCACTTGGCCATTCCAGTCATTCGCCATCTTGTCTTCATAGAACTGGGCGCGCGACTTGCCGGTATCTTCCCTAGCCTCGCCCCTGTACATCCACCACCCAGAGGCAGGCTGGAGTGTGTCTGCCTCGTGTGATGCCTTTTCCGAGTGGAGCAGCGAAATCCGGCTTTTGCCTTGTGTGCCTGGCTGAAGCTTCTCTGCTGGCGTGCCTGTGGCCTTTAGCTTGGAAAATAGCCGAGAGAGGCCGCTTTGGCTTTTATTCTCCTCTTCGCTCGCCGCAGTATTGCTTTCAACCTCAGCGACAGGGAGGATATCGTAGAGGGATTTGGTCAACTCGAATCCAGCGAGCCCAGCCAGCAACTTGGCGCTTATGACCTCCTTGTCCGGAGATATATACGTCAAAGGGCACGAAACGAATCCGCATGGTACGTCATCGAATTCCACTGAGTGAAAAGGAACCTTGAGCGAGGAGGTGGCATCGGACTTGCCATCGCCGGAAAAACGGGGTTCTTTAACGAGGCACTTGCCCTTCTCATCCCAGAAGCAAAATGCGACCAGCCACCCGTCCAAAGAGTTCATCCCACTGCCTTGATTATGGTGGATGATCTTGCTCCAAAAGTCCACGACCCCTGGATCTTCTGGTATCTTGAAGGAGAGAATCATGTACTGCAGGATCGGCCGGAGCAGCTCACAGAACCGGCTCGGCTCCTCGCCGTATTCGCTCAGCTTCTCGACGCGGCGCTGTATATCCTCCCAGTCGCTCAGCTCGCCGAGCAAGGTGACGCGCGGGATACCGCAACAAGTACAATCAAACACGTATTCAAAGTACCTCTGCAGGGTGCCCATCATGATGACGGCAGCGACCACCTCGTCATTGAGAGTCGTGGTCGTGAAGGACGGCAGGATCCATTCACGCAGCTTCTTGTCAACAATGTTTTCGTCGATGAGCTTGGTCATGTTGCGACACATGAGGCCCATGTCATCCTGGCCTGGGTCACGGAGGACCAGGCCCTTCTTGCCCTCATGCGCGACAAAAGACGAGCGAAGCTTCTCCGAGTTTGCATTGACGTAGAAGCTGAATTGGGTTAAGATAGCAAACCAGATATCCTCGGGCCGCAGGACCAGGTTGTGATGGAATGAATACGCGTAGTAGGCGGCACGAATCAAGCCGTGGTCCTGGACACTGAATTTCATCTCCTTTAACTTCGCATCGGTAAAGGATGTCTGCTGGCCCGAACCGGTGACGAGAATTGGGCCAATCTCGCCGCCTGCCTGACTCTGGGCGGGCGAGTGGATGAGCTTCTGGAGCACATCTTGCGAGCCCCCGTGCTCTGTCTTCACATATTGACTGACGACTTTTGAGTCATGTGTGGCAACTTGGAGAGTCACTGGCATCTTGTGTTCAATGGTCGAGGGCAAGACTCGCACATGTGTTGTTGATGCACGGCCAAGCGTAGCTTGACGGGGTCGGGAGGAATATATAGCCAATATACATGTAGCCAAGTGGCAAACGACATCAAATATGGGCAGATCAATGGGGCGCATTCGATTGGTTCGTGATTGTCGTCATGAGCAAGAGATCACTCCTGCTGCCTAAAGCCATTACGACCCCAACTGCCTCTTTCGCCCTTATCCATTCTTAGCCATTCATGGAGAATAGAACTTCGGTCGGGTAGGAATGCTACTATATCATCAATTAGTAGCACCATGCTCCACCCCATCGGTCGCATCTCATCATCACCAAGCAGACCGGTCGGCCTCGAAAGCGAAGCTTGTAGCGTAGCGAGCTTGAGCGGGTTGAAGTGGCACGCAGGTATGGTAATACCACCAGGAGTTGATAGTATCCCCTTAATCTGGTAGAATGTCGGAGTACTCATAGCATTTTACTCTGATATTTGCTTTCAAAGAGTAGGCTCATTTTCTACCCTCGAAAGTACGGGCCAAATCGGTGGCCAAGGGAGCTAGTTATGGGAATGGGCGTCGAAATTCGGCTCCTTGCTTTTGAGAAATCCTCAAAACTTCGGAAGACATCATCAAGGACAGGTAGCATCTAATAAGCGAGCTTAGCATATCCACGGTCTTCATCTTCCCGTGCCCGGCGGTCGGGATTCGCATTCGCAGCAACGGTTTCGATGCCCGGGAGTGGCGCTAGGCATCGAGCGTTAGCCTAGGACATGATTAGAAGGAGGGATAATCGACGACTTCATGCGCGTTAGTGGCTGTCGGAGGCCGAAGCTGAATGGCGGGTCGAAATTTAAGTGGTGTTCGGCATTGGGTGTGGGTGGGTGACCACTTGATCCGAATGCGAGCGCCACGCCCTACGTCATGATATTAGCAAATGCTACAGTGGTGTAGAGGGTGCTATAGAGAGTGCTAGAGAGTGCGATATACTCTCGGCAACTGATCCCGCCGCTTGCAGAGCCACTTTTGCGAGTGCGACGCCAAGACAGCCGAACACGCTCGGAGCCTCTATACGCAAGGAAATCAAATGCGAACTGGCATTCTATTGGACATGAAAACGAGATTCATTTTCGACTATATAACAATGGGTTATCTTCCTCCTCGAAGATCGAAGAGATTAGACAGAAGAAGACCAATACATCAAACAACATCATCAAACTCGAGAATTACCTGACCATCAATTAACAACGCCATCTGATATCATCCTTGATCCATTAAACCAGTCTCCTCGGATAAAGCATGGCCGTCCCCGGATTTAAAATCATCATTGTGGGCGGTGGTCCAGTTGGGCTGACCGCTGCCATCGCTCTGGCAAAGGCTGGCATCGACTTCGTTGTCCTTGAAAGGCGACCAGATATTATCATCGATGCTGGGTCAAATCTCGTCATGCTTCCAAATGGCATGCGAGCCCTCTACCAGCTTGGTCTTGGAGATGCCCTTGATAATGTGAGCTCACCACTCTCAGGCATCGAGTGCATCGACCACCAAGGCAAACCCGTCAGCGATCTCCAGTGGTTTTTCCACCTCAAGGAAAAGTGAGTAGTTTTTAATTAAATATCATTCCGAACTTAACGCATCTAATGTCTCTTCACCTCTCATAGATTTGGCGCATTTCCAAGAGTGCTCAGCCGGCATGATCTGACCAAAGTCCTGTACGAAGGCATCCCCACCCACGCACGATCTAATGTCCAGACAAATAAGAAAGTCTCCAACATTACTGTTGAAGAGGACCGCACTATCGTGTCTTGTGCAGACGGTACCACCTACTCTGGTTCCATAGTTATCGGTGCCGACGGCGCTCACAGCAGTGTCCGCGAGCACATGCGCGTTCTCGGCCTCAACGCCGGCTCACTGGACGTCAATCAGGAGCAGCCATTTCTCACCACTTATAGATGTCTTTGGCTTCGAATTCCTGCATCTCTCTGTCCAGACTTGAAGCCAGGGACGACAAACGAGACACACGGTCCTGGCGCTGCAACGCAGTTCTTTGTTGGCGAAGAGACCGCCGTCATTGGCTTATATGAAACTCTCGATTTGCCAACCCGTGAGAGGTTTCGATTCACAAAGGCAGACGAAGCTGCGATCGTCGAGCGATGGGGTCACCTCCCCCTCACCTCAAATGGGAGTTTGAGCCTGAAGAAGGCGTACGAGGGTCGTGTTCAGTCCGGTTTAGTGAGTCTCGAGGAGGGTGTTGTCAAGCATTGGAGCTGGGATGGCCGCATTGTGCTTGTTGGTGACGCAGCCCACAAATTCACTCCTAGTACAGGTGCCGGTTGCAACAATGGCATCCTTGACATCGTCAGCCTCGCGAACGAGATACACAAAGCAGTCGAATCAGCCGGCGGCTCCGAGCCAAGCAAAGCCTTGCTGGACTCGGCCTTCAAGGCATACCAGGATTCTCGGTATGCCACCGTGACAGCAGGGTGCGGGCGTTCCGGCCAGGCCACAGCCATGGCCACTTGGCAAACCAGGACTCTCGCCTTCGTCGACCGACATGTGTTGTCTGTACATGCGCTCCAGAAATTCCTGGCTGGCCGCGGCGCCCCCGAGACGGCAAGCATGCAGGTGTTTGATTATATCAACGCCGAGGAACGCATGAATGGCAAAGTGCCCTGGACAAACCCCATGCCAGCCGTTGCGAAAGTTAATTAGTGAGACAATATTGAAGTGAATTTGTTTTCTTGGGCAGGTCTTTTCTTAATTTCTTGGTTATAGAAGCGTGAGCGTCATCTAGGTTTATATCTTTTCAATAGACTCTTATCTTTTTTTTCAGCTCTTCTGTCTTGTGGCATAAACCTAAGGCAGCCGACCAACAGCAGTGACTTCCCTGCTTGTTAAATTATGGGCCTTGCGCTCGATACGCCCTCACTCTATGCTTGACTGATAACTTCGTAGGTACAGTGGGAGGTTTGTCCTGGCAATGTGGCTACCTCATTTCGTATCAGGCCTCCATGCTGGAGGTTTCTAAAATGTAAACCAGCTCCGATTATTATTGTTTTTGATCAAGCGCTCATGTTTTCATATCGAATGATCTTCGAAGTGCTTCCTAACGGCTGTGTCTGGAGTCTCATGCAGGTTGGGGCCTGTCCTACCCGCCAGCAAGGAGTAAGGTCGCACAATTTTCATCCAGGGGCATATTAACGATATAAAGTGATGAGATGTGCCTTTAGATGGGTTGTGTTGCTTATTATTCTGTATTTTCTTGTTCGGGGTTGGCAAGGAGCTCCAATCAAAACTAAAAGTTGGACTGGCCGGATCAATTTATACGTGTGTCCTACTAAAAGGCCGCTACTACTAAAGACCGATAATAAAGTACGGATGTAAAAATATAGGGAAGAGAAAAGAAAAGAAAAGGAAAAGCGAACTTGGTAAACACGGCTGTTATGACTACAGAGACACGCCATTAGAGTTGAAAGCCATTTTGCAGCACAGTGAGGTTGTAAAAATAGCCACCAATAGATGGCCAACAAGATATTTGGTACTTCTGACCGATTCTTAAACATGCAAAAAGTTATTGAGCAGAAACTCATTGTTGTGGGTGCAGAGTCACTAGTGTTGTCACGCGAATGACGTTAGTGTGGCACCCAAAAGTCACTCTAAAAAATAATGCGCGCAGAGACGAAACTTCAACCTCATCTATTGGCACTGTATATAGTCTCGTCGAAGTATATGAACATTACTTCTCGTGATTTTTGTCGTCCTTTGGGTCCTTTAGAAATATTCCAGAGCGACTGTAATGGTAGTGCCCATTTGGAGTGTTGTTGGTTCGAGAAGTCGCCCTTGGAGAACGAGGAATCAGCAAGCAGCGGACACAAGAGGAATAGCGAGACTTACATGGTAAATGGTACGGGACACACGAGAAAGAAGTAGTCGGAGCTGCTTTTCGAATCCAAGTCGGTGGTGTCTATGTTGTGTTTCCTGAACCCGGCACGCAGTTCCTCTCCTTCCACGCGACAAACAGCCACACCGCCTACATCAAAATTGCTAACCATCCAATCCAGATCTTTGCTGTCTACATGAGCCTTGGGAATGACATTGTAGTGGAAATACGTTGAGAAATCGAGGGAGCTCTCCATGATGTGCAAGAACTTTTTTCGGTGATGTTTCGGGGTTGAAGTTGGTGATGTGAGGTTTCAGTGAAGAAATTGTGAGAGATGAGAAATACGGATGCTAGCCATTTGGTTTGAAGACCGTGTTTAATATATCAATATTCATTCACAACATGTTCGATAGAAGACTTCTTCTGATTGTCTTTTTGTTGCGAACAAAGCCCTGTGATTCTGGACATGATTGTGCCGGCATCATTGTCGACATTGAAAAAACTCTTTCAAGAATGAACAAGCTCTTTCAAAAATAAACACACTCTTTCAAAAATGAATAAACACTTTTAAAAATCAACATCGAATGGTTCACCATACAACAAACTTTAGCCTACTTATTTCATTCGGCCCAATGCCTCATAATTTCTTAACATTAACATTATGGTAAAAGAAAGACAGCAGAGGCCAACATCCTAGCCCTGAAAACAAACAATGTTGAACTTGCATAGCCGCAATGATCAACGATGAGCCGCTGATACCATTCTAACAGGGCTCATTTGTGACTAGATTCTTAAATGAGGCGATTGACGCACCGCTATGGCCTTAGATACAGAAGACGTCACAAAAAGGAATAGAAAGAATAGAGCAATACATAGAAAGTCAACAAGCTGATCCATAATGTGAAAGAATCAGCAACATATGTAAATGTGCTCTTGGTAAGCAGCAGGGGAACTAATCGTATGATTGTGTTGACTCCACCATATCATCTTCGGCAAAGAAGCACGTGAGCACACGATATGCTACAGTGAATCAAAGCATAGACATGATATATCGTCGTGTTTGTAGTCCACCTGGAGGAGTGAACGTGGATATTTAGTGTTAACTAGCCTCCTTTAGATTAGAGCGAGCCATCATGTAGCTACGGAACAAGAGTTCAAAGCTTGCTACGCCGATAGAGTTTGTTGGACACCAGGTAAGTTCTTGCGATATTATTGGTCCTAAATACTCAATCATATGAATTGAACTAAACTATGGATAGTATATCCTGTAAATACAAAGACCCTAGCAATAGAATTCATCACTGTTCAACAATATCGAAGCCTTCCATGTTGTCCAGAGCCGCTCGGATCTCCTTGGTGTAGGCAGGAATGCCGCCGGAGTAGCACACCGGTTCCACAATCTTGTTGGGCATGCTGCCACCCATGTAAGTAGACCTTGTAGTAGGGAAAAGAGACCTGTTATTAAGGTCCAGGATGTGTTGCTTCCACTCTTTGGTGGCCTCGGGCTTGGGATTGATGTACTTGATGTTGTTCTTGTTCATCTTGTCGATTGCGTCGGCGATCCAACGACCCTGGATCTCGACGCTGGTCGGGCCGTTGCTCAGAAGGGTGGGACCGTGAGGGCCGTAGATGTGGAACATGTTGGGGAACCCGGAGGTGGTGACACCGAGGTATGTTTCACACCCCTTAACCCAATCGTCTTGAAGTTTAGTCTTGTTGATGCTTTCAAGCCCAAGCTGAGTCATGACTAGATAGACGAATTGTTAGCATGTATCCTACTAAAATGACTTGAACAGGATATCAAACGGCAATGCTCATACCTCCTGTAACAATATCCTGGTAAGTGGGGTTAGCTAGTGAACGGGTGCAATCTACTCAGAGAGGGTAAGACTCACGAAACCGGTTGCTACTGCAATAACGTCAAACTCGTGGTGGCTACCGTCAGTCAAGAGAATACCCGTCTCAGTAAACTCCTTGATGGCATTGTTCTTGATGTCGACAACGTCCACAGTCTCGCGGTTGAACTGCTCGTAGTAACTGTACTCAAGGCAAGGCCGCTTGATGCCGAAGAAGTGGGGCATGTCCAGGGGAGCAAGGATATCCCTCTTTCGAGGATCTCCAATTCTAGCACGCGTCTTCTTGGCCCAGAACTTGTAGGACTCCTCGTTCGCCTTGGCATCAAAGAGGTTGTCCTTGTACACGGCGACCCAGTATCTGAAGCCGCACTTCTCCCAAACACTCTCGTAGAGTGCGTCTCTCTCCTCCGGGGTGTCGTCAAATGTCTCCTTCTCATACCAGTCGTAGTGGAATCCGGCAAAGCTGGTCTCTCTGTACTTGAACAGCTCTGGGTACCATGTCTTGCCGCGCTCTTGCTCTTCGACGGAGAGCTTGCGATAGCGCATGGGGACTGCCAGGTTGGGTGTCCGCTGGAACACCTTGACTTCTGCAGCCTTGGGTCCCCAGGCCTGGACGATTTGGACGCCCGAGGCGCCCGTGCCAATGACGCCGCAGCGCTTGCCATTGACGGAGACTTCCTCGTCTGGCCAGAAGGAGGAATGGTGGATAGTACCCTTGAACTTGTCCATTCCTGGCCAGTCAGGGATGTATCGCTTGGCGGCCTGCCCACATCGGTTAGAAAATAGTTTAAATCAGGCATCGGTGGGATTAAGAAATGTACTTACAAACCCTGTTCCAAGGACAAGGTACTTAGCCTTGGTCAAGCGGCCGTCCTCGGTCTTGATATGCCAGCGACCCTCATCGGTATCAAAGTGAGCACCCACAACGACAGTGTTGAAGGCAGTGTCCTTCTTGACGCCGATGACCTTATCAACATGGTCGAAGTAGGATCGGAGATCTTGATAGGTGGGGTAGTTGGCCGGCCAGTTCCAGGTCTTCCACACCTCAGGCCAAGAAAATTCGTACTCGGGGACTTCCGAGTCGACCATGGCACCAGGGTAACAGTTCCATCTCCAAGTGCCACCGGTGTCATTACCGGCCTCGAAGATGACCGTCTTATAGCCACGGTCCCTCAGAGTCTTAAGCATAAAGATTCCGGCTGCAAGATATTGTCAGATAACTTAAGTCACACTTAATGTGAAGCCAGACTCAAGCATACCGAAGCCTGCTCCGACAACCAGAGCATCAACTTCCAAGTCAGGAGCATATGGGCCCGTCTTGTCCTCATGAGCGACGGAGTAATCCGTGAGCTCCGTATTGAACTTTTTGGCAGTATGATTGGGGATTTCAGCAGCGGCCATTGTAGCGATAAATGAGATATTGGTATGATTCTTCTTCTTGTTATTTGTGAAGCTGACTTGATGATGTATATAAAAACCAGCTCAGAACGGGGAGTCCTACGACACTTATTTATACTACAACTTGCATCTGCGCAGCAGCACGGGGACCATTCTGGAAGAACACATCCAGCATCCGCATATGTCCTGTAACACTAGATGCATACAGATCCGTCTGAAGATTAGGCATTGGCGAGGCTTGTGCACTGCGACGGCATTGAATACAACGACAAAGTCCGTTGCAGCGTTATGCATGCAAGCCTCCTGGGGTGAGACTCACAGAGCATGGAGAAATCGCGAGACATCTGGGGAATCCCCGCTCCCCAGACAGATGGCCAGCTCCTCTCCTATCGTTTGCGGATCCGCAGGCGAATATCCCACTAGATAGGGTATGGGAATGATGTAGCCCCCTGCAACCGCATCGCAAGGGAGGTTAGATTGCGGGGATCGCCAAGCAGGACTTCAGAATTACCCGCTCCCCGCGTCGAGCAACCAGCCAGATCGATCATCGTGGGCGGCCACATGTTTTGGACGGATTGGACGGCGGGTGACCATGCGGAGCCGCAGCACGGTTGCGTAAGAGGTCACGAAGGAAACCGCAGTATTGCGGTAGACTGAAGCGTCGTGTTCAGCTTGTGGGGTTGATGACCTCGGCAAAGGGAGAAGATGTGGGACATGGGGCTCGTCTTCCCTTACATATCCCACAGTGAGTGCGTCTCGTTTCCTCTCCCTCGCCAAAAGACCCAAGATCAATTGTCCTCCTTCTGTAAAAGAATCTACTACAAAGCCAAGCTGCCGCCATCAGACTCAAATCATGTCTCTCTCTGCTCAGAGTCTAGATGGCCTCCGGGCGCTGGTAGACGGCACGACCGTCGACCCAGAACTGGGTCTTGCTGGCGTCACTGTCGTCGTTGTCGATCGAGATGGCAAAGAATTATTTGCGCACTCGTCGGGCAAGCGGGGTCTGGCATCCAACGAGCCCATGACGCTCGAGAACATCTTCTGGATTGCGTCCTGCACCAAGATGCTTACGGGCGTCTCCTGCATGCAGCTCGTCGAGCGGGGGATTCTGTCCCTTGATGACGGAGCCCAGCTGGAGAAGCTCTGCCCGGAGCTCAAAACCCTCCAGGTCCTGCTGCCTGATGGCACGCTTGAAGAGAAGAAGAAGAAGATCACCCTGCGCATGCTCCTGACGCACACAGCGGGATTTGGCTATACATTTTTCAATGAGAGGCTGAGAGATTGGTCGCTCCCTGGGGGCTTTGACGAATTCTCCGGTCGCATTGAGGACATGGTCATGCCGCTGCTCTTCCAGCCTGGAGAGGGGTGGGAATACGGAGTACGTCGGCCCAGCCGCCGTCGTAATGTTTCGCTTGGCACTGACGCAGATGATAGGTCAACATCGACTGGGCAGGCATTGCCCTCGAGCGCGTGACCGGCCTGAAGCTGAACGACTACATGCAGAAGAACATCTTCCAGCCCCTGGGGCTGACGGAGATGTCCATGATCCCCAACAAAGAAATGCGATCGAAGCTTGCCTACATGCACCAGCGAGAAAAGGATGGGAAGCTGCGACCGAGAGACCACCTGCAGCGGGTGCCGACCGTCGTCGACCTCGCAGACGAGAAGAAGGTGGGTGAGGTATTCAACAGTGGCGGTGCTGGCATATTTGCCCGGCCGCAGGAATACTGCAGTACGTCCACACCACCCCATGCACCCTGTTTCTGCATCAGTGTTTCTGCATCGGCATTGCTAACCAGAGCTCCCAGAGGTGCTCGCCGTGCTGCTGAACGATGGGACATGCGCCCGAACCAACCACCAGCTGCTCAAGAAAGAGACGGTCCAGGAGATGTTCACCAACCAGATCGCCGACTTCCCCAACTTCGGGCGCCAGGGAATCCCGCCGTCCAAGCCAGACCTCACCAACCCCATCCCGGACCTGTACCCGGTCGCGGCGAGCCAGCCGCAGGGATGGGGGCTCACCTTCATGCTGCCCAACAGCACGGCGACGGGGCGGTCGCAGCCAACAGGACAATGGGCCGGGCTGGCCAACCTGTTCTGGTGGTGTGACCGCGAGAAGGGTGTCGCAGGCATGATTGCCTCACAGGTGCTCCCATTTGCCGACGCACAGGTTCTCGGCCTGTGGGGGCAGATTGAGATGGAGGTGTATAAGGGCTTGGCTGCGTAACGGAGGAATTAGGCATGTAGTCAGCCCAGACGGAACTCGAGAGGAAGCGGGGTAACTTCTGTTCGTGCATGCCGGGGGGGATGGATGGTCTCGGAACGTAATCTGATGTTTTATTAGGCGGTGACAGACTATCCAATTTTTGGCCACGTGACTGACGGCGCCTTCCTGAGGCAGCCCTCTGAAGCAGCGCTGAATGAAGACATGCTACCATCTCGATCCGTGACTGCGCCCTGCATCCCAACGAGCTTCCAGTGACAAAATAAATGCCTGCTTCCCTTGGTCCCAGCCCTGAGGGTGTGCTCGGGGCGTCTGTTGTCGTAGCACAAACACGAGGGCGCGCCCAATCGGGGCCTCGAACTGCGCCCATCAACGAGAATGCGGGGGACGAGATGAAAGATCCTTGCTCATTCCCCATTCTGCCGATGCACTGTGACCCTCTAGCTGGCGGGGGATTAATCATTATGGGCCAGTGACACTACCGCAGTTTTTGGGGTTCTTATTAGTCTAGCGCGTGTCTCCCCAAGATCATTTCCAATCTCAGGCTCTTCAATCTCATCAAATCCCGCCTCTCTCCCCACCACGGCCAGACCAACCGAGCGAGCAGGCCCAGCCCAGCCCAGCATCTCTCTCCCAGCCGCGTCCAGACAGCTCAAGTCATGGAGAAGACGAACAAGCGCCGCCAGAACCATGCGTGCGACCAGTGCAGGAAGTCCAAGCGGGCCTGCGACACCCGCGTTTTTCCCGACGCCAGAAACTACCGCACCGCCGTCTATCCAGGCCAGTTCCGTGAGTACTCGCCTCCCCCCGCGCCTGTCTCATCCTGTGCGCACCGCTGATGATTCCGGCATATCCGGGCTCCCCCTTCAAAGCCCAGGACTCGATGCGCCCACCTTCGTGCACCTACTGTCTCAAGACGAAGAAGAAGTGCACCTTCGTCTGGGCCCAGGCGCAGCTCCGCGGCGGCGCCAACAAGGCCTCCCCCGGCACTGACGACTCGAGCGAGCCAGCCGGCGCCGCGCAGCAGTTCTATGGCCCTGTGCCGGGCTACGATGGGGCGCTCATGTCGCGGGGGGAGGCTGACTACGGCGCCAGCTTGGGACCGGGCATGCTCGCCATGAAGCAGCAGCTGAGCCCGCAGCTTGACATGTTCTCTTCGGCGCCTCTTGACATCAATGCTATCCCGTACGCGAGTCCCGCGAGCAACTCGACCGACGGGGGACAGTGGATTGCCCCGGCGGGCACATCACTCGATGTCGGCCAGCAGGCCTTCTGGGGCTCGCTTCCTAACCTGTCCAGTGACGAAACACAGTCGTACGGCTCTCACTCAGAGGAAGGGTTTCTCCCCGGGACGGACTGGCTGGGTCGAGACCCGTCGTTCCAAAATGTAGACTCGGAGCTTACCTTCTACCAGGAGCGTAATGCTAGGAGGGATTCACCCCGTGAAAGCTGGACAAACTGGACCGCGCCTACCTCCTCGCTCTCCCTCCTCACGCCCCAGGAACACATGATGACCATCTCAAACAACGCCATGATATCCGAGAACCTCCTCCGCATCTACCACGACGTGCTGGAGCACAATCTCTCCTGCTGGCTGGCGGAGGAGACCTGCCCCTACGGCAGCACGACGCTAACACTTATGAGAACATCTACACACCAGGGCGGAATGCCAAACGAACTCGGCTCAACTTGGTCAAATAAGATATACGGCCGCGTGAAGCGCCTGGACCGCGTCGCTCAGAGAAACAGGCTCCTTCAACTACGGCCCACCGAGGACCAGGCCGCGTCGAAGGCGCTCGATTTGGTCATCATGGCGTTTGCGAGCCAGTGGGCTCAGGGCAGCTACCGACAATGGGAGCAGTACAAAGATGGTCAAGGGGAAAGCCCAAACCACCCGGGATCGGATGGCACGCCGCCGCCTGAGGAGTTCGACCGCCAGATTCAGAGATCCCTATGGGGTCAAGCGAAAGCAGCACTGGAGAATGTATCGGGCCTCGAATGTTTCAGAGTAGTGTGTGCCGAGTTGATATTCGGTCTATGTCAGAGACCTATGGATGAAACGAGCAGCTGGGACAGTGGTGACTACGGAGCCTACAACTCCGGCAGCGTCATGGAAACACTAATGGACAGGCTGCGAGAAGCAACCGAGAACGAAGAACCGCCTATTTTTATGGAGAGGGGAACTCGGAAAATCCACGCCCTCAAGTGCAAGTTCGATTTATGGGAAGCCGGCTGGTTGGACAGAAACAGAGGCCGGACAGGAGGGGGCGCGGATGCGGAGATCAAGGAGGGAAAGCGGACGGTACAGCTGCTCTACTGGCTATCTGTCATGTTCGACACGATATCCTCCTCTACCAACGAACGACCAGTCGTGGTAGCCGATGAAGAGTGCCAGCACGATGCCGCCTGGGATATGCAAAAACTAGGAGATGCGATCGATTCATATGGCCAGGCGACTGAAACACTGCCGCAGAAATGGCAGGTTAATCTCTTCATCCAAGACGACCTCGAAAAGCCAAGCAAGATCCCATCCTGGCCCTGCTCGTACGACGATGCCGCCGCGACAGTCACAAAATCCGCCCCAGTCAAGGTTCTTCTCTTCAGGCACGTTTCCTATCTACAGAGCGCCATCAGACGAGGCCGACGGGGGAAAGTCATCGAGGACAACATAAACGCGAGTATGATGATCTACAAGTATTGGAACGTCACGTACGGCCCCTTCCATCGAAGCCTAATCCGAGACTACGACGCAGTTCCGCCCCGTGTGCAGAGCTGGTTCGTATGTATAGCATCGCACTGGCACCTCGCCGTGCTCTTACTTGCCGAGTCGATCAGTTTCGTCGACAAGAAACAGCTTGGGATCGAAGATGTGCGGCGTAAGCGGACCAACGCCAACTTCTGCCGGCAAATGGCCAAATCCAGCGCTATGGAAATTTCGGATATTGCCGCAGTGGCTGCTCCCAAGCATGGGAGCAAGCCTAGCAACAATGCCAGCCAGTGGTCGTTGCCTCCTGGCACGCAAGATCCCTCATTCCACTCTGTAACTCACGAGGGTGCCATCCTGACGGAACCTTGGACCATACTCATCATCAGGGCATTCACAAAAGCGGCAGCAATCCATCTGGAGCGAGCCGAGGAACTATGGCACTCGAGGTCGTCGGATCCATCTGGAGGGCGGGGCGAGATCCAAGGGTTGCTGGATCGTTGCGAACACTGCACGAGGGCGTTGTGGTTACTGGGGAAGAAGTCCGACATGGCGAGAAAGGCTGCGGAAATATTGACTCGGGCTCATTCAGAGCTGGCGGGTCAAATCGCCATGGGATCGGTAATGGTACCGGTTGAGTCATGGGAAGGGATATTGAATTGGATTAGCACCTGATCGTGGATATCTGGAAATGGATGTGTTACTGCCTTGATGCTGATACCTTCAGCCCTACCAGCGCCAGCACCACCCATCCAATTATGCCATTGATCGTTTCACTGGCCTCGGGAAGGGTTGGTCTGTGTTTGGTTCTTGATCGTCGCTTCCTGGATAGCAAGTGATTGTGATCGCAGCTGTCTAACGTTCACATAGAGAGGGTGGGTTGGGCGCCTCGAGGTGCGGCGCACTTGGTTGATTTCTTGTACGAAAAAGAACTGTTCCTTGGAAAAGAAAAGATGCAAACGTGTGTGTGAACAAGGAACGATCAAAAGAACGATTTATCGTTGGGAGTATATTCATTGTGTTGAGGAGTTGTCGGGCTCTGGCAGCTTCCATTGCTGTTAAACTTTATTCTCTTTCTCTTAGGTATCGTTGGGAGTAGGTTGTCGATAGAATAGTCGGGGATGGATGCGATTATCTTCGCTCGGCGAGGGTTCTGTTTTAATGCTGACCGGCTGATATTGGGAGTTGGTAATTTCCCCTATAATTCCCATCATCGTTTCTTCCGACAGTTCAGACCTTGCTCCCCGCTCTCCAGTTCTTCGTATATCCAAGTAAGCAGGTCCTGCATTATCTTGAGAAACTGCGTTATTAGCAGAAGCTGAGCGAGGGCATAATAATTGAAAAATAATAATAAACGAATATGTCGGGACAACCTACATAGCTGGACGTTGCTGGTGCCAGAAATAGCCGTGCCCTGTAACTGCTCGGGTGCTTACTCATGGTGGGTTTGTCTGGATGTGCTGTGTACCACCTTTCCACAACGAACGGGCTCTTCTAAACTGCCCGAGGATGAAATCCGTTGATCGTGTCGTGAAACTTTGGAGCCACCAAATTCAAGTCGAGCGGCTTGAGGTAAGTTGCAAGGAGGAGTCGACACGTAGACCAAAGCGAGATATATCCTCAAATAGAAGAAGCAACTCGGCATTCCACTTTGCACCAGGCCAGAAAGACCAAGTAGAGCTCACCAACCAATGGATCTATAGCTGCTTGCTTCCTCGCCCTCACTCTGGGCGGTGGAGGTGCCAGTTTCTTTGCAAAGGTTTGGCGTCTGCTGCTCTTTGGCCGCTTCACGAAGCTCTCCTTGTCTCGTGAATCCGCAGGACGTGTCTTGGGTTTTTAGCTACACATTGGCCAGGGTGGCTTGAACCGATAGGTTGTTTTTGCCGGCTCGTTCTTTGTTGCGGTTGATGACCGCGACACCAAATGCTTCCGTTATCTGGCTTGGCGTTCTTTATGACAAGGTCAGTGTGTATGGAAATAAACATAATGATGACACTGCCTATCCCTCATCCCAAACAGTAGAGTAAACCACTTTCTGGAAAGACGATTGGTTTCCTCGGTCCACATAGCATACTCTTGGCAAGTTGTGTCCTGGCGCGAAAGCTCGGCTTCCGATAAGTTACTGACATACTGCTGGTAACAGGCACGGTAGTTTCTCGCATTCTCCTTATTCTTCTCATCCGGGCATTTGCATAGTAGCCATCTGCACCGTGCTATCAGAAGCGTGAGGATTCAGGGCTGTTTGTTGACAATGTATTTTGTTGATAATGTATTTGTTGGAGGCCTTTACATCTTGATATACTTCGTCAAAGTCAAAGAACCGGCTCGCGAAAGACGTCGAGCTTCTGTCGAAGTCGTCTGAGCTGGGCCTTTGAGTTAGTTCGTAAACTGATGGTAGAAGCTTCCCTAAAGAGAGACTCGCAGGGCGAAAAATCTTGGGCAAGCTTGTACGAAGCAAGGGCGATTCCACGACGAGTGGTCTCGGAAAAGTGATGGGGACACTAGGCCGTCCTCCACCATCAAATCGGAGATGGAACCGTCTTCTTCTTCGCGACGGCTACACAGATCGTGGGCGAGCTGTAGGCGTTCCTCCGGGTCTGTGATTAGCCGCTCGTTGAAGAAAGGATCGTTGTCGTATTCACGGAAAATCTCTGACGATTTTCGAAGAGCCCCATCAGGTATTTCTCGCGAGCAGCGTCGTTTTAGTCTGTCGATTTTGTGATTGCTCGCGGCCTCTTTTCCCAGGCTATCCAGTAATCCTCGCTTCTTTTCTTGTAAAACTTGACGTCGGGACTTTCTCTGAAGTTGATGCAATCTCGCGGGGTTTGAAGCCCAGCCGTGGTCTGGGCTTCCTGCCCTTTATGTTTTAGTTTCATGGTTGAGGTATTAATGTGAGAAAGTAATGAGCTTCGAACAGGAAACTCAGATTCTCATGTTACGCACCGATGAAGGGGGGAGAGAAGCGCACAGATGGAGGGAGGGGAGGAAGGGAGAGGGAGGAAGAAGTGGGAAGTCAGGGGAGTGTTTGCAAGTTTACAGCTGCCAGAATTACGAGGCAAAGTACCCTACATTGATACCTGGGTACCTAATAAGTGGATGAATTAAAACATGCCACACCCAAGCCTCCATCCATCCAGCGTTGAATTTCGACATAAGATCAAAACACTTAACCAAGGGATAAAGACAACATCAAGCTAAATACTGTACTATGATTTTCTATTTTATCATTATTGTATTTTGTAATATTAATACGAAAACGGGGTCTCTAGCTTGCACGAAAGGAGCTCTGGTGTGCCATGTTTTATCTCAGTCGCTTGCTAGGCAGGTACCTGTTGGCCAGCACCTCGGCGCGTCTCACACTTACGCGAGGAGTTACATGTATATGCCTTGAGCAGCATGACGTCTACATTGCCATGCTCTTTATCGACACGGTAGGATGGCTGTACATGTTTCATGTGCGCAAGGTGAAACGGTCAACCGATAGTCCAAGAAGCTAAAAGAAATTTTGAGAGGGCAGTTAATCGCTTTCGCCGAGCAACTCGACTCGAGGAACCGGTCAGGAGTGAGACGGCCCAGGAGGAAGAGGGTACCAAATCAGAGTCTCCCAAGCAACATGAGGTTCAACAGGCAAAAATATGTGTACGCCACTCTATGTGATATCACAGTAAAGCAACTCCGCACCAGCAACCGCCAAGGGGGTCAGACCCAGGAGGACCTTGATCAGATTGAGCAGGGCATACAGATCATCCACGCGTTCTTTAACGCCAAGGACTCGACACCTCACTGAGTACTGTCTATAGACTGCAGCGTAGTTCACATTACATCTACTACCTAATCTACCAAATCAGCGTGACTAGAAATTCCTCCCACCTGAAGATACTCTACCACCTACCCACCCCACTGAAGTTGACGATCGATTAAGTCGAAGTGATGCGCAAGGGACTTGGGCCATAGCAACATGCCAACATAAAGGTACTGTTACCTATTGACGAGGACGGGGCCTCAGGCGACATGCACCTGGTGTGCGTGGACGCAACGCTGTAATGTCTCCTAACCTAGATACATATGGCATGATCTATACCCAGGGTACATGTAGTTAAGGTGTCCAGTTGCTAGAGGTCACGAAATACCCGGAAGATGAGAAGGACCTGGTCGCCAAAAACATCACCGACGAAATGTTCAAATTGCACAAAGTTGACAAGCGGGACAACCCTCAGCCTGAAACGCGTTGGTTAGCAAGATCAAGACAACCAACTTACTCTGCCTCGCGGCATATGGCCAATTCCGGACCACAAGGGACACTGGAAAATATGAAAGATACGGAGGTGGCAACGAGAGATGTTATGATCTCCTATTCCAGTGGCGTGTCTGTGCAAGCCATGAGACAGGAACATCTATAGGTATCTTAATGATATGGCAATGATTGCTTTTTGTTTATCACCGTATTTTCTGGAAATTCACAAAGGATGGTAGATGCGAAGATACTTCGAACTCTTGATGCACTATAATGAAAATTCTCATCTCGTATATTCATACTCAAAGTCAGGATCCCGAGTTTGCTGGGCGTACTGAGGAAGAATATGCCAAATGTACGGACATTTTAGAGTCTGTTGCATGAAAGAGGTCTGCCTCTCCTCTCCAAAACATTTGATGCGTTTCCGGTGTTTGTTTCTAGGAGAATCAAGTTCTTTGAGATGGACAGGTTTGAAATAGCATCTGTTTATTTGACTAGCAGTTATGGGAATCTTCGAATACGCCTCAGGGTCTGTTGATTACGCGATACCAGCCGATAGGTTGTATCTCGACACAATTTAGCAGCTGCCTGTTTGACGCGGAATAACTAGTCTCTCGAATCCAACGCATGAGTAGTTTCTGTTCTCGGCGACAAGGCCGTCTTTGGGGCCAAAACGACAGCGTGAGCGATTTCAACTCCGGAAGCATGTATACAAACCTCGGCCCCAGACTATCCCAAATACTAGCCCCACAGGATCAACACAAATAAGCGCGTCCTCATAGTGACGGCGCAAGCTAGTCGCCGATAAGTCCAAACCTACTGCTAATGGCAATATGGAATACAGACGAGAGTAGCCGCTGGGTTCTCTCCTCTCTTGAAGAAACCCCACCCTTGCACCGGTTCAAAGTGCCAACCCTATCCACCTTATCATCGCAGGAGCTAATCAGGCGGGTATAGTCATCGATCCTACCTTTGGGGGCTTCGACGAGGGGAATTATTCTGCTCGATCGACGGTCGGATGGAGGTATTCGACTATAGTTGACGGTTTCTTGAGGTTGTGTATTCAATGGCAACGAACAGGGTGGATCAAAGGCAGTCGAAGGTAGTCGGCATCGTTTAGTTGTGTTGGAGGGATCAACGGCTCGCCGATGACGTTTTTGGCATTATTATACAGAGGCTGGTTCGAGTCAGCACTCTGGCAAGTTATTTGTCCGTCAGGAACCCCTCTGACATCAGGGGAATCAGGGGAACCAAAAGAGTGTGCTTACCAAGAAGTGGTATGTACCCTGGCAAGAGGACAAGGTTCAAGTCGGTATGGGGTAAATTCCGCCGAGCGGCTTGCCTGAGTCATGCCGCACGGAGAAGGTCATCGGTGCTTCAGGATCGTAGGGATCAGCGAACTGAAGCAGACGTAGAAATCAACATGTTCTCCGCCGACGCCTAAGCTTTTGGCAGCAGAGGGAGAACGGACGCAGAAGTCATCCGCAGTCGTATGTCAAGGTGCCTAGAAACGCCGGGACTTGTCATGTTTCGAGGACTCAGTGTGGGGAATAAAGCCATCAAGTCCCGGATGGAGGTCTGCAGAGAAACATTACGAGCGGGGGATGACCTGAGGGCTGCTGACTCGATGTCTCGGAGCGACATCAGCAGTACCTCACCAGGGAGGGGAAGTACTTCGGCGAGGGCTGTAGCACGACACCGTAGGAGATGTCCATGCTTGCTGATCGATTAGTAGCGGTAGGGTAGTATGACAATGCTGGCCCCCTTTTGATTGCAATTGGTTCTCGCGCCATGGCTCTGTCGCCCCAGAGGAAGCCATGCAAGAGGAAACGTTTCCCTGGCGGACAAACGCGTTAGTCGAGAAGACCCAATGGACAGCGACTCGAACCAGAATACGATTTATTAGAAAAGCAAGACATTCTGACCAAAGCGCGTAGCGAAGCAGAGACACAAAAAGCAAAACCGCAGCATGGATCAAGCGGTGAAAATAGTACGAGCAAGGTCTCAGTCTGCCACTCAAATCAACGCGCCGCGATTGGATGGCAAATTAGAAGATAATACGTAAAGGCCTGACCCGGCACCAACCATGTCCAATGATATCGAGCGAGGGGAAGGGAGGGAGAGGAGAGTGCAGGGTGGTGGCACACGTACGTCCATGCGTGGGGTGCGAGCGCGCACTGTCCCTCTGCTAATTTGCGCCATCCAGCCATTAGGTAGTACTTAGCGAGGAGGAATGAGTGTCATTGCGGGAGACAACAGAGGAGATGGAGGGGGGCAACGCGGTGGTATTTGCCAGGCCCGGTTGGGTTTCATTGCATGGAGCAAGCGTCAGGACGGCACCATGATCAGGCGTTGACGGGTCTTGGTCTCCAATTGCCGACAGCTAAAAGAAAGCTCTCAAGGACGATTCGACGCTTTCCGAGAGCACAGAGAGGATTCGGGATATTTGTTCGAAGCGAGATAGATTTGACGTCGCGAGGTCTGGAGGAGCGAGCACGCCTCACGTGTCACGTCGCTGTTTTGGGGTCTTTTCCGGGGGCAACAGGCTTCGAGTCCAGGCCAGGGGGCTGAGCCCGACAGAGGGAAAGGGGAGAATCCTTGCATCCATTTCATTCATCCGGCGGGGTGGGATTGATTGACTTTGCACTGTGCAGCGGTACAGGCGCACTGGCGGCCACCCACGAAACACGCCACAGGTGATGAATCAACTCTCAAGCGCAGCGCAGTGCAGCCATCCCCCCTCCTCCAGCGCTGGCACGTACCTATGCGCCGCTGACGGTGTGGTCTGGTGTCACCCCCTCCAAGCCACTGTACGCACCAGCGACGGGTGGTGGCCAGAGACACAATCGAGATTGTGCCTGAATCGAGGGTGTAAAAGACCAGGTCAATTCGAGCCGCCTCGCCGCGCTAGATCCCCACGACGAGATCGCCCTGGGCCACATCTCTCGACGTCGTTCCTCTTCGTCGGAGGCAAGCCAATTCTCCGGCAACGGGGGTTCTGAGTGGGCTCTGGGCGGTGGATCTGCTGCGAAATGGAAGATGGGGCCGTCACTTAGCTTCGTCTGGGGAAGTGGGCCTTCTGTAGTGGAGAGCTCTAGGCCTGTCGCCCGCTAACTGCCAGTATCTCTCGACAGACGGTTCAGACAGACAGACTGAAGAAAAAAATCATGCTCGCAGCGATAGAAGGAAGATGGCCAGAGCAGATATAGCATCGTGTCCCTCACTTTGATCGACGGTAACCCAGGTCCCAGCGATTGACACAGATGCGTTGCCCCGACCGTGGTGTGAGACAGGGGCAGCGTCATCCTCCGCATGTCCATGTACACATCATGTATGTAGGAATTGCCCTCCCTCGCTATGACCAGCCTGTGCCAATCATCTGCGCTGCATCCCAGCCGTCTCACTGGAAAACGGAGGCCGCCGTCGCCCTTTGATTCGCCGAAGCCATTCAATAGTAGCAGAGTGACCCTCCAGGTACAACCCAGGCGCTGAACTCCTTCACACACCCATTCACTGTCGCACATTTTGGGATGTAACTGTTTGCAACGATGAATTGACACATCACCGTCGGATACCACCAGGCAACCTCTCGCATTCTAAATGGCATTTTCGCCATCATCCGACGGAGTGTCTCCTCGCTGGCAGGTCGGGCTGGCGTAGAGAGCTAACAAAGCTACCTCTCAAGATCGACCAGAATACAGTTTCCATAGCGCAAATGTAATTGACATGATCAAGGTACCTACTACTATTCATTTCATCCCTCTAGTCCTACCCCGCTCTCTACTGGCCAATCACGTGGCAAGGAACGTCAGACATCAGGTCACGGGGAACCGTTAGGTACCAGCGATTTGCCTTCACGCAGTAGTGCAGGTCGTTGTCTGTTTCTAGGCGTAACTAGGTACTGTTCCTAGGTGTTGCCTCTCTTATAAGGACGCGTGACCCCTCTTTCTGGTTCATTCCTCTCGTCATCATCTACCTCTACCTACTCCTACTACCTCCTCTCCAATTCATCCTCCAACTTTGACATACATTCTTCATCTTCACTTCGTCCACCGAGACTTTATCTAAGACAGTTTATCCTTCACACGCCGCTTGAGTCACTCTGTATGTTTTCTCATCGTCACCGTCAACAAAAGCCGAGCTAACCTGCCCACCTCACCTAGGCTTTCATCCTCTACCACACCACCTTCCCACCCATACTCAAGCACAACATGTCTCCCCGCGTTCCTCGTCTTCCCGCAGCCAAGACCTCAGAGGTCCTCTGCATGGGCGCCGCAGGAGTCGGCGTCCTCGCCCCCTTCTGGTTCCTCATCCCCGGCACCGAGGACCGCCTCTCCAAGCAGACCAACAAATGGGCTCCTCGCTGGGAGCGCAACGTCAGCTACCTCGCCCCTCCCATGGAGAGAGGCGTCCAACGCATCGAGCCCCCCATCGCCCGCGCCGCCCAGCGCATCCCAGAGCGCCTCCATCTCGAACAGATGGCCAAGAGCGTCGACAGGGGCATCCGCAAGAGCATCGAGCGCTTCAACGGCGGACCACCCTCGTCGTCCTAAACAGGCCGCTCGAACGGTATCGTTTCACGACTTAATGGGCTCGGTGTTTTTCGTTTGCATTTTTATATGAGATCATCTTCTGTCAATAAGACGGTATATACAATACTACATTTGGGGCCTAGACGGCTTTCCTTTCTCCGTCATACAGTTGTTCCATTACTATCGTGATGTATTTTTCCGTGCTGCGTGACCATTATTTTGCCGTATCGCTTGCACTTCCTAACTCGTATTGTGTTTACGCGTGCCGTACCTCCACTGTAGCATTGGAATACTGCAATGCTAGGTTGTACTGTATCATTCTCGCGACGTCGCATTGATGTCGGATCGTCATCGTTTCAATCGAAGCAGAAAACAGGCCATTCCGGGCCGGTGACTTCCGACTCTTGAGTCTACCCCTTCCCGGGAGTGCTCCCAGATGCAAAAATAACCCCTTTACTGGGAAAGGAAGGAATTCTAATCATGGGTTGTTTTATTTTACCGCCCGACGTGTATGTTTGGGTAGGTATTTGCCGATGGAGCGGTCGATGGTCCCACGTCACATTGTCGACTCCTCGCCACCCCTCATATGATGGCATAGAGATATTATGTTCCCATCACTCTGTGCTGCTCCTTGAGTAAAAGTCTCTACTATAATATATCGCAAGAAGTAAAAAAAGGCTCGCAAATGATTTAGCCTACTGTTCGATCCACTCTGGTACATCACAACTAAGGTAGCTCCCGCTTCCATTCAGACAAACACTATCATGAAATAGCAACACACCAAAACCATTGTCTGCTATTAGAACCGAGAAATAACTACACCATCTGAACAATGGCCAAGCCTGACTGAATTCTTTGAACCGATTCTGGAAGTTGACTGTCCTTCCCTACTGAAGCTGCTCAAATGTCACAGGTTAATCGAAGAGTAATACCAAGCACAGGGTGGCCAATCGATTCCGATATTCTTTTAAGATAAGCCTGGAGAATCAATTCCCCCTCAAACTGGTTCCCTTTGAGCATAGCAATTTAAGTATTCTTGGGGCTACAAGTATAGCTCTCTAATTGAAGCCAGCTTATCCGACCTTTCCCGCAGTGACCGCGTAATCATCCGTGCAAGTGTTGGATATTCTTTCTTAAACCGTTGTGACTCTGGACTTCTACAATGCAGCATCTGTATTGTCCTCCGGGTTCTCTGGCAGCCTCGTGTCTCCCATAATAGCAGCCTTATTTTACATAGCCTCCAGCTCTGCCTCATTCTCGAGCGGGGAAGCACGGTCGGAGTCTGTCATCGGAACGAGTTTGTGAACAAGACGAGAGAGATATGAGTAAGGTTCTGCAGTAAAAGGATGTCAGCGATTGTGTATTGTGAAATACGTTGGTTGAAAGTGCATACATATGTACCGCTTGGCAGCCCCATTTGTGGCAGCATAAACAATGCCATAGCCCACAAGCGTTGTTGATTGTCTGATTCAACCAGAAAATGCCGGCATCCTGCGTAACTGGGGCGCCTACGCTAGTAGAATAATCGTTATTTTCTGCGGCCATGCTTGCTTCATAGTTGTCTGTCGTGAGGGAAATGAGAACCAGAGCGAGGACAGGTCGAGGAACTGTGACAATAAGTTCAGGTTCGCTCAGGGACCAAATGTCATGAAAGCGTAGCTGTTGTGACAGACCAAGGTCTTGAAATGGCCTGGTGAAAAGCTCTGGATTTGATTCAAGGGCGATGAAGTGTTTCTTATACTCCATTTTCACCTTTATTAGGAACACGGGGACGGCAGATCTTGAGATGAATAGTGAAGCCTGAGGTCCATTAATAAAACCGCTGCCCCGTTGCCCTAATCTTCATGTTATAGCCCGATCTAGCCCGCTGCATACCTCCATTGTACCTACCTGTCATTGAAGAAGAGGTTTCTCACTGCTCACTGGTGACCACTCCATGGATTTACCAGTTCACTATCTGCCCACCTATGCAGAGGTGTCCCACGAACCCTCATCATCACTACATTGAAAAATGGGCCACGGGAATATCTTGCCTTTCCCAACGAAGTTACTGATTCCCATCCGGGCCATTCTAGTCTGGCTGGGACACGAGATACCAAATATGTACTCGATGACCCTGGAAGTAACGAAACTTTGTGTTGAAATCTAATAACACAATCCGGCCGAAGAAGTCGCACGGCAGACCGAATCAGTTCGAACGATTTAAGCTGCAAAGGTTACATTGATATCGCCCCTGTGGATAGACTTTGCTAGCTACGAAAGGCAAACATCGGACGCTCGGATACTTCAGCTCTTGATACGTACGCAAAAAATCACGGCTCGCAATTTTATGACTCTGAAAATATTGTAAGCGTGATCCTACTCTCTTCCTCCGCCCCTCTTTCTCTCGCTGTCTCTTTCCATTTTTTTCTTTTCTCGTTTAAAGCCTGAATCTAAGACTGAGTGATATAAAGACAGGCAAGTCAGTCGAATGGACTACACATATCTAGCTTCGAGGCACAGTCGAATACCATTTCCGAATCTCAACAACCGATAATCAACAAAATCCGTCGAGTGTGGTAAACCAGCAACCACAGTCCGTTCAGGCCCAACCGTCAGAGTTTCTGAATCACCCCTCGTTGCCAGTTTCTTAGGTCCTTAGAGTCGAAGGTCAAAATATTCACGTACTCAAAATGAACCTAGGGAAATTGCTACGACGCCTCGACGACTGTCTTTGTGGTTGTCACTGCAAATTTGCTCACCAAGACATCTATTTGCATATTTAGGCGACTTAATTCTGGGATGCTTGAAAATTTTGTGGTGTTTTTGCTTCACTGGGTCCAACAGCTTATACGACAAGCGATAATTAAACTTCTTGATGTTTACCGTCGTATGAATTGGATGTATGCTCCAGATCCAATGAACACTAACGAGCACCTGGCCAACCGGCCAAGTTGGGGATAGAACGAACCACAGAGCCCGACTCTAGATGATTATATCGATTGAAAAGAATCCATCAAAGCCACCTCACTCTCGGTCATGAACAGGAGCGCGACGGGTATTGCCACGCGCATAAAGTACCTAACAGTTGATGGTTTGTTAGCGTGAGGATCGGTAAATCCTGTGAAATGCGTCGTGAGTGACGGCGAAGTCATCAGGGCAGTTGGAAAAGCAGTCGGGGGGAAGGTACTCAAGGGCCAGGAGTTTTATTATACAATACTAGGATGTAGCTTATAATTCATGAGTTATTCCGGTGCTAGGGTAGGTGGCAGGTTCGCCAATTGTGAGAGATATTAGTTATTGGGAGTCTATAATGTAGTAAAGATTTAATAGTGACTTTTCCGAATACTGCAAGCCGCAGCTTATCAACTTCAATATTCTCTATACAGAAGAAAGGAGAAACTCCGTACAATGCTCCTTACTCCAGCATCAACTAGTATTACCCGGGCGTGTCTCCTTGACATCAATACCACTAACATCATTACTCCCAGCTCACCGAGATGGGATCGTGGTTCCCCGAGAACTTGGTGCCGCCAAACCAGAGCTCAAACCGCAAGTCTGCGGGGGCCACAATGACCTTGACGTCGAATTGACAAATGTAGTACTTGTACCCCTTCTTGAAGCATGTTCCCCTCTTCTGCTTAAGCACTAGCTCATGCTGCTGGACTCCCGTCAGGTCGCTCTTGACGGCACAGAGCTTCTCCGCGCCAGGTTGCCTCAGTGCATTGGGGAGCTTGTCTACTGGGAGGTTGGAGGTGATGAATGAAGAGTCCCAGGATCTCGTCGTCTCGTCGCTGCCCAACCGGATCTCAAACGTCTTCGTGAACGCCGAGTTTGGCTGAACGGTGTCTCCCTATAGGATGAAAATAAATGTTAGCCGATGAGGAATCACACTATCTTTTGAACCGGTATATGATTACCTTGCGAATGAGCCACTGGATCTGTCTGATTGCCCAAATCTGCCTGGGGTCATATGGATCCGGCGAGGCATCCTCCTCATCGTGGTATGTTGGCGAGAAGGGGGCTTTGATGACGACGCCGTAGCTCGCGCGAGCTATCCGGCTCGTCAATACTCCCGCCGGGGCGCCAGTGGCGATCTTTTGCTGCTGCTCCAGCAGGAGGCCACGCACGACGACGAGCTGTGGCTCTTGGCATGGGACAATGACCACGGCCCCCGCGTTGGGGTGCTGTTGCATGGCTAATTGGCGCTGGATCTCTTCTCGAATATACGCCGAGCTCCCCAGGCCGCCTGCGAGGATCAGGTATTCCTGTGGTCGGATTAGAATATGTAGGCACCCAGTAAAGTCATTGAGCGCGCGGACTTACCACTTGCTCTTGCAATCCGGCCTCGCTTATCCAGTCGAGCTGCTCCCTGATTCTGCGCATCATGCCGTCTATCTGCGCATCAAATAATGATTGGATCTCCTCCCTAGTGACCATTAATCTTACGATCCATCTCATACATGCCGAGTGGCAAGATCAGGAGCCTTGGGCTACTCACTTGGTAAACAGCATCCGCCCCGCCTCAATCCCAGCTCCAGGATGGCTGAGATCGAAAGAGACGCCTTCCATCTGTATCTTGAACACCTGCTGCATGTAAACCTTCTCGCCAAACTTGTGCTTGACGGTCTTGAAGTGATGGCTCCTCGCCATCCTCGCCGGGCAATCACCCGGCAGCGAGCTCTGGACGTCGGGGTACGCCGCAAGCCGCTGGCTCACCAGCCTCACAAACGCCCTGTCGATGAGAGAAGATCCGATGCCGATGCCCTGGACGGCAGCTACCTGCGACATTTGCGGGAACACGCTATCCCCCGACGTCACACGCATCAAAGCCAGGTCCGTGGTGCCACCTCCAGCGTCGACCGTGAGGAAGAGATTCCCCGGCTGGAACTCGATGGCGCTCGTCTTCAATGTGGCGATAGACGCGGCCTCGGCCTCCGTCAAATCGACCTGCGCGACGTGCCGGGGCCCTTCAGTCCCGTAGCCCGCATCCCGGACGATGCTCTTGAAGGTGTTGATGACGCCCATCTTGGTCCACGTCGTGGGCACGCTGAACAGGAACGAGACGGACATGGGCTCCCACCCCCCGGGCTGCTGCCGCTTGCCCAGCTGCGTCTCGATGCTCTCCTTGATGTGGCCGTAGACCTGCCTCAGGTAGTCCGTCAGGAACCCCCGCGCCTCGGCCGTGCTCCGCGGCACGCTCGAGAGGCCCTGCTGCTGCGCTGCCTCGAGCGTGTCCTCGTCCAGGAAGATCTTGAAGAACTCCCGGCGGGTCTTGCCGTGGATGGGATCATCGTCGTCGGCGCAGGCGAAGCCCCACGTGGAGAGCGTGCCGTCGGCGTTGTACACCAGCGTCGTGGGCACTTTGCGCTCTCCTCGATCGCCACTGCCCGGCCAGTCGTTGATGACCTGGATTGGCCTCTGTGGAGTCATCCATGCCACGCCTAGGGAGAAATTTGTCGGTCGGATTGGTCTTTATTTTACGGTGATGGGGCAGGCAAACCTACCGGTGAATGTGGTGCCCAGGTCGATGGACACGATTACGTCTGGTGTTTCCGCTGCCATGTTTACCCTTGCTGCTCAGTCGTAGATCCGTATTAGTATGTATTCTATGAGCGACCCAACATGAGAAGTAGCAGGCGTCAGAAGGTTAGGCGGGACACCTCATCCGTGGCTTGGGTAAGTGGGCGTTGGATTACAAATCTCTGGAGGTCAAATAAATATCGAAAGCTCACAGGGATGAACAGGGATTTGATCATCGTCCAGCTGCGCCAGGAGGCAGCCTTCCTGCAGGCCAAATCGTGGCTCCAGGGTTCGGTAATGAAGGAAGATCCATCCACGCTTATGCACCGCCACCCCATGTCTTCGTTTCTATTAAAAGTGCAAATTTGGCCGGCGCTGTCTAGCTCATAATAGTGTCTAGGCCAGTGTCTGATCGCTGGGTGGCGTCAAGCTCTTCGCACGCTCCTTTGCCTACCTTAGCAGCCTTTTCTTCTGTTATAAGCTGGGATAGTTTGTTCAAGCTTCCCTCGCGACCGATATCATAGCATCGGGCTGATTCCTTTACAATGTCTCAGGACGTAGCGAGCAGTGTAAGTATCTACATTTGGGTTGATGGATGAGCATCCTGACAGATTTCACAGAGCGTCGCGCAGGCCGTCTCGACTGGAGATCAGTCGAGCCCAGCGACGAGCTCTACGGCGAGCCCAACGGCGAGCTCTACGACGGCAGCAGAGTCGGCCTCAGCGTCAAGTCCGTCTGGGAGTAATATTTCTCCAGGCGCGATAGCTGGAGCATCAGTGGGAGCCTTGGTCGCGGGCCTCATCGTCGGATTCCTCGTCGCCCTGGTCTTCCTCCGGCGTCGCAACAAGCAGTCGTCTCCCCCAGAGACAAAAGGCCGAAGCATCTCAGCAGCAGCTCGTTCTTCGGATCGAAAGTCATACTCTCCCGTGCCCGAGACGACGAACGGGACCGCCGCCAGTACCGATGTTCAGCTCGATCAGTTCCTCCTTGACGGCGCACCAGACGATGAGATCGTGAACGAGCTTCAGGCCTTGTCCGATCTCATCTACCAGCACGTGGAAAACAACTACGACCTCCGACCTATCCAGGCCAATGTGGACGACCTCTCACGGCAGCTCCAAGCCCTGGGGTTTGTCAAGAGTGCGCACCACGATTCCGATGCCATCGCCGCGCTGGCTCTTGACCCCAAAACCCGCCAGACCGGCCTACGACATGTCATCTCAACTGTCGTGTTCAAGAGCATCGACGTCCACTCCCGCAGTCCCCTTTCCATGCTCCCCGTCCCCGTCGCAGCTCTTCTCCAGACGATGCCTGCCCCGGACCGCCAGAGCGAGCACACAAAGCGAGGTAAGCGAGCGTACAGCTGCACAACTGATTTGTCAACTTTTTATGCTGACCACCGAAACAGCCACCACGCATGCACTCTCAAATTGGCGCAGGCTCTCCGCCTTCCTGCTGCACCCGGACCCCAGCCAGCGGACCTCGCTGCCCGTGCCTGAGACGGTCGTGTCCAGCCAGGCCCTGGCCCTGACCAGCGCCCTCAACACGTTCCTCGACAGCTTCGTCTCGTCCTCGCACGCCGGCCAGCGGGAGCACCTGCAGCTCGTCATCGTCGAGTGCACCAAGCTGGGCTACGTGCTCTTCTCGCACCCCAGCGACTGGCGGTTCGTGCACGAGGCCGGCAGGGGTGGCGCGGTGGTCTGCGCCGGGCTGGAGAAGCTGAGCCAGCGCGGCGGCGTGCCCTACAAGACGCCCAAGGTCGTTGTGCCGCCGACCGCCGTCCAGCTGTGAATTGCGTGAGGGGAGAGGAGGGAGCCGATAGCAGGGGATTTTGGGACTTTGGGGGAGCTGTGCCGCTGATCTTGCTGTATTGGAGGGGCTAAGGCAAATAATCATAATACATGAGACTGCTGTGCGGCAGTTCTTTTCCGTAAATGACATCAACCTCCACCTCCTTTCCTCCATGATGGCCCCCCTGTTCTGCTTGTCCATAAGGCTGTGGGATTTTTGCGCTTCTGAGCCACTTAGCAAAGGCGTAAACATCTCACATCAGCTGATGATGCATGTGGGAGGACTATTTCAGCCGTTGACATGCTTGCAGCTGCATCCGCGAATGAGATGAACCTGGCGTGCACAACAACAAGACTAGCCCAATTTCACATTTCAAGCTCCTGGCCAAGTTCAGATTAACGCTGCGGAGCCTTTCCTCGTTACCCTTGTCGGTGGACCGAGCGGCTGTTCCATAATGGGCTCGATAGCGCGCGCCTAGGGAGGGATCGGGGATTGTTTAACCCTCCAACTCTCCGTCCCGATCCAAGTTTAGACGCAGAGGGTTGCCCAGAAGATGGAGAAGGGCCAAGCTAGCCTGTGGCTGAGAGGCTGAAACCGTCCGTTCTGCCAGTCGTGCTCCAGTTTGCCTCTCTCGAGCGGCGCAGGCACATACATCCCCGCTTCCGCAATGATCGCCCACGTTTGCCTTCCACAGCCTCCTCAGATTCGTTCTCCATCTCCGTATCGTATTGAGCCAGGCTATGATCTCGGTGTACAAGGCTAGCTGTGGCCTGCGTCCTGCGCTATCACGTCGTCCTGAAGCCTCAGCTTGATATCTGCCTCTGATATCTACCTCTTCTAGCTCCTGTTGGCCTAATTCTTCGACCTGGGTCATGTCGTATCCCGCCTCCAGATTCCCGTGATGCCATCTCAACTAGATGATTCCCCTCCTCCCGTCCCGGGCCAATTGACGGCACCAAGCCAGGAGGACCTCGCCAACGTCCCCAGCGAAGTAGTCCGACTCCTCGACTTCCTGCGAACCGGCGAGCAGGACCTGCAGTTCCTGACCGACCTTCGAGACGAGCACATCGCCGACCTCGAGCGACAGCCAATCGTGCTGCGACGAGTGGATAGCGTGAAGGAGGGCGCGGGGAAGGCACTCGGGCAGGTCCGCCAGGTCGTCGACGGAGGTCTGGACAAGGTCCGCCAGAGCAGGTCGGCGTTCCGCAAGAGGAGTGCCAGGAAGTTCGCCGAGTCGGCCGAGTTCCGCAGCCAGGAGGCCGTCGTCACGAGGCACCATGCGGCCATCCTCCGCGAGCTGGTGCATCTGCGCCAGCTCGCCCTGCGGAGCCCAACCTCGGGACAGAGAGACCAGCAGTCCAGCCGCGATAGTGTGGTGAGTGCAGAGTCGGACGGTCCAAGATCGATACGGAGCTTCTCGACGACGAGCTCCAAGACGGACAGGCCCAAGTTTGATAACATAGGGCTCCTGGCAGATCTCATGGGCGATTCCGGATGTGAGTTTGGTGGAAACCCTCACCGCTCATGGCTGTTGCTGCTGACACTTTGGCCTCGTAGTGACAGATTCTAAACCAGCCTTGCCGCCGCGGTATTCGGCCATCACAAGGTCGACATTCCCTCTGGCAGAGATGCACGGCAACTCAGGCCACCGAACAGACAGCGTATCATCATGTCCTCCGAATAGCTTCGCTGCATATGGAAAAGGCCCGATCCTAGATCCCGTCGAGCTGAGTGCGGAGCCGAATACAGACTCTGGCCCGGTTGAGCTGCCCGGAGACATCCCAACCAGTCCACCAGCAAGACCCGTCTCTACACCCTCGGCAACTGATGACCCTGAAAGAAAGGGCACACCTTCATCAGAGCCTCCCACGTCGCCTCTCCCCCAATCCGAGACACGCCCAGATGGACCATCGCGTTCCATTACTTTCGACCCGACAGACGACGGCGATCTGCAGCCCTTCTCGCCGCTGGATGACCTCACACCGTTCATCCAGCCACCCCCGGTTGTCGAGGAAAAGCAAGTCGTCGAAGACGGAAGCTTCTTCGGACCGGCGTCGATCAGCGTGTACGAAGAGAAAGAGGTTGTTGTTCGGCACAGCCAGCGGAAGAAGTCTTCGCATCGCATTCTACTCAACGAGCAAGACAGGGCCGGGCTTGCCCTACTCATGGGGGATGACACGGGATATTCAGGCCACTCGGTTGCCCACAGGTCATCCGCGGTGTCACTGGTATCCCTCAGTTCACAAGCAGGAACTTCCATCACATGGCCAAGCCCATCTGTGGGCGAGCAGGCTTCGATGATCCCACCAGTCCCTACCCAGCCGCCGCCACCTCCTCCAGCTCCGCCCGTACCGCCAAAAGTTCCCCATGGGACCATCCCAAGAAAACCCACGCCTTCACAATCCAGCTCTACGACATCGCTGCCTTCTCAAAAGCAGAGCCCGGCCTCCGGTGCTGGCGAGAACGTAGCGCCGGCCGTCATGCCGCTCACAACAATTCCCCCGGAGCTCTTACTTGGACAACTTACCACCTCCCGAGGCCAACTGCAGACAGTCCCTGCTATTGTTGTCCAGAAAGCATCGCCCTGATTCTCTTACAAGGCGAAAAAGTATGTTTACAAAGCGAGAAGGTATCCTTGGAAAGCGAAAAGGTATTCTTGCAAATGCAAAGCGAAACCCCATCCTTCACAGCGGGTAGGTTTGTTGGCGTTCAGTGACAGTGGGATATTGGCATATTTATTTGGTTTGGGACGGCGTTTGGGGTATCAAGAACAGAAGGCACTTCAACAACAAGCAGTTAGAATTAATTGACAAGTTCAATGACGAGAAGAGCAATCATTGTACTTTTACTAGCTACATCAACGACGCACCATCATCTCGTCCAAGCGCCCACGCCACCAGAATATCTGGGTTCCTCTCGGCCTCACATCTAACCTCCCTCAGCCAAAGCCAACTAGCCTCTGTTTCGTGATAGCAATTTAGCCAAGCCATGAAATGCGCGTCCTCTAGAAAATCCTCCTCGACAAAATCAGCATGCGTCCGCATACTCGTCCACAGAGTTTTGAATTCTTCGTGGAGCATCCTCCAGGTCGCCACGCAAGAATCTGACATACACTCTAGATTCTGTCCCCCCTCATACCAGTCCCTCTCCTCGAGATCAACTTTTTCCAGCATTTTCTGAACCTCCTTCGTATACTCCTCGGGAAAATGATTTTGTCTAACGGAGGACCAGCCCCGTATCAGCTGTGTCTCGGCTTGGTGAAGCAGCTCCCCGATCATCGTCCTCAAGAACCTGAGCAGTTTCCTCCCCAGGGCGTCACGACCATTCTCTCGGACAAAACAGCGATTGCAGCGCACCTCGTCAAGCATCACCCGGATAGGCGGCTCAGTTTGTGGCTCCCTGTACCGTCTCAGCTGTCTATCCTCATCGAGCATCGGCTTCCAATGCTTGGAAAGGCCCCCGAACCGGAACGCCCGCTGCTCCTGCCAGTGCTCGCACCCAGGACACCGCACCATGTACATTGTCCAAGTCTCTTCGAACACGTCTGCTCGAGATATACTCCTATTTCGCAACGGAAAGGGACGCGGCCCGCTCTCCAGGCTGGCTTCTAGCCCGGGAAAGTAGCGATCAAGCAAGGTTTTGAAGGCCAGGCGGCGGCTGATCTGGATGGGTACCTCTGGCGTGCCGTGCGGATAGCCTAGCCACCTCTGAACCGTGTGCCCGAGCTCCCCTCGCTGGAACATGCACTCGTTGCACTTTCGCCGGCCGCGTGCCCATCCAAGCTGTTGGGAGTCTCTGTGGCGGCCGTTCTGACCTGCCCTCCTCCCTAGCCCAGGCTCCCATGATGTGAGCGGCGCCGCTTCTGGAGAACCTAGCCCCGGCTTCCGGTACTGCCGCCTGAGGAGGAAATGATTGCTGAAATGGATGTGGGGGAGAAGTCGGAGGCAGCACGCGCATGCCCAGCGATGATGTTCAGGCCACGCGTCTCTGTGCCAGTCTGGGCCTGCCACGGCCTCATCGCTGTCCGGATGTAGGATGGCTGGCCTGTCGCCGCCGTACTCGGCGAGGCATTCAAGTGCCAGCAGGCGCTCTATCTGCTGGCTGCGGCCGGGGTTGATGAGCTGGCGGTAAAAACGGCCAGTCTGACTGAGGGAAACGATGGCGATGGGGTCGAGGGATTGGATGATGAAGTACTGGATCTCGAAAGGGAGCGATTGCAAGGATACCGACTGGCCTGTGATGTGTTCCATCTTGCATTTTAGGTCTGCAGTCATCGGCAGGTCATTGCGTTGGGAAAAGGAGCGTAGGGAAGATGGGGAGAGTAGGGTGAGTTGAGGTGGAAAGTTTGTGTGGTGACCAGGCCACCGCAGTTTGACTCACTTACATCGTTACCCTATACATAACGTAGGCATTAAGAACCCCGAGATGAGCTGCGCATCACCAGTATTTTCTCATTTCACACTTGGCACCAACGTGGTACGATCTTTCTTCGGCAGGTTGAATTTGGCAGGAACCGTCCAAATGTAAACAAAGGGACGTCAACAAGGTAGAAAACCGAGTGAAGGGATCTGAGGGGTATGATCAATCAACCGAATCGTAGTTTTCCAAGCGCTCAACAGACGAGTGATTTAGATCTCCTCGTAGTTAGCCCCACCGATTTTCGCAGCTGGTCGAAGACAGCTATGCCACAGAAAAACGAAATGTTGTCAATCTGATCTGTCGGTTGATTTTTCGCAGTCCCTCCAGACTGATCAGTGTGGTTTGACAGGGGGATGCAGCTGTATTGGAACATACATGTAGCAAAGCAAGCAATTCGGTCAACAACACGTCAAGAAATGCTATGTCTGCGGCAAGATTGGCTGTTTATTTCCCAACCTTGGAAAGGCTGTATTTTAATTTACCTCAAGTCCAAGTTCAATAAATAACCTAGGTAGTTTCTATTCGTTACACCTGGGCACTCTTACGCAGAACCGGAACCATACGAACATAAACAGATGGGCCACCCGGAAGGTTTCTCCTCCTTCCTCCTTTGTGCCTGTTGTGGGATCGACCTAGACTTCTGGGAACAATGACCACTATAAAAGGGGAATTAGCAACCACGGAAAGTGTTCGCCGGTTACTGTGCGGCGGTTTCTTCGACAAAAGTACTAAAGGAGTAATTTTGACCTGATTAGTACGTGACTGTCGGAATTTTTAGTATGGGCCGTACATATGTCTAATGAAGGGCATGCATCCCTACGCTGGCTACATGCTGCGAAACTGGAGGAGGATATTGTGATGCCATGGAATACTACACCTCAGATGACGGGTGTTATCCATCGGCAAGACCTGCTCTAGTACTAGGTCCTGCTCCAGCGACGAAGTTCCATGCAGGTCCAAGGGCTACTATATGCCCAAGGACGGGGAGTGCTGTGTGTCCGGAACCGGGTACTGCCCTAGCGGCAAAGCTTGCGTCGTCCGAGATGGCGAGACGTTCTGCTCCTCCGGTAGTTCGGGCTATTTCTCTACATCCTATACGTACAACCTAGGGAGTAGCTCACTCGCCACATCGACGAGATCTTTCACCCTTGATCTCAGCTTAGTTACATCCATCGAGAGGGCAATGACAACCACTGCAAGGACGCTTGGGCTCTCATCCTCACTCTCATCTAGCTCGGAGGATGATTCGAGCACCACTAGAAGTTCTGATTTTGCTTCTGAAAGAAGTGAGGACGCCACTACATCCAGCAATGAGACTTAGCGATCACGAATACGATCGCGCTATCTTATCTCAGTGCTCCTTCGTACCCTACCTGGTGTGCCAGGGCTTTGAGCTTCACAAAAGATAGGTGCTTGTGCCAGGCTCATTCTTTCACACAAGGCAAAAATGCCTTACTTCTCAAGCTCTCAACTCGTTGCGAAAAGGCGTTGGCGGCCCCTGAAGGAGGACCGGTCTCCTTTCCGGCCGTATATCGGATTTGGCAGGTTGGTTAAATTGATGAAAGTTTCCAGTCGGGGAAGAGTCTGGCAGATGACCCAGGGTGGGTGATCGTGACCGCAACTATCTACTGTTGCCAGAGCACCTCTGGTGGGGCGCGTCATGGAGTTGCGCTAACAAGCATCTTTTCGTAGATATGGGGGTAATATCGCAGGCGCGCAGGGTTCATCAGTTAAAATTGCACATTAGTGGTGAGAATGTAGCTTCAGCAAAACACATTTGCAAAATGATCATTTGGGTCTCCATCTTAAGCATATAAGGTAGTTAGAGCAGTCAGGGAAAGCCTTTATACTCACTCAGTGATTACCTAGCCATAGCTCTTCTTGTTGATCGACTTCCATTGTTGATAGATTTATTAAGAATTGCATCTATTCATTATTCTTCATAGCATTAAACCCTTAATATCTTAATCTAGGCTGTCTGGTCGTGCAAGCTCATTCTCAATGACCTTTCCTTATCAATAAAATTAGCTATTGTGGTTAGGAAGGACTTATGTGTTAGATCACCCGGCATTGGATGAAAGAGGAAATACCTGCCGAATGATAAACCCTATGCTACTACATTCATTACCAGCCTGGTGTTAGGGGCTATCATCCTTTGATTTAATTAATCCGCGACTTGCATAATCAATAGACGGCCTCAGGTCCTTTGAAAATAGTAACATCATCGTCGTCTTGGCATCATATGCTACCATATTAGGCTTGCACACAATTTTCAAATGGGGTGAAAATACTATGTTTATGTTTCTAAAATTGGAATTTCCAATATTGCTATTAGTATATAAGGCCGGCCACTTTGAGATCTAAGAAGAGGAGAGCAGACTTGACAAAACAAACACCATAAATCCACACGATATAACATCTTTTCTAAGGCATCATTTGTTTCCTTCTTCGAGAATCAATAGCCACACGACAATCTCAACTTCTTTAAAAAGAAATTTGCCTAAGATGCATTTCTCAGCATTCCTCGCCGCTTCTATCGCTACTCTTGTTGTTGCTTCCTATGAAGAGTCAAATGACATAGCGCTTCGCAGTCTCACTGATATTGAGGAGAGAGATGAGGGCCATGGTGGACACCGTGGCGGCCACCATATTGCAGGACCACCTAGACCCAGACCTAAGGGGCGCCATAGCAAGAGAACCGAGGAGGGCCATGGTGGACACCGTGGCGGCCACCATATAGCAAGACCCAGACCCAGACCTAAGGGGCGCCATAGCAAGAGAACCGAGGAGGGCCATGGTGGACACCGTGGCGGCCACCATATAGCAAGACCCAGACCCAGACCTAAGGGGCGCCATGGCAAGAGAAACGATGAGGGCCATACCTATTAGTGGACACCATGGCAGCCACTCTGGACATGTATCGGCAGGAGGCAAGGGCCACCGTGGCAAAAGAAGTTAGGAGCTTTAGAGATAGACAGGCTTAAGCATCATATCTTCAAGAAGCTTAATTAGCTTAGTTCCTATAGAATGATTAAGAAAGTTTCGTGGCGTTAGTATGGAATGTACCTATATAAAGGTTCAAGAACATTTCGTGGCGTTAGTATGGAATGTAACTATATGAAAGATTTAAGGAACTTAAGTAGTGTTATATTCCATCAGATAATTGAGAATATCTAGTGGCATTAGCAGCCGTGAGAGAGGCGGCACGACAGTTCAAGATGGACCTGCTCAAGATGGACCTGCCCAAGATATGTCTCTGTGCCAGACTTGCAGACTACGCCTACGTGTCAGGCAAGCCTGGCGTCTCTGAGGATGAATTATCGAAGAAATGCCCACAGGGCTATGAAATAAAGAACCCGAGTCTTTTTTTCTCGCTCTTGGAATCAGAAAGCGGAACACCAGCACCGGTTCTTCAAGTCGCACGCATACGTCTGCCAGTTGGAAAAGAACAAGAATTCGGACAATGTCAATCGAATTGTGGTGGGATTTAGAGGAACTTTGCTTGAGAAAAGCAAGCCCTCCGATCATTCCAATGAAAACGGTACGTGACAAGCATCAACGTTAATAATGCATATTCTAATGCACCATACAACTCCAGGGGGTGTATCAAGAGCCGGTGTCTTCTCGACGTTATCCAATCGTATGATCGATATCTTTGGTCCTTCAAACTATGGGCTCGCTGACCTCTACTACGATGCAACCCTGATCCGTGTCCCTTATCGCAAGGGTGTTGTTTGGAAGTGGTACACGTACTGGGGCTCTTTGGTCCTGAAAGGGAGCAATTGGGCGCGTTGCTGTTTTCCATGGCCTCGTCAAGTCGCCGCAGGCTTAATCTACCGCCCCGGTGGATATGTCGATACCGGACCCAGTTACCCCCTTGTGCATCTTGGCTTTTGGGCCTTGTGGGCGTCACCAGAGGGCTTTGCGGGCTATGACCATTATGGTCACCTGTGGAAAGAAAAAGAAGTGAACGATTCACAAGAATCTCAGACCCCAAGAGAACCTGTTCGTGAGGGCGTCCTACAAAGCGTCCTGCAAAGACTCCAAGAATCAGATGAAAACCAAAGGACAGAGATTCTTGTAGTGGGGCATTCCCTCGGAGGTGCCGTGTCATGGTAAGTCTCTACTGTCCCCGGATGCCCCAGCCTTCCAGAGAATGACTGACAAATTCGTAGCTTTGCTGCGCTGGATATTGTTGCAGAACTGAGAGGCAATGACAAGTTCCAGAACGTGAAAGTCTTTCATGCCACCTTTGGCGCACCCCCCGTCGGGACAAACCGTTTCGCCAAATTCTTTGAAGAGGAAATGAAGGGCCATAAGTCATATGCGGTATTCCATGAGAGAGACATAGTCGCCAAATGTTTTGCATGGTGTGGCTCGATACCGGTGGTAAAGTACCTAGGCTGGTGGAGTGATTGGAGCCGCGCGGGAAAAGAAGAGATTCTTCGAAAACCAGACACTCAAGCATCGCATGCCTCGCAACGCGAGAATGGACTTTCGTTGAAAGATGGGGCGAAATCGCTTGGGATATTGGTTGGCACCTTGCTTTTTCTCGGAGTCAGCTCGCTCACGACGCCGCTTTCGATACTCATAACCCCAGTCTGCTGGTTGGTGGACTGGAAATATTACAGTAAACAGAAAAATCCACCTTCACGTTGGGAGGATACCAGAAGCGAGGACAATGGAAATATCCAAGCGTTGGGCGAGGACCCAAATCTGAATCAGGTGGCGTTGAAATACCACTCCCGGGAGAAATATATTAAGCTCCTGGAGGACCCTGATCCGTTTGGAGTTCCGGAACACGAAACACCCTCCGCAGTGGAATAGAAGTAGGATTTTTGTAATGCGGAGGGAGAGTGAGTTTTGGATTCTGGAATGGGGCGTGGTGTAGCGCAACCTCTCCATTGCCGGCCAGGTGACTAACCACCTGGCCAGACCAAAGACGCATTTTTAGGAGTTTTGCTCATTCAGGGGATAACTTAGCATTAGGGTTTCGAGTCAATAACGAGAGTGAGCTTCATCTTCGTCAGACATGTCTTGACACCTCTAACTCCAGGACGATTTGCGGTCAGGACTTCAGGTGGTATGCTTCTTTAAGGAGCTCCCTCTTTAGGGGATCGGACAAGTTGTATCCAAGGAATCTGCCACTTTTGAAGGCTATGATCCAATTACTATCCATGTAAATGCGCGCCATGTCTCAATGATCAGGGGCTAATGGTACGCGGGCTTCTCACCCGAAATAGCCAAGCCACCAGGATGAACCCGAAATATTCCGGACAGGGACACTCACTCATACGAAGGACCGTCTGTTTATGCTCTGATTGACGATTCCGGACCACTCGGAAGGTTTCTCCTCTTCCCTCCTCCTTGCCCGTCATAAGATCGACCCAGACTTCGGGAACAACGACCGCTATGAAAAGGGAGTAGGCAATCTCGGAAAGTGTTCGCCAGTTTCTGTACTTTCGTTAGCAAAAGTACCAAGATTTATTTTGACCTGATCACTACATGACTGTCGGAACTTTTGGTGTGCGCCATACATCCAATCAGGGGCATGCCGCCTTTCATGTTACGTCTACCACTAGTGATACCTATATAATTAATGAACCAAGTTTATGCACTATTATCCATTTACTACCGCTCTCCTACAGAAACAGCTGACTGTTCTATATTTAATGTGAGCATGTTCAATAACTACTATTCTCATTCAAGTCTCAAGAACATTCAGAGTTCCAATACATTCCCGAGGTATACACACACACTTCTCCATCAAGTGAAGCGAAGCATGAGCCATGTGGCTACTCCGAAATTCCACGAGTCGCAAGCCATACAATCCCAAAAGCAGATCGGGGCACGCTTGTTATTCAGACGGGACGAAAGAAAGGAGCGTACTCGTAGTTCACGGCCAAGAAATTGCACGTGTTCAATTTATAGAAAGTACAACTTCTAGCTAGTAAACTGCAAAGGGCTTTTTCCATCCACAATGTAGGACTTTGACACACCAGGCGCAAATGAGCCCCATAGCGTAGGAGCAAGACGTGAAGGTTATCAGCCCCCAGAAATTTCCATTACAACGATGAAGGATCTCGCCGGCAATGGGGATACCCGTCAAGGTCCTGGGGCGATAGTCAGTGCATGCCCAACCAGCTCGAGCGGAGAGAGAAAGGCTTACCCGAAGCTGACGATCGTGTAGGAGGTGGCATAATACCGCCCATAATCCTTCGTGTCACAAAGCTGCCCTACACATACCGGCGTCAGGCTGATATTGCCACCACTGGCAAACCCAAACACGGCACTGTATGCTGCCATCATAGCAAGACTATCCCCAGCTGGCAACCACAGTGCTACCGTGGACAGAAAGCACAGGCCGACGGTAATTACCAGGGTGTTGAATCGACCGATTATATCCGCAACATAGCCCGGCAACCATCTCCCCAAAAATGAGCCAGCATTTAAAACAGCTACAAGCTTAAAAGCAGTCGATTCATCCACGCCATGGGCTATCGCATAGGAGGATATGTAAGTTAAGGGAACAAATGTTCCCCAGTCGATAAAGAATACTGACATGGTCGTCAATGTTAGTTTCCGATCTCTGAATATCTTCAGATCGGGTAGGATGTTTTCCCTGGAGAGGGGCCTCTTGGGAAGACGAGATGCCACCAGCACGCAGGCGACACCGGCACAAACCAGGCATATCAGGGCAATGACCCGTGTCGTCCAGGCAAATCCAACTTTGGGGAAGAGATCTTGCATTACAAGGGGTAAAACAATCCCTCCGAGCGAGCCTCCTGCAACAGCCATGCCCGTAGCAACTCCCCGTTTGTCTTTGAACCAATGGCTGACAGCCGAGATGCAGGGTGTAAAGATTAGCGATATCCCAGTGCCGCCTACTACACCAAAGGAGAGCATAAAGTGCCAGTACTTAGTGCAGAACCCGAGACTGACCAAACATGCCAAAATGAAGACGGTTCCCAGCAGCAACAGGTATCGAGGACCTCTCGCATCAAAAATGGGGCCAATCTGTAGCCCAAAGAAGAAAGTGAGGAAGTTGAAGACACCAAATATCCAGGCAATCTGCCCTGGCTGATAATCTCGCAGCTGGTTCCTTTCTAGGTATGACTGAAGTGTGCCGATGGAATTCAGAATCCCCATGCTGCCTACAAGGCCAATGAAGCTGCCCAGGACGCAGACCCAGCTTCTGACACCACCCTCGGGGAATTCGTCCCCATCATTAAACTCCTCATCCGTCGTGCTCCGGCTTGAATCATGGATTTCTGTGACGCCAGTGCTTGGGAGCTTAGTCGACGACATATTTCTGTATAATCTCTTCGCATCACTCCCCCGAGGTGAAGTCTCCATGTAACCGTGGAGACAATCGGTGGTCTGAGAGGCTAAAACCGAGCGCTTTCGTTTCCGTGAGGAGGGGCCAGGATATGAAGGAGTCGTTTGGACCTAGGCTCTCTCACCTGATCGGTGGGGTGGAGATGCAATGCGGCCTAAAGGCCCCAAACAATAATAGTCTGCTGAACTATTACATAGATCTAACGCTATAATTGGTTCCTGGCCCCGGCTGTCCGGGATTCAATCGGATAGCTGCTTTAGCTCGTTGGGGAGATAACGTTGCTTGTTCGCGCCCAACACCAAATCAGCATCGGTCTAACGTCTCAGGTTTAGGATACGCTGGTACCATTCTGGTCACTCGTCAACTTGGCAACCCAATTGCTGCTGTGTTGCTGCCAGCCAGTGAACCTCGGGTATGAACTGAAGAGGGTGTTCAGACCCATGCGGATCACAGAGTCCCTGTGCTTTCAAGCTTTCAAGATGCATAATGTTGAAAAAACCATGCAGATTCAATCACTCAACCGTCATCTTTATTCCACCAGAATCAAATTAGGGGATGGAGTGTTCTAAGTCTGGAGATGAATGTAATACTCCAAACGTTGTATCTGACTTCCACAGCTAATTCTCTCGAGGTGTATCCACATCCGCTGGACCTTGGGCTCTGATTCAAGAGATCGGAAACGTTTTGCTCCATAATACCAAGAGTACAACTTTCAGTTATAAAATATCGATATACTATTTCTATTTTATTTTATTTTCCTATTTCCAGTCTCTTGAATCAGGGCCTTAAGCTTGTCTCTAGAGTACAAAACTCTCGCATACAAAGCATTATAGTGTACTGATGAACAAGGCTAGACTTGGTCTTTGATAGTTCTTGAACGCATTGGACATTCTAAGGCCAAAGCGTAGAAGATGTGCCGAATTTCTATTTTTGCTCCACCTCAGATTATTTGGACATCCGATCATAGCAGCCAAGGTGTGGCCCCAGATGTGTTGACTGTGTGGGTGACTGCCGGAAAATCCGAAAAGTCAGGTTCTCACCAACTTGGTGGCTTCATACGAGCCGAGGGTCCTAAAAGTTAGAAAAAGGCTGCCGGTACAACTCAGTCGCCCTAGATCCGCCCAAGGTGCTTCCCTCTGATAATCACCGATACAATGGCTAGCATGGAAATTTTCAAGTTTGCAACTGGTATCCAAATTGCTGGCCTCGGCAGCCGCGAGGACCGGAGTGACGAGATCACTGGAGTCAATTTTGCGGGAATGATCAGCATTCAACCACCCTGGGGTCATAAGTTCCCTTATTAGGTGGACAATCATGATTGTATGGACTGTCCCAGCCCATATCTAACCCGACCTCATGCACTGCTGTTCTTGGCCGAGACTATTTCTGGCTAGTGATGCACATGATCCGGCCCAAAAACCGGGCAAAGCCCCAAATTTAGAGACAAGGCTCATATGCGGGTAGTATCCGCGGTCCCGCTGTCCATGGTCCTGGTTTGCTCCCTCCTAGAAAGGCCGTGCTAAAGTAGCAACTAGAGACACTGGGTGAGATGGTCAATTTTAGGCGGCAGGCGATGTGCTGATGGGAGAACTGACGAATTGCCTGGCAGGCTGGGCCAACGTGCGAGACATTGTGTGAATATTGCATACGTATCCAGCAGACACATCCGATATCTAACATTGAAAGCTTTCAACAAATCGGCCTAATATCCAGATGATCTATCTTACTACCAAGAATTAAGTGGTCAGGTCTACTCCACCAGATAACATTGCGGAAGCAAGTCGCTAACGAGCGACCCATTATCGAAAATAGACACTTGTGCATTGACTTCATGAGCTAGTTAGAGCAATGTCTACATGTATGAAACCGCATCCGACGGAGGCACGGGACCTCGAGTAGGCCACCAAATGCAAAATCAGATCGCACACTTAGAGGTTGGGCTCAGATCCGATCTGGCCGCGATGTACTGCAGGCCAAGATCGGGCGTTATAGCGTATGATCAGAGCACAGTGTGTTTCGAATTGGGGTCATCGGCTGAGACATCAAACCAGGGATATTCGTGTTGAGTTGATTGACTGGCTCAAGTTGAAGGGGGGGAGGGGGCAAGAACGAAAAAGAAAAACGGGAGACAGGCAAATAAACTGTGCCCACAGAGACATCCAAGATGCTTGGACTTGTTTCTTTATTACACTCGTGAGACTTTCATTTACTACCCCAGGAACGCTCCGGCCCGAGACTAGTAACTGGTCAATGCCACAGGTTACTCACCAGGCCGTCTTTGCTTTTCTCTTGGTACACGCACAATGACATGACTAGCCGCATTGCCACTGCGCCTAAGCTTGTTAGTCACAACCATCACACGCTGATGGAAAAAAACAAAACCAAAAACGAGCCAATCAGACTGCCGATTTTCTTTTTTCGTTACACGTATTCGCTGCGCAGGGCGAGAGAGGTCCAGGCCTAGAGGGTCGCATTCCTCGCCATCTGAGAATAAAAAAAGAAATGATGTGTCTTAGCGTAAGGAGTTCCTAGCCCGAGGAAACAGATGGTCTAGGAAATGTCTTTGCTAATTTTGCCTCCAGCTGAAGCCAAGGAGGACCCGAAAGCTGGTCCCCGGCCACCTCATTTATTACCATTCAAATCCCCTCTGCCTTGAGTCTCGAGTGCGCGCTCCAGTATCAAACTTCTAACGGCCGCAGCCACTGCTTCGGGACACAGCTGGCGTCAGAGCGCATTTGCAGAACGACAGTTGAATTAGACGTGGAAAGCCAAGTGAATCCCCCGAAGCGGGCGAGACCCTCGATGCACCAAACGAACCTCTACATTTCCACCACACTCTGGCAGTGTCACTGAACCGGCTTCATCATGCCCGAGTACGGCGCCTTTGTCCCGCCAGGCTACGTTCCCACGCTCCCGAACAGCGAACAGCTATCAGACGCCAGCGTGGTTTGGGGCATGTCCTTGTCCCTAACAGTCTTCGCCTTCATCCGCTGCTTCTCGCAGACGTACGCCCAGTGGAGGCGGATCCGGAAGGTGAACCTCTACATGGCCCTGATCTGGCTCGAGCTGTGGTCCAGCACGTTAATTGGTGTCATCTATTTTGTATACATGCGCGGGCATATACCACCCAGGTTCGTATAATGCGTGCACAATGGCGGGCTCCAAGGAAGATTGTTAACATGAGTGACCACCCCAGTTTCTGGTTTTTTGGAGGAACGAGTGAGTGTTCGTCCAGATCCCCTATTGGTCCCGTGTTAACACGGGCGTAAATAGTTCTGCTCTGGACAATCCAAGTTCAATGCATCTATCAAATCATCCTCAACCGAGTCGGCCTCATCGCCGATAATACCGCCCTGGTGCGCCGCTTGAAATGGGCCGTGTTTGGCTTCATCGTCCTCATCAACATCGCGGTCGCATGCATCTGGATACCAGCCCAGCTCCAGATATCTGACCGATACATCCTAATCAACGAAATCTGGGACCGTACGGAAAAGGTCATACTCGCCATTATCGACGTGTGCCTGAACCTCTACTTTGTCTATCTTGTGCGGTCGACACTGATCACGCGTGGGCTATCAAGATATGTGACTCTCTACCGTGTGAACATATTCATGATTTCCATCTCGATGACCATGGATGTGAGCTGCCTTGCCGGAGACAGGTTATATTGGGCTGTGCTAACGTACTTTCAGGTTCTCATCATTACCATGATGTCCCTCAACAACATCTACTTGTATGTCTCTGTCGATTGCACTCCGTCCCAACAATCAAAGCCTAACGCGAATAATCATTCCAGTTATATATTCTTCCACCCACTTGCCTACTTGGTTAAACTGCATATCGAACTATCCATGGCCGACCTTATCGCCAAACTCGTCAAAATAGGAAGCATAGCCGGAGTATGCAACTGCGAGTGCCACCGAGACCTTGGTCCCAATGCGATGGGGTTTGCACCTACCATTGGACGCCTGAGCAATTGGAGTCCCATACAGCAGTACCGCGCCCGCCATCGGAACAACTGCACAAGCTCCGAGGATAACAGCGAGACCGAACCAACAAGACCACCGGAGATCAGGGGTGTGGCACAAGAGCGTCCAAGGCGGGCCATGGGCGATACATGGGCAAGTTCAGCCACGCGGAATTCTGCATCAACTCTAGAAAGACTAAAGTCGGCAAGCTCGGATGAGGAGCCTAGTAAGGTCAATTCAGCGGTCGTATCTGTCGAACCTCACCCAAGCACGGTGCCTGATTTTCAGCAGGTATAAACTTATACTAGTCTACACCTTGAGCTGTTGTGTAAATATTTGAGACAGTTGTCAAAAGACGCAAGAATAATTCATATATCTGACGAAAAATTTCATATTTCGAATTATATTGTCCACAAAGGGAATGAGTTGGAAAGGAGTTCTCTTTCTTATTCCTAGATCATGAGATTACTCAGTAAGAACTGTAGCCCGGCTATGACGCTATGAGGCTGAAGAGTTGCTGGAAATCATATACCAATGTAATATGACATTGAGCCTGTTCATTCCATTAACAGTAACAAACCGGCCAAGGTAACTTGCCTCTCATTCTAAGTATCTTATCAGGGTTAAGCAAGCCAACATTTCAAACCATTCACTTCCATCTAGGTGAGGGTTTTGGATAGTCCATTCTAACTGGAACACGTCTAGCAAGGGGTAGTACCAGGTTTAAGTGAGCAATGCCCACCGTTTCTGATTACCATACCGAAACGGTGGTAATTAAACCAGGACGAGACCCGGAGCTTCCGGCGGGCCGCGAATTTCCCTATTTTGAGAAACTTGAATTAAGTGATGTATCGGATGACTCATGGTAACGTTACTAATTCCACACAAAGGTCTAAGAGCTGGATGAAATCTGGTAGAATTGGGTTTTCATTATCCTTCCTTTGGGTCACTCATCTTTAAGATTCCTTTTAGTTGTTTCAGAATCTATATCCAATCTGATATCGGATTGGTCTGGGACAGCTGCCTATTCTTTCAGAGGCGCAGTATCGAGGTAAGAACCCAAAAGTGCGCCCCGGGTACCATTCAAGTCGGCGTCCTCCACGAACTTGCGGATGTCTTGTTCCTCCGCCTCCGTCAGCTTCACGCCAGCCGCACCCCAGTTCTCCTCGAGATACTTGATTTTTGTCGTCCCCGGGATGACGAAAACAAGGTCGCTCTGCGCCGTCAGCCACGCCAACGCCATCTGGCTCGCCGCGTACCCCTTGCTCTTGGCGAGATCCCCAAACTTGTCGACGAGGTCCAGGTTCTTCTGGAAGTTCTCGCCCTGGAACCGCTCCAAGCGCCTGCGGAAATCGTCAGGGCCAAAGTCGGCTGCGGATCGGACGCGGCCCGTCATGATGCCTCTGCCCAGGGGAGAGTAGGCGAATATGGATACACCCAGCTCCTTGCAGGTGTCGAAGAGATGTGTGCCGCTGGGGCCCTCGATGTCCAGCGTCCAGGGGCTGTATTCAACCTGGACGGCTGCAATCGGGTGGATGGCATGCGCCCGTCGGAGAGTTGATGACGAGATCTCGGACAGGCCCAGCAGCTTGACTTTTCCCTCTCTGCGATAGAAACTAGGTTAACAAGTATGCCCTCAGAGGCCTCTTTGTCGGGCTCGAGTTTCTTTGGGGAAGAATGTCAGCTTACTTCACGAGCTCACTCATTGCCTTGACCGTGTGCTCGACGGGGACCTCCGTGTTGACCCGATGCAGGTAATACAGATCGACGTACTCGACACCCAGACGCTCGAGACTTTTCTCAATGCTTGCCTTGCAATGCTCCGGGGAGGAGTCTAGTTTGATTCCAGAACCATCCATGGTGATCCCAAATTTGGTAGCGAGGAAGATGTCCTTGCGACGCTCCGGGTGGAGCTTGAACCACTTCCCAACAAGCACCTCGCTGTCGCCATACGCATTGGAAGTATCCCAGTTTGTGCAGCCAAGCTCCCACGCTCGGTCCAGGACCTTGAGGCGCTCCTCGTCGGTTCTAAATAGGTCAGAAAACGTTACCCACCAGAACATGTACAAGTTGTATAGGCAACTTGGACGTACCCAATAGGACCATACGCGATGCTGAGGCCCATAAGACCAAAACCGACAGCAGGAATGCGAGGCCCGTTCTGGCCGACCTGGCGGAGGATTGGGCTAGAAGACATGATGTTTTATTTTGTTGACGGTGGATGATAATGTTATTAAAGACTACAGGCTGAGAAGAGCCAGGATGTGCATAGAATGAATCTTCACACCAGCGAGATCAACCCTCCTTTATATATCACTTTTAGAAGGAAATTACCGATCTTTCCTTCTACTACACTAGCAGCGTACCGAAACCTTCTCCTACTCTGGCGTCGAGGAATGCTGAAAGCATCATGCAAAGTCAACGGAGGTTACGGAGTTAAAGGGTGTTAATCGAAAATACGGCGAAAGCATAAATATGGACGCGGGCACAAATCAACTCGGGTTTACGATCACACCACCTTCTCCGTCGGCTATGCCTCTTCCTGTCATTCTTCCGAGCGCGCGCTGCGGAGAACGTCATTTAGAGACGCTTGGTAGACCACAAAAGGCTGGCGGAGTTTGATTTTTAGCGGGGTTGGAAGTCAATTGGCATGTCACTGGTTCAAGATGGTGATGTAACGATGCCGGGTGAAAGGTAGAAAAGTAAATATCTATGTGCTGTTGCTGCATATATATGTATAAAAATATCATTAACTTGGCGTCTTCGCGGCCGTAACTGGATTATTCTCTGAGAAACTCCTTATAATGCTAGTACGATAACCGTGCTTAAAAATACTCCGATGTGTAAAGGACGAAGAATAGCGGGCATGGATGCGCCGTTGTCATTACGCGCTTGACAGAAAAACTTTTCGGGAAGCCTGTCCTGGATCTGGTAGAGGGCCGTGCAGTTCACAGAGCCGGACGTGTCGTCAATGTGGAAGGTGTTCACAACTCGCGTGCTTCCCTGAATAAAAGATGTGCTAAGGACGCCAGGTTAGCGAGAACTGTTTGGTTTAGACATAATGATTCTGTCATGGGCGACTTACAGGAAATCCGACGTCATGTTGCCGACGAGGCGCAGGGCCGACATGTCCCCCTTGGGCCAGTGCCAGGCCTGGCTCCCGTCGGCGGATTTCGAACCGAATTCGAACAACGGAACAGTTGAGATGGTCAGGTTCAGATTCTCCCAGTTCTCCGCCTCGGAAGGAATCTCGACCGATTTGAGCGAGGTGCCCACGATGGCGATTTCGGACGCCTGGTCGAAATCCAGCTTCAAACTGGTGACGTTCATGCTCTCGCTCTGGAACTTCTTTACCGTCAGGTTCTTCATCTGCGATCCACGCTCGAGCCCCACGACGCCCTTGCCCAGCTTGAGGTAGTCGATCTCGAGAGACTCGGATGAGGGTCCTCCGAGCGTGACTGATATCCCTGCCCCGCTCTCGACCAAGAGATCGTGGACGCGGGTCCAGCCGAAGGTGACGTTCTTCACACTGCCGGTGTAGTTTCTGTTGAGAGTGACGTTTGCTTCTCCGAGCTGCAGGCCATCGATGGGATTCTCGTATATCCCATCCACAGATTGGATAGTTCCGACATCGTACACGGTGATGTTCCCCGTTGAGCTGTCCGTCAAGTTCTGAAGTCCATCCAGCTTCAGCTCCTCCAGTCTCTTCGCTCCCAGGGTGAAGCCGCCGACAGTTACCAGCCGGGTCAGATCGATATGTGTAACGTTGTCCAAGTCCAAGAGGGAAACGCTCTGGTTGACGTTGTTTAGATTAGGAAGAATAAGTTTTTCGAGACCGTAAAATGATGAAAACGAAAGGCTGCCATTGATGCGTTTGAGCGTGGGGCTGCTGATGTTGAAGGGCTGGGGAATCGTGATGTCGTCGCATTTATCGTCACACGTCGTCAGCTCGACCGACCCATTCACCCCCTCCAGGCCGTCGAGGTCGATGCTCTCTGATAAATTCCACGCAAACTTCAAGTCTCCCCCGACCACCTTGCATTTTTCCCGCACGTCCTTGGCGTCATCCTGGCTTGTGATTGTGATGGTTCCATTGCAGTCAATTGCTGCGACAAAGGAGTCTAGATTTCGGAAATAATTATGGGTCAGAGAGCTCTACGAGGCTGAGAGAATCCAGTTGGAGGTACTACTCACGAAAGGCAAAAGCCATTACCAGCAGGCTATTGGCAAAGCGAGCCATGGTACAGCAGTTGCAGGTCTCTGCAGACCGGTTGGAGTTGAGGTAAAGGAGCGACTGGTCGGCCAGCAAGACACCGATGACGACGGAGGGAACGATTCGACGGGGAAGTGAGGGCACGAGAGATTATAATGACTGACCCCTTTAAAATTAGGAGTGGAGTGATGTTGCGACGGGACGAGACAAGCAAGGCTGCATGTAGCCAAGAGACAGGGGGCGTGGCGCTATTTTGGTTCCGCGACGCGTTGCATTGTTGGAAAAGGTGAGCACGTCCCTCGATTGACTTCTTCTATTAATGTCCCGGGGAAGTGTCGTGTCTGTTCTTTATGGGGAATCGTAATAGCCTGGGCCAGGTTTGAACACAGGGCAATGCACTCGTCCGTCACGCAGACTGCAGCAGTATTACCTGACGGCCGCGTAAGAAGGACAACGAGACCGACCTGATGCAAGGCTTCACCGGATGTCTCCCAGCCAACCAACCAGAGAGCTCGAAGCAAAGTGGTGTCGCAGAGCAGGAACAGGGGCTTGGACGGGAGCCACGGCGGAGGATTGCAGCGGTTCAGTCCCACCCGTTGACGTGGATGCACGAGGTAAATTGGCTGCATGCGACAACAAGACCTGGAGAATGACTGAGGCACGTCCTGGGGAACGGCTCTCGAGTCGGGGATGATGCTTGAGCCACGTGTGCCAGGATCCAAACCCCCAAGATGAAGATGCGCAGATTCATTGATCAATCATCAATCAACCTTTATGGCCATCTGGCAGATTGACACCGACAAAGGCCTGGAATGAAAGACCACCTGGCCCCATTCCTGTGCCTCTTTGTGCCGTGCCAAAAGGACTCATCCTCGTGCTTGGCAGCCAATGCTCAGCCCCCTCCTCCTTCCTAGAATGCCGTCACCTCCCCTCTATTCTTGGGCACAATTTACCGATGGTCCATTTCGGCCATGGCTGACTTGGCCGTCCTGCCGGCTGATCCCTTATCTCACTAGAACCTTTAGGGTCCGGGCCTGCTTCCAGTAGCGGGAATCGAACAGGAACCGTCGGTTTTGAAATGAAGACCATCGCGGATGACAAATTGCGCGTCAGATCCAGTCGCCAATCAGGGTCCTGCCTGTGCAGCTACCCTATAGCGAATAGGGGAAGATGGCAGTGATTGGGTTTGCTTTCAAGACAACGAATTTCTTGTGAGTTGACTATTGCATTTGGGAATGGCTTTTCGAAGCTGGGATGCACAATTCGGCTAGGCTGTGCATGGCTTGAGATGGCTGTGTCAGCTACTGTGAGCTAGTACTTGATTATTGGCTTGTCACTTTGGTTGGTGTTGGCACTTTTAGCCTGACTCACACTTGTGATAGGGCTGCATATACAGACCTACGTCACGATAAGGATTGAGGGGAGTTCTAAAGTGGTAGCCTAATTAGTTCTAGACCTCGGAAAGTTACTCTCACAGCAATGCACAATATTATCTTTCAATGAGGCTGTGTTCAGTGACGTGGAACCACCGCCCATTGTCGTCGTCAGCCTCATCAAACAATGATTGGTGTCCACAAAGCCGATATGCGTTTCATGAGCACTCAATCGCCCACCAATGAATGGGGCATTGATGCATAAATGGATTCAAAGCGTTTAGGAGTAATACCATTTTTGAAGTGGCATAACCGCTGATAAGAGCCGGATTTCATGCGTTGCTCTCGCCTTGAAAACCGCTTTCGCATTTGCAAAGTTAGGTCAACATGCCGGTGATTCCGGGCATTAATTTGTTGTGTAGATAGGCACGTCTAGTTGTCCTTGGCAAGAATCATGGGCAACATGCGGCGAATAAGCAGAGCTAGCTTCGGAGCGTTCGGATACGCACAAGACACTCGATGTCCTGCTTATCAAGTTGGCTTTCATTATCGGATCGCATAGAGCCCCGAGGGTATAGGGTAATTCTCACTTCCCAAGAAGCGAAAAGTAAGGACATGTCCGAAGTTGTTCAACCATTTGACGGTAGATTGGGCAGCACCTAGAATTGTCTGTTGTCCTGGCTACCTATGTTAATGAGTTATAGCTCTGAACAAAACCAAATTGACCATCCACATTGAAAATTCATGCTATTAATCAAGTTTTATTTCTCCAATTATTATGTTGAAAATTGTTGCTACTGAATAAATGGATAGAGGGGAGATCTCCACTCGTTGAGCACCCAGTGAGCCAAGTCAACTCCCATAGTAGATGATATTACTTCAAGTGCGGCCCTGGCATCCCTGACTTCAACGTCGTCAGAGAGCCTGCACCTTGCTAGCACGCCCAGCGGCCAAACCAACAGACAGCCGTATGCCGATCTGCTCTCAGGCCGAAAGATCTTGGTCCCCTCCTGGTCTATGTTTCCCATGGAAAATGGGACGCTCCTGTGAATGTGTGATAACATCATCTTCGCCTCGCTCCCGCATTTTGACTTGGCCATGATCAAATTTAGGTCGACGGAGGAGCGGGTCATGGTGAGGAGTATGTCGTAGCAGGCGATGACACTGCCCTGGAGGATGATTACTGTCGTGAACACATTGATCCAGTAACAGCCGAGGTATCTTGATGAGAAGACGTAAACGCTGGGCTTTCCGTCTTTGCACATGGTTCCCCACTTATCAGATCGGGGGATCGTGGAGATCCATTCGTCAATTTCATGCTGGATGGACTTGGCCTCCTGTATTACTGCGAGCAGCTGGGCCTTTAGTTCAGCAGGCGACATGACCGGCTCCTTGTTAGCAGGGTCATTGACCTGCTTGAGTTTCCCCAATAACTGCCGCCCCGAGGTCATGAACTGGTTGACTCTCACGGCAACCACTCTGAAGTTGTCTAAATGTGGGTTGGGGTTGGCTGACGGCGTGACCCAGCTGGGATCAACTATGTGGTAATCTGCGGTGAACGACTTGATTATCTGCCGGCCATGTTAGCCGTATGCACGCTAATGCACCTGCTACGGGTCGGGGGCCAATACGCACCAGCTGCTGTCTCACCCAGCTGAAGAACGGGGCGTTGATGAGGGACCGGTTGCTTCGTTGGAGGATGTGTATTAGCCCGTTGAGATGTGGGTTGATTTTCTGGTGTCCCCCGCGGCCATCGATGTCCTACATCGCATAAGCGCCAGCCAAATAGATGATATACTCTCTACCTACATCGAAAATACTGAGAAGAATCATGGTTACAACGGTCTCCTCACTCGTCGCCTCGTGGCCTGACCTGAGCCGCTCTAGGAGACCTCGTATTGCGTGATGGTGCCAGACATGAGCCTGGATCTCATGCTCCTTCGTCTTGGAATAGCGATACAGGGATAGGTAGGCTGATGCCTTCACTGCTACCCGAATGCAGGAGGATTCAGGCGATTCAAGATAGGTTTTAGGCAGGAAATGTAGGTACCCCGAACAGTCATTTGCCTCAGGGAGTACATACTGGTGCATGAAATACCCCAAGGCCTCGGAGTCCCATGACGGAATGACATCAAGCGACGTAGATATGAAATCATTCGGGTCTACTATGGGCTGGGAATAAGAGCCGGACCCTGAGGAGGACCCTGAGGAAGAGGAGGACCCTCGATGAGACCTGCCGGGTTTTGCAAGCACTGCGACGGCGCCCGACGACGGGTCCTGGCCTTGGAATTTTGTGCCTTGCTGTCGAATCACAAGGTTCTTTTCATACCCCGGACATGGCTTCCCGTACTTCTGGCAGCGCGTGCAGCTGGGCTTAGTTTCATCACACTATTGGCGAGTTAATGAGGGGAAAGCTTTCAGCCGCAGATCCTCAGCAACGGGGGCAGCAGGTAATGTACCTTTAGTTTGCGCTGCTTGCAGCGGGAACAGCCACGGCTCAGTCTTCCCGGATATACCATGCTGTCTTTGATCGGCGGCGTGGCGCGCGCGCGGAATATGAGTCTGGCGAGGGGGTTTGAGAGGGAGCAACACGAGTAGCTCAAACGCCAGACCTGAAGGTGAGGATGCTGCACCTCGGAAGGTCACCCCGTAAAGGGATTAGTCACTGCGTTTATTGCTCCACTGCCATGGGAAGGTTCCTGAATAAGCGGGTGGTACCAGATGGTGAACCGAGGCGATCCGAGTTTCTAGTCTGGCGTCTTACTCGAATCAGGCCAGCGCTGCTCCTAATTTGAACCGCATTCTGGGGAGCGGCAAGACCTGGGATGAGCACGATTGAATACCGTGCACTTGGTGAAACAACTAACATAATTTCTTGACAGCAAACAGTTGTGGAGAAGGACGCACCTCGGGTAGGGGTCTCTGTGAGGCCAGTTCGGATTGAAAAGTGACGGATTTCCTAATGCAGATTGGAGTGAAGATTGACTAACAGGTACGTAGATTGTGGAGAACTGTCTCCTTAGACTACACCGTTCATCGCCTTCGACACAAACTGTCTACAGCGTCAACTGTACCTTCATTGACCGGGCTAGAGTTTCTGTGAAATCGATACCCCAAGAGCATTCCCTGATGTCACCAGTCTTCCATCTTTCATGACAGCCAACAGGTGTTGCTCGGGCTGATCGAGCACAGTGATGTCCTCTAGCGGATTGCTGTCAAGTATCAAAAGATCAGCCAAGAAGCCTTCCTTCACCTGGCCCAACCTGTCCTCCTGCATTAGGAGCTTGGCTGCATTGACCGTGGCACTTTGCAAGATCTGGAGTGGGGTCTGGACTTGGCTTCTGACCGAAAACTCTTGGCTCTGTGCGAAGTGAAGAGGGCCGAGAAGGTCGGTACCAAAACAGACCGTAACGCCGGCATCCGTCGCCATCTTCAGCGCAGCCAAACCTTTGTGAAAAGCGTCTGTATTTTTTCGGTCGCTGTCCGGGCTGAGAAACTTGAGTTTCTGCGCGATGGCGTGAACGACAAGTGTAGGTGTCAGAAAAGTCCCCGTCTCGGCCATCAATTTGGCAGTCTCAAGGTCGATCAGGTTCCCGTGCTCAATGCCCCGTACACCCTGTCGGATGGCTTGCTGGATAGACTCCGGGGTGTAGCAGTGGCTTGTCACGTAGGTGCCAGCGTTCTTTGCCACAGTGACAATAGCCCTGATCTCCTCATCAGAGAATTGAAGGTGCTCAATTTTGTCGGTAGGGCTGGCCACACCCCCGCCGCCCATGATTTTAAGGAAATCCGCCCCCTGCCTGATCTCGTCTCGTGCATAACGTAGGCATTCTGCCACGCCGTCGACAATACGACTAATACCCGACACAACTCCTCCACAGCAAGGTTGGGTGTCATGTGAGCCTCGCATGTCGCCGTGGCCGCCGGTCTGGGAGAGTGCGCGACCAGCGATGAAGAGCCGAGGACCTGGATGAATCCCTTCTTCCACAGCCTCCTTCATGGCCAGGCTTGCGCCGCCGCAGTCACGAACAGAGGTGAAACCGCGGTGGAGCATCGATTTGAGAACGCTTGGCTGGCGGACCAGGCTCTTTTGCTCCGTCATATCCCTGTATGATGCTAGATTGGCTTCTCCGGGAACAACGGCGATGTGTACATGACAGTCAATAAGACCGGGACAGATGTACTTCCCCTGTAAGTTCAAGTCATTCTCGGGTTTCACACCCGCAGTTATATTTTCTGCTGGTGTCCCTGGTGAAATGGCGCTGATGAGGCCACCGTCAACGACAACAGTTATATTGTCAGACACGCTGCCAATGGTAGGATCAACAATCCTTGCGTTCCTAAGGATGAACTTTTCGTGCTCTCCAAGCAGCCAAGGCTTGATAAACTTCGCTATATCCATTGTTGAAGAAGTATAGAGAATAAAGAATCGTAGAGGAAACTGTCGGGATCATTTCCTAAGAAGACACATCCGTGAATTTATATCTGAATTAGACGTGTGATATGGCGATCCGGTCAACCTCAATTCCGCACTCCATTCTCCACTAGTAACCTCTCGTGTCCTGATCTGAGAGCATCAATCCACCTGGTTACGAGTCGTCATCAGCACACGCTAATCTTTCTAGTTCTCAGAATTAACGGCGGCAAGAGAGGGGCGATACCCAAAATAATCCTAAACTTTCAGAAGATACCCGCCCAGTGGAGGCTGGATAATTGTGTACCGACTCGATCTGCCCAATCGGTCGTGCCCAGTGCGCCGACTTCCATGGAGCGTTAGATTGCGAGCCGGAAGTGGGCATGGATGCTCGTCGTTGACTAACATCGATATACAGAGAACCTATTTCTCTCAAATCTCTACGCTAGAGGCATTAACTCCCGTCTTTTCAATCATGAAAACCATGCTGGTTATTCAGGCAAAATCGCTTCTCTCACATCCCCGGAATAATGGGCTTTCTGTCCCCATCGCCGAAACAGCAAAAAGACCCATGTCATCCATTCCATAATGACTAGGCCAACCCCTTCCCTTTTTTTGAAGCCCATGTCCATCGACCAAACAGCATTTTCATAGTGCTTAGTGATGACAGGCTTGCGTACAGACTCATAGTCGGCAAACAATTGGTCGACTGGTCTGGAAGCACGCCTTTCTAGGACCTTTGCAATGAGCAACCCGTCCTCGATGGCAAATCCGGTACTCTCCCCTTGCGGCGGCATCTTTGAACCGGGTTAGTTTTCTTCTTCTTCATTTCCCCCTTCATAACGGCGAGTGTTTCGACTTACCGCATGCGCAGCGTCTCCAAGTAAAAGAACGCGGCCTTTATGCCACCGACCCGCTTTGGGCAAGATGTAAATGGGGAGCAAGTCCCAACTCTCGCACTTGGAAATCATTGTATCCAGCCCCCTGACCTTTGTGCCTTGATAAAGCTTCAGGATATCATTTTTCATCGTCTCCTTATCATCTCCCAGCATTTTCCACGCGTTTTGGTCAGCGGTTTCCGGCTCGTCCATGGACATTACACAGCTAAGGTAAACATTCCTCCTGCTTGACTCATAATATGAAGCCAAGATTACACCCGAAGGACCACTGAACAGTGAAGTGTCGACCAGCGCCGGCTCACCCGTTGATAACGTCATTCCTTGCGGTAGATTTGAGTCGCCTTCATCGTCGGCGTAATTCCATCCCATGGTAACCACGCGGCCACTGTAGACCTTCTTGCGCTCCGGTTCAACCCAGAGCCGCCGCGCTGCCGAATGAAGCCCGTCGCACCCAAGTAGGATATCGCCTTGCAGTGTGGGCCCGTCGTCCTGGAACTTCAACTCAACCTTGTCCGCTGTTTCGCATATCTCAGTCACGCGTCTCCCCCATTGGACCTCGACTGCTTCCGAGTGCTCCTTTTGTAGAACTGCAAGGAGAGCCTCCACAAGAGCGTGCCTGGAGACTCGTCGGGCCCCGATTCCGCCCCAGAAGTTACCCAACAGCTGACCAGTGCGCAGCGAGATGTAATCGATACCATGGTCTAGAGAGATCGAGTGATCAAGCAAATTGCCCTCTGCGCCCAAGGAGTTCAAGTAGCGCATGGCTAGAGGTGTCACATTCACCGCACCCCCGATTGTCTGTAAGCTGGAACGCAGTTCGACGAGAGTGATTCGAAGTGGCTGGGCGTTGCCGGACGGTGCTGAGTTAGCTCTAGATAGAGCGATTGCTGTTGCAAGACCACATGGGCCTGCGCCGAGGATGAGGACGTCTTTCACAACCATATCGATCTGTCGCCCAAGTTATTGACTTGTTATTGAGAAGTCAAGGTTCTGAAAGCCGAATAATGCAGCATGAAAACATCGTGGTCAGGTTTATAAGGGCATACGTTGTGCACACCATTTCGGTTAGCGCAGTTGCTCGCATTCATCGCATTTATTGGTCTGTAGGTTGCACCTCAGTGACACATCTTTTTCAGTTAGTCAATTGAAGCTGAATGGCAGTGGCGCTGTGATTTGACCTTCTATGGATGGTCTCGGTTGAGTCGGCATCTTGACCACCAAGTAGCGTTCCACCTATGCAGTAGCTAAGCCGAGAACTGACAAGCGAAGAGAAAGAAACAGAAACGTCATGAGCATCTTTCCTGATATAATGCCTCGACAGAGAAAGTCTTACAAGTAGAAAAAAAATAGATTTGCGGCAAAAGCAAAAAATGATGAGACTGGGACTCGAACCCAGGAGGATTGCTCCACCAGGAATGAATGCTAAGGTAGCCTTAACCTGACGCCATAACCAACTCGGCCATCTCACCAATTTATGAAGACTAGAGGTCAAAGCTTAGCTATATCAAGGCCTAGCATGAGCGTATCTTCCTCCCACTTGACCGGCTCTGTGTGGTTGCGCATCAAGACAGTAAAACCTCACATTTTATGCTAGATTTCCTTCTGGAACTTAATGTAGAAATTTGTAACTAAATTTAACACTAAATCTGCCCTTACGTGTCATGAAATGCCCTGGTGTATCTCACTGGCAGCTTTCACGCCTCGCTTTGCAGCAAGGAAAAGATCAACATAAGTTGAGCGGGCGTCAAATTTGATTAGTTATGAGACTGTAGACCGGGGTTTTCGTTTCTACCTTGGCTATCTGCAGCTATCGATGAGTAAGAGGGTAGACAGTCATAGAAAACTCAAACTATAAGCATGTATGAAGACTAGGGTCACTGGCAGAACATTCTCACTTGCTGCTCAAATCCATTGTGTGTAGTCCACCTAGCTTTGGTGTGCGCCAAGGAATATGTGTGCCCGTTCAAGCAGAGAACAAGTTGATATCAAAGCTACAGGGAAATGAGAGGTGGCGGATCTATTGGGATGGGTTTCATGCTTTCCAACCGTCTTGTGCTGCCGGCCTTGACACCTAGCGGAGTTCACTGAACATAAGGAAAGCAATTGTCAGTTGCTCAGTGCAGGGATCTATCGAATCTCTTATAGTGGATGTTAGAAAGCCAACATCATCCGTTGTCTGCTTTAGAGAGCGGATCACGAAGACGAA